AGCAAAGACACTGGCTATATCACTGTGGTGCTTCGAATAACTCGGGACGAAATGGCATAGCGATTGTCATGTCTGACAAGGCCCATTCCGCTTTGATTGAGTGGAAACCGGTAAACCGTATGGCCTATGCCCGTTTTAAGTTCATGTTCTAAGTTCTGCAATATCTCGGTCTGCAATATCAGTGTCTATGCTCCAGGAACTTCAACTGCTAACGAAGTCTCTACCGAAGTCTCTACCGAAACATGACATGATCATAATCGGGGAGACTGGAATGCTCGCGTAGGTCATAATGCAGCTGCGATGACCTCAACAATTGGCAAATATGCATCGGAGACCAGTGTGCCAGTGGGGAACGTCTTCTTCGTTATGCCGAAGAACATGAACTTTTTGTTACTAATACTTGCTTCCGGCATCATAAAAAACATCCAGTCACGTGGAACTCCTCGGACAACCAACACTTCAACCAGATTGATTATATCTTAGTCGCCGTTGGAAGAATTCCGTACTAGATAGCCGTTCCTATCGCGCAGCTGAAACGGGCAATCTGACCATGTTATGATTCGAGCCAAGATCCGCATAAAATTGACAACTCGCAGAAAATAGCATCCCCCAAGTTTCTTCAACTATCTCAAACTAAAAAATTCGGGGATAGTGAGCGCATTTCAAACGGAATTATTGAAGCATCTCAATGATACAAATATCAATGATTTTTCTGGAACTCCAAATGAATACTGATGCAAACTAAAGGAATGTCTCCGAAAATCAGCCACTTCCACGCTAGGGCATACTAGTAGGAAGTGCGCTAGTTGGGTATCAGAAGCAACTGTCCAATTGTCTGAAAAAGCTGCCAAAGCACGAATGTCAGATGATCCTGACTACCGGGTGCTTCGAAGATTTGCAACGAAAGCAGCAAGGCGAACAGAAATCTCTATTGGACTGACATGGCCTCAAGAATGGAGGTGGCGGCTCGATTAGGTGACAATAGGAAATTATTCTGCCTTCTTCATAAAGCAATTATGACTCGGGGAACGATCAGTGAAATGGTAAGAGACAGCAATCGCGTTCTAATAAAAAGTATTAAGGATCGCCTCATAAGATGGAAAGAAACCAAACTTCTTTGAGGCCAAACTTAACCATGAAGCGCCATCTTTTACCCCTGATATAGCTGATACGTTTGCCGAAGCATACATTTGCAATTGCGAGCCTCCAATACAAGAAGAAACAATTTCAGTTATCCATAAACTTGAGGCCAACAAAACTCCAGGAGAAGATGGTTTTCGGGCTGAGCTTTTCAAATACTGTCCATTGTTCTTCATAAGGCACCTTCAACAAATGTACTTTTTAGTATGGAAAAAAGAAATATTACCAGATGATTGGAGCAAAGCAATTCTGCTCCCAATTCTCAAGAAAGGTGATAGGACATACTGCGATAATTATCGAGGAATCAGCCTATTAGACATCTCAGCAAAAATTTTTGCTTCCCTGCTACTCAACAGACTTATGGAAGTACATCTTTTGCAAGAATTTTGTTCATTATTGTTTTTGTAGGGTTTATTTTGTAGGGTGAGCCCTAAACAAGCTGGTTTCAGACCAGAGCGCGGTTGTGCTGACCAGATATTCACGTTAAGAAGGGTGTTGGAACATCGCTTCAAATATTTGCAACCCACTGTCACGTGTTTCACTTTGCGGCTACCTTTGATTAAATTGATAGAGCGGCGCTTTGGAGGGTGATGGAAGTGATGGTGTTCCAGAGAAAATCATTAGACTCATAAAGGCATTTTATGAGCACAGGTCTGTGTATATACGGAACTGACAGATTCCTTCGAAATAAGAACAGGTGTCCGTAAAGGCTGCGTCCTTTCCCCCACAATATTCAACTATGCGATAGACTGGATAATGGATACTGCTTGTCGACACTCAAGAGGTATCCGAATTAGTCCAGAGCATCGCATCACAGATCTGAATACGCTGATGATGTAGTCCTTTTTGCTGATAATTATGATGAAATGCAAATAATGCTAAATAACGTGTCAGCAAATGCAGTGAGAATCGGACTCAGAGTCAATACAAAACGAAGGCCTTTTCGTCTTATGTGCAAAAAGCTGATAAAATGCCTCTTTTTGTAAATTTATTGCCGATTGAGGAAGTGCCTGATTTCAAATACCTTGGGTCCAGTCTAATACCAAATGGACAGGCAAAAGATGATATTATAACTCGGATCACGGCAACTAGAAATGCGTTCTTCCGGTTAACGAAACCTTTATGGAATCGTTGTGAAATTACCATAAAAACGAAAGTCCGCATCTATATTACCGTGATCCGTTTGATCTTATTATATGGTTCTGAGACATGGCCAATGAGAGTGGAGGATATTAAGAAGTTATTTGCCTTTGACCACTCTTACTAAGGTATATTTTACGGGTTCGCCGAGTGGATAAAATCTCACAAGATCGCATCCACCTTCGTTCAAATACCACTTGCATAAATAATGTTATCACAGAGCATCACTTTCGCTGGTTAGGGTACATTTTCTACCACAGGAGTTCACCACAGGAATTGACGCATATTTCGTTATTTGCTAAACCATGTGACGGTTGGCGTCAAAAGCGAGGTGGGCCAATCAAGACCTCGACTGATACGGTGAGAAAAGATTTTGAACGTATAGATGGACCAGCAATATATGGACTTAGACGATGGAAAAAGGATTGGTTTCCATTACTGTCGACGATGGTATCAGACCGCGCCGCTTGGAAGCGTTTTACCCTTGTAACCGTTGGGACCAGTCTAACCAGTAATGGTGAGAGCTGTTAGAAGAAGAAGTATATATGGGGAACTAACTGGCCCTTTCGAATTAAAATGTCCTTTCCCCTATAATATTCAAGTATCCAATAAATTGAATAATGGACACTCAAAATATGTGCAAATCAGTCCAGAGAATGGTACCAGAGATCTTAAATACGCTGATACGTAATCTTTTTTGTTGACAATTTTAATGAAATAGAAATGATATTAAATATGTCAATAACTGCAGCGAGAACTGGATTCAAATTAGAACGACAGCAGTACGATAGGACATCGTTATTGGAGCGATGTGGTCTTGAAAATGGATACGGCTACCCGATTAGGCGATACAAGAAAACTGTTCCACTTTCTTCATAAAAACTATAATTCAGAGAACCAGTGAAATGATAAGGGATAGTAATGTGCCTGTTAAGATTATTAAGGATCGATTATTAAGATGGAAGAAATTCTTAAAGGCCAAATTTAACCATGATGGGCCATCTGTTATCTCGGATATAGCTTAACACTCATCCAGCCACATATTTGCAAATGGAAGCTACCAGCAAAACAGGAAATAATCTGGGGCATCCAGGAAATTAAAGCCAATAAAACGGAGAAGATGATCTTCGGACTAAAATCTTTATATGCCCATCGTCCTTCATGTCACACTTTCAAAAAATATACTCTCTGGTATGGAAAAAAGAAATAATACTAGATGACTGGAGCAAAGTTGACAATTGATGACAGTTCTGCTCGCGATTCCCAAGAAAGAATATGACAAAACATACTATAACATTTCCAAGAAATGAGCCTATTAGACAACTCCGGGGAAATTTTTTTTTCTTCTAATAGATAGATTTATGGCAGAACGAAATAGCGGGATGCGCCTTAAGCATGCTGATTCTAGACTAGGACGCGATTCTGTTGCCCAGATGTTCACGTTTAGAATATAATGTTGGAATATCGCTTCAAATTTCGGCAATTCACCATCACTTGTTCCATCGATATTGCATTCGATTGCCTTCGATTCAATTGATAGAATGACGCTTTGGAGGGTGATGGAAAAGTTTTAGAGAAAATCGGCTGAATCATAAGGCATTTTATCAGCGTAAATCGCAAGTTTATAAATATGGCAAACTGGTACGCTCCTTCGAAATGAGAACTGGTGTCCATCAAGGCTACATCTTTTCCCCCACAATATTTAACTAAGTGATGGAATGGATAATAGATATAGCTCGCCGGCACTCAAAAGGTGTACAAATCGCAGGGCCTTAGATCTTGAATGCGCTGATAATCCTTTTTGTTGACCATTATGACGAAATAAAAATAATGCTTGAGTCGACAACTGTAACGAAAATTGGACTCAGATAAATTAAACAAAAGAACTTTTTGCCTTGTACAAGAAGCTAATAAAATACCTATTTCTATCAATTCATCCTTTACTGAGGAAGTGTACCAGACTTTAAATAACTTATTCATCCCAAACGGTCAAGCGAAAGACGAAATTGTAACAGGGATAACGGTAGCTATACGTTATATCGGTTAGCTAATCTTTTATGGAAATGTCTCGAAACCATAAAAACAAAAATCCCCGTCTGTATAGCTGCAATTTGCTAATTTTGCTATATAGTTGCAATATGGCCAGTGAAAGTGGAGAATATTAATTATCCGCCTTTAACTACTCTAAAATACATTTTGCTGATTCGCCAAACGTATGAAAACCCACATGATTGCATCTATCTTCACTTAAATACCAAGTGCATTAATACCATCACAGAGCGTTGTCTTTTGGCTGGTAAGGGCAATCTCTTCGTTGTCAACCAGAAGAGTCGGCATATATTTCGTTACTTGCTAAACTCTGTGAAAGGATATCGTCAAAAGCGAGGAAAGCCAATCGAGACTTAGAATGATACAGTCAAGATTTTACACGCATAAATGAACCAAAATGGTGAGAGCTATTAGAAAAAAAAGAAATATGCAATATGAACGAATACCGGCTTAAGTTGAGGTTGCACAATAATCACAACAAAAGGTATGAAATCAGTGAGTATTGCATAGTCATTCATCAAGCCATGAAAACAACCATTCTTGACATTCAGTATTATTGCTAATGATTGCTTCTGACGCTGAATAATATTCTAAAATTGAATTATAACTGAATAAAAATTCTATATAGAGCCACAAGTTTCAAAAAATAAATTGGAAAATTCAACTGCGATTTAGATTATTAAAATCTAAAATTTTTCAGATGAAAATTAAAAGCCAACCTGATCAGCAGTTGGAAAAGATAGATAAAGTCGATTCACTGAAGCAAGAAGCAGATGTATCTGAGCACAAGTCACGAATGAATATTTCATCAAAGAATAAAATTGCTGCCGATAAATATGTTTAAGCAACAAATCATTTTCACAAAACAGGCGAGAAACTGTTCGAATCTGATAAAAAGCGTAATATAACACAAATGTAATATAACCATAATTTTACCATAATAATTACCATAAAGATTTTTACGGTGACCTTTGATAATGTGATGTTTTATTAAATAATAATTATCTCAAATACTCAACCAAAGATGAAAAAAGCATACCTCATCCATGCGAGTAGTTCCAGGACATGCAGCTAAATAGTTATTAAATAAGCCCGAATAGAAACGATCGCTTTCGCCTGAATAATGTTGGTAAATCGAAATTATTCGTTGGATTCGTTGAGGAATCTGTTCAAAGCGATTGCGAACATTGTGGTGACGGCCAAGCTCAAAGACTGAAGACCATGCTTCAAACAGTGATTTATCCTTTACAAAAATTTCATGGCCTCCATACTGTAAAAATTTTTAGAAACCATACTGAGATAAATAAATTACATGAAAATATATTCATTTTCTTAATTGCATTGACTATTAACTTGAAGACATAGGTAAATGTTCCCAACAACGCTAGCTTATTTTTTTGATAGTAAAAGTATTTTAACAGTATCAGACAGATTAGGTTTATGAAGCTCTTCCTCACTGGAAAATCTCCGAATATTTGTATTAAATAATATTAAAAAAACAATCGAAGAGAAAATTTTCATTCGTAATGGTTAAAGGCTACAGCTGCTTTAATTTAAGTTTTTTCATTTTATTATTATATCAATTATTTTTTCTTTGGCATATTTTCACTTTAATAAAAACGAATGATAGAAAAAAAATTTAACCTTTTGAACTGTTTCAAACGTAATGGCAGATGAATTAAGTTCTGTAGCAATGAACTGTAAAGAATTAATAGCACGTCGAATATCCCCGCCACATATAGTTACTATAGATGAAACAGCACTGAATTCTACATTAATTTTCTCGTGACTCGCAATCTTCAAATTTTAAATTTACTGAATATTTCAATAAACCATCATCAAAAAATTCAAAGAGAAATGCTGTATGAAGTGGGGGAAGGCGAGGTAGAGGAAATTAACTGTAAACAATGAATTAAATAAAAATATTCACAAATAATAGAAATAAAAACAAATACCCTAAATACCCTTAAAAAAATTATTGAGAGATATTGTAGCAAATATTAGAGTTTGAAATTGATATACAATTTTACCATTTGCAATCTTCTTATTAAATTCCGATTATTAATTTGTGGCATATGGATATTAAGAGCAACTGATTTTAATTCTCGAAGTGAGCTTGTATACCTAAAAAATAGAATAAATAAAAAGGATGAAAATTTCAACCACCTTTTTTGATAATTTTGAAAATTTCATAAATAAAACTAACAGATTATTACATATGCAAATTACTGGTCGACGAATAATGTGTTTACCCGTTCCTGTCAAAATTTTGCATAAAAATTTAATTGATTCGATAGGAGCTCCATCAATTTCGTCCACTACGAGACAGTTCGGTTGTTGAACCTATAACATTTTTAGAATTCATCGAATACATTTATCAGAATGCCCACACCAATTTCGCATTATATTCCATAAATTTTCTACAAGCTTATTTATTTATTTAATACTGATAAAAAAAAGGTAGTGTCAAAAATTATGATACCGAATCAAGAGTACGTACTGCGCGCAAAGCACCTTCAATACATTTTTCAAAATCTCCCACATTACGTTCATCACTGAAATTTGAATATATTCTAATTACGCCTGAAAAAATAAAAAATTTTCTTTCATATTTGGAGAACATTAAAGAAAATCACCTGGCATTCATATTAATAACGTGATAACCACAATGTTTCGCAACAATCGAAGCAAGTGTTGTTTTTCCTACACCGGCGACGCCTGATATCAGTACAACCTAGCAAATTATCAGTTGCCATTAAATAAATGCCTTTTAGGAATAAAATTGCTACATACCTTTTTTTACCATTTTTTAGAGATAAATATGAATTTTAATGACAGTTAAAAGAGAGAAAAAAAATGAAGCTATATTATTATGCTGACGTCGCAAGCCAAGCGATCAATCCCTTTCTACACCCTTTAGTTCGACGAATAAAATCTCATATGATTGCATTCACTCTCTCTCAAATACCATTTGCACTAACAGCGCTATCACAGAGCATCGCCTTTGCTGGTTCGCTCTTCGTCGCCCACCACAAGATTTGATACATATTCCATTATTTGCTAAATCCTGTGATGCGTGGTATCAATACTGGTATCAAAAGCGAAGTGAGCCAATCAAGACCTGGATAGATACGAACAGCAAAGATTTTATAGATGGACCAGTAATATATGGACTTAAACGATGGAAAAAGGAATCGCTTCTATTAATGTCGACAATGGCGTCAAATCGAATAGCTTGGAAACGTCTTACTCTAACCAGAGGAGCTAACCTAACCAATGATGGTGAAAATTATTAGAAGGAGTAAAATTGTGGCTAAATATAAAAAATATACCTTGTTAATAGGCCTACGAGGCTTTCCATTATCAAGACAAATCGCTTCATTGTCGCTGATAGCTTCCAGCTGAGTAACTGAACGATTAAAGACGCATAAATCCCATAGCTTTACCCAATGCAGGAGAAGACGATTAACTTTCTTTACCAATCAAAAAAAAAATTTATACCAAAAATTTACTTCAATATTTGACTTTTTCGAATGAACTAATAGAAAAAAAATTTCGAAATTTCGAAAATTAATTTTCGAATGAACTAATAGAAAAAAAAAACATAGCAATAATCGATGAATAGCTTTTTTTATCACCTCATCACTGAGAAGTTCGATATAACTTCGTGGTGTGTATTTATCCACCCACAGCAATCCTTTATTTTCTATATCTATTTCATACCTATCGGACATTAAACCATCGGATTCTGAACGTGTGACTGCCGAAGCTACAATTTCTTCGATTGGCTTACTATTCAGAGAATATTTTTGCAATAAAGATTTTATATCACCACAATTCTTTCGTCTCTTTCGCACATAAAAACTGGAATTAAATTTTTCATAGCTTTTTTAAAAAATTAATGATTCTTTAAAAAACAATACAAAAAAACAAATTATTTTGCTGAATTATTTGGTAAAATTCAAATAAAGAAAATTTTACCGTTGATTGTTATCAGAAGAACTGATACCAATCCACGGACATCCGTCGATCGGTGGAAATCGTAGTATTAATTCATTGCTTACAGGCGACTGATAATCTTCATTTATAAACGAAAGATCTTTTCGATGTTCCAGTATTCTTTTTCGTTTTCTAGCCTGAAACATTTTTAAAATTTTTACTCAATATTAATCGAAAATTTATAAAGAATTTCCTTAAGAGATAAAAAAATTTCGATCTCATGCGATTTCTAAAGGTTGATTTAATTCTCATAAAACATATAACCATAATAAAAATATTGAAATAACATTAGTATAATCGAATACAAACACAGATTTAATATAAATGGACCGGAAAATCACAACAATAAAATAAAATGCTACTATTATATTGAATGATATTAAATTGTAAATTATATTTGAACTTAAATTTGAAAAAAAAAGACAATAATAAATAAAGTTGTGAATATGAAACTGAGCAAATACAGATAATATCCGATTCACAAGTTGTGTAAGAGTATGATCATCATTTTCATCTTTTTTAAATTTCTTTAACAAGCCATTTTCATCTAATGGAATTTTCATGTGCCAATCTAAAAATTTTGAGAAATGAAAAATGTGATAAAAATAAAGGAATTTGAAAAATAAACATAAAAATATCCAATAATAAAAATAAAATTTAACTACAATTAGCAAAAGAAAAATTAACCAATTTCATCACATTCTTCGATTGTTAATGGCCGTTTGCGATTTATTGCCCTTGAGTTATAAAAATTTTCATCATCATCATGCCTATAAACAATTCAATAAATTTCAAAATACTTCAAAAATTATTCATTATTTAATGATAAAAATAAATGAAAATTAATGACATATTTCTACAGAAGAAAAATTCCATGTATCTCAGTCCTTTGAAAAAACTTTGATAAGATTTGTAATTACATTTGTAAAAATCAAAATATCACACTCGATAGTACTAAAAAATCAAAAAAAAATACGGATAAATTAATTGGTCGTTATCACCATTGTCATCAACAAACAACTGATCCGTTGATGCAATAATATTATAATCATCATCATTACCATTCATTTCCAATTAAATCTGTAAAATAAATTAAAATTTTTGGCATAAGTAATGGATTTTCAAAGATTTAACAAGATGATAGATAAGATTTATAAATAGTTTTAAGATAAAATAAATTGACTTAATAATAAAATTTAGAATTTTAAATATAATTGATAAATAATTCATAACGACAGCTAGAACTGCGTTTTTCCAAAATCTTTGTGGAACAGTCGCGAAATCACCATAAAGACTATTTTTACTATTTTACTATTTTACCACTGACAAATTATTTAAACAATAACCAAATAAACCACAAGTAGAATTGAAAATCAGCGTCCATATAGCCGCAATAAGCTCGATCTTGCTATATGGCTGCGAAATATGGTTAATGAGAGTGGAAGATATTAAGAAGCTATCAGCCTTTGACTACTTATGTCTAAGATACCTTTTACGAATCCATCGAGCGGATAATCTCACATGATTGAATATTTCTTCTCTTAAATAGCACCTGTATTAATTAAAGAGCGTTTCTTTCGCTGGTTAGGGTACGTTCTTCGTTATCCACCATAGGAATTAATATTTCATTACTTGCTGAACCCTGTGACGGTTGGCGTCAAAAGCGAGAAGAGCCAATCAAGACCTGGACTGATATGGTTAAGAAAGATTTTGAACGTATAGGGGATCAGCAATATATGGAATTAGACGATGGAAAAGCAATGGCTTGGCTTCTATTACTGTCGACGATAGCAGCGTAGTTTGGAGACGCCTTACCTTAATAGTCAGCGCAGCCAGCCTAACCAGCAATGAAGAAAGGAGAAGAAGAATTAATTCAAAAGTGAGAAAATGAAAAAATTAAATTTATTTATTCAATTAAATTAAATTAAAAAAAGTAATATCGAGATTTTCAAATTAGAGTTTTAAGAAATAGTCAAACTTATTTAACAAAATGAAGAAATGAATAAATTATTAGGAGAGATTTAAAAAATTTAATAAATAAAAAAATAAAAAGTGAAATAAAAATGTTGGATGAATAAATATTTGAAAAATCACGACAACCTAAAATGCACTAAAAAATACTCTCGTGAATTAGATTTCTGCGTAGTTATTTGGAATATTCGAACAATTTTATTCGCTTCTGTGCCTTTTTCCTTCATTCTCCCCATTCAGTCTCTTCCTTCACCACACTATTCTTTGCCAATATTCGCCCCAGATTTTCGCTGTTTCACAATCTTTTAGTTCCATCTTTCACCTCTACATTCTCTCCCAACACTGCACCATTTTCTCACCGACAAATAATTTAAACAGTAACCAAATAAACCCACAATTAGAATTTAAAAACTGAGCAATTAAATTAAGGAGTAATGAATAACTGAAGAAAATATCCGAGTGGATCTTTGAAAAATTTAAAATAGTTTCTTTTAACTTCCAGATTTCTTCAACAAAATCTTCGAATAAATTAAAAGTTTCAATTTCAACAAAAAATACAGCCAACAGCATCTAATCGCTGAAAAATTAATTTTTAACATTCCTTAAGGCACTTTTTGCAAAATATAAATTTTATTTGTAAAAATTTAAATTTAAATTGACCGATTCTTAAGACGATTATCTGTGGCAGTTACGTACGGTTATGACGAACTTTTTCTGCGCTGTGATGCAACGAAGTGCAACCGATAAGATATTTTCGGAGTTTGGGTGGGTGAATTTGTGCGCAGATTTCTAGGTCGAGCGATGATTGCGGGGTTTTTTGGAAAATAAGGCAAGAAGAAGATGGGAATAGCTTATTGTGCGTTGGTTTCAACCAGTTTTAGAGAGAAAAAGATGCATTCTCAGTAAAGATTTCCATCGAGTTTGCGTATCATCACAAAAGGGAAGTTCGCAATTTCTATCGGTCCTCACGAAGTTTGCCGGCGAATTTTATCGATTATTTTTGCAGGTTATTATTAGGCATGGTAAGTTGATCTGGTGGTTTTGGTGATTTTAGGGTCAATTTTAGGTGAAGGTGAGGTGACTTCAAAAATGACTTGAGGTGCTTGGAGCTAAAAGATGGTTTGGATGTGAGTTTGATTGTCGCGGATGCTTTTTTTGTTATGGTGCATTGGTCTTTCATTGGGTGGTGATAAAAATGTATTGATAATTTTTTTGTTTTTTGAGCATATTCCCAGTTTAAGTTGGAAAAAAACTTGTTGTTATTTATGTTATTTTAAATATTTCTGAAAAATTTTAGTCTATTCTGCTTTTATTGGTTACATTTGAATAAATTCTGAAAAATCGAATCGAATAGAGAATTTGAAATTTAGTTTTTAGCGTTTTTTTACTAAAAAGTCTATATTTTAGAAGGATCAAGATGATCATATTTTTTAATTTTCGAAACTATTTTTGTTAACTGCTTCTGATTTTATTGTTTTATATTTATTTTGATGGATTTTCTTTGTTAACTATTTCCTTAACACACCAAATTTGTCTTACTTTTCAATGGCGCATGATCTATAACTCATATGATATGGTCTGTTTGTCTCTATTATTAAATAGATTGAATTTATGGAATAATATGGAATACAAATATGATGAGTTTTTTGGTAATAAATATTATATTTATTGGTGAATTTATGGATTATTCGTTTTCAGTAGATATATTATCTATTATTAGAGATATATTATCAAAGGTCGAAACATAGAGTATCATAATTCGAAATATGTCTTTGTTTGCTTCGTTCATACATCATAAAATTTTCAATGTGTTTGTGTATCATAGAAATAATCTATGAGGGTAGCTTCATCAATTATTTTTATTTGGATTCCATTAATCTCATATTTGATCTCAGAATTTTTCACTTTTTTCCACAACCTTTCTTATATACGAACAGTTAATCATATGATATGGTCTATCTATCTCTGTTGTTAAAATCATTGAAATGTGATTTTCTTTTCTATATATTTTATATATCTGAATGTATTTTAAAGGTTTTCTGCATTGATATTGATTTTACAATTTATTACTCGCTAAAAATTCCAGAAATTGTTTGACTTATTGGTCGTACTCACCATTTGATTTATTAATATGGAAGGTGTTGTCAATCTTGTTAATGGCCATGTGAAAAAGATTGAAGTACCAACTACACCGTCGCCAGATGGTAAACCATTGATTAGTAATTTTATTCGTCTTAGATAAATATAGGTAATCTTAATATGAATTAACGACTCACTGGGTTATTACTCTCATCTCTTAGCGCAGGTTTTAGGATTTCACTCTTTCACTCGCAGGGGTCTATCTTTAGAAAGTACGAATAATGCTGACTATTTGCTTATTTATCTCGCCAAGCATTAATTTTCCTGGCAAATCTTATTTGGCTCCATCTACAGAACTGCGCTTAACCAGAAATGATGAGCACTGTTTTAAGATAAATCTTTCTAATGTTGATTTCTTTGGTTTTACCAGAGGGTTCCGAAAATTTTTTAGAAATTGGACGGGAATTTGTGCGTCAGTATTACACAATGTTGTCTGAGCGCCCGCAAGATGTGTACCGCTTTTATGGGCATGAATCGTTCTTCAGATTTGATGCGGGAACTGCAATACAGGGTCAACAGGTGATTATTTTTTAATTTTTCCTATTTTCTGCTATTGCACATTCTTTTATACGGAATTTATCAGTTGTTTTTTTGAAGAAATTGCAATTGCAAAAATTGCAAGAAAAGTGTTGCAAATTTGATATTCTAACCATTTCTTTCTTCTTTTTTTGGTTATTATTTTTTTGAAAACTGTTAGGAATAACAACAAGTCTATAGGTTTTAAAATTTTTAAAATAATTTAAATGATTTGTTCATCACGAGTACTTGGAACCAGTAAACAATTTGCTGAAAATATATATTGATTAAATGATTTAGTTAGTTTATATTAAATAATTTATTCTTTACTCTTTTTTTTCCAGAATATCTTAAAAGAAATTCAGCGTCTGAATTTTAAAAACTGTAGAGCTCGAATTCATACTGTTAGTGCTGCTGCTACTACTGGCAGTGGTCTTGTATTGCAGGTATGCATTTTTATTATCATTTTTAGAATGCTGATCTATTTGTACTTTAACATGAAATTTTGTTATCCCTTTAAAGTTCTGGTTTTTAAGGTATGTGGCGAATTGGCTATGGAGGAGGAAGATAATCGTCGTTTTTTACAAACATTTGTATTGTGCCCGCAGACACCGAAAAAATATTACGTGCACAATAATTTGTTCGAATGGTTGGATCGTGCTTTTCATGATCTTCAAGTAAATGGTGAGTTCTGCATATGTTCACTTTAAATATTGATGTAACTGCGTTAATAAATCTGTCACTGTATCGCATAATATTATGTAAATAAGCTCTAGAGTTTAATTTAAAGTTTGAATTAGAAATTTTTTAAATTAGATAAAATTGTATCAAAATTGTTTTGAGGGCGTTGAAAAGATATGCAGGAGATTTGGCTGAATAGCTAAATCGTTTGGATTGATTGATTTTTCATTTGTAGAATATAACCGATCATTGAGCGAAACAGTTAATTCAAATAGTCCAAACGAAGAGGATTTGGCTCTTAATGGACATGCATCAATGGCATCAATGCAGTCAAATGGTATAATAAGTTCAATAAATAAATTGGGCTACTCTGCCTTATTTTTTGTTATGGATTAGAAAATTAGTGATAAATTTCAGATAATTCAGGCTCTACGAATACTAATGGCATCAACGATCAGCACCAGGAACATACGGAAAATTCGCAATCAGTTGAAGTCAGTATTGTGCAAAGTCAATTTATAAAAACTGAATCGTCTGATAATTTGGAGGAGCAACCGCCAGTAACATTTAAATTAAATACGACATATTAAATTCCTTACATAAGTTTCGAGTTTTATCAGAATACACTTATTTAAACATATATGAAATTTATTATAACATAAAAACATGTATATATAAAATTTCGTAAAATTGTACATATTCTTATTTGCTTATAAATTATAAATTCCAGATGAAATTTATATCAAGAATCTTTGAGAATTTCAATTTTATCAGCATTTTATAAGTTTTATTGAAATTTTTTTCATTATTGCTACATATCTTCATTCAGATTGTCGAACCAGAGCCAGTTACTGTGGATAATGAACCGAAGACATGGGCAAAGTTGGTTGGAAGTACCCCATCAGTCACTCAATCAGGAAATATGTTTGATACTCGAGCATCACAAGCTATACGCCATTCACCACCTAGCACAGTCTCTTCTGATTTCATTAATGGGAATGTTATGAATAAATCAGGTTATCTTTTTGAATTGAATTGAACTTCTTATTGCATCCACTATAATTTTTTTAAAATATTTTTAACCAACTTTTAGCAAATATGTATATTGGTAACGCTATTCAAGTGGGAAATAATCGATTTCATGACGAGGGATGTCGTCTTTATATTGGTGGAATAATTCGAACTGTTATGCCACAAAGTGTTGGTGCGGTGGAAAAGGAAATAAAAAGCATTTTTGAAAGCATGTTTTTTAATTGCAGTTTTTCCAAAAAACTCTCTAGATAAAATTTTCTAAATAAATAAAAAATTCCGAGCATTCCAGAATTTCCCTTTAGCTTTATGTGAAGTACATTTATTTTAAAGTTTATTTTAGAATTCGGTCCAGTTGCTTCTGTCAACGTGCCTCGACGTGTTTTCGATAGTGCGGATTCATTGGGAAGGGTTTATGCGTTTATCATAATGAAAACTCCTCAAGGAGCAAAGAATATTTTTCATGCATCAAGAAAGGTTTGAAAATTCTCACTTTCACTTATTTTTGATGGATCACATTCATAAATGCTTGTTTAGGATCGTGGAGTTTTATATTTGCCACTTAAAATTGAATCTCTGGGTTTTATGGGTGATGCAACTGTTTCTGAACAAAAGAATGGTCATAATCGTCAAATATATCCTCCAAGAGCTTCTAACATGCAAGGTTATTTTTATTATTCATATCACTTTTGTGTCCAAATTTTGATACTTTTTGGTTTTTTTAAATTTTCTTTTTCGTTTTCTGCAATTTTTACTCTACAGTTTCATGCTTGTAATTTTTACTCTACAATTTTTAAAGGGAATTGTCGTGGTGTTTATCCAGCTCGTAATGGATACGTGGCAGGTGCACGAAATGGACGAGGAAATGGACGATTGTTTGGCGGAAGCAATGATTCGCGAATTCCATTTGAACACAAACAACAGTGAAAAAAAGGTTAGCAGATGCGCGATCAATTTTCACACATCTTCTCAAACAGATTCTTTCGCTTCTATTTTTTTATTTTGACTCAGAAATTGCTCATTCTCATTGTCATCAGTATAGGTACATATATTGATGGCAAAATTTACAAATTTTTTCTTTAGCAAAAGCAGTTATAATATTAAGCAGTAATGTTATTGAATATATATTTTGGATTAATCTGCTTTATTTGCTTTCTGCTGTTGTTTCATTTAATTATTTTTTGACGTTATTGGTTATTTGTTTATTGTATTCTGTGATTTGATTTATTCCGCGCCTGGTATAAGAATTTTAATATATCAGTATTTATGTCATTCTATGTTTGGCAGTCAGTTTCGAAATAGTGAGCAATAAATTTCATGGTTATTTTACTCAAAGTCAGTGGGGGAATTATAGTTGTAATAGCGTGGGCCAGTTTTAAACGACGTATCTCAACCATTTTAAATTTTCCTTGGGTACATTTTTCTCGAATGCTATCAAATTTTATTTTATATCCTTTTGGCGTTGGTTTTTGGTACCGATATATTTAATTTTTTTGGCTGGCTCTTTGCACTTTTTTTTTATCTCACTTTCCAGTCCCAATTTTTATTTATCTAAATAAGAAATTTTTTTAGAGCTTATATGCAATTACATATTTCTCTAAAAATTTGATATTCGTAAGAAAATCTGTGCAAATTTTATTTTAATGGTAAGATATTTGTGAAGTAATATAAAATTTCAAATACATATTCAGCAGAAATACGTGTAGTTGGGTTATTTTGTTTTTTAATGGTTTATGTAACTTGTTTTTATGGTGATTTTTGCAGTGTAAAATTTGATTTTCAAACATGCATTGTGGAGAAAAAAATTTTTTCTTTTATTTTCACTTTACATTCTCAAAAAGTTTTGATGAATTGTAGCTAATTTTCTGTTTTTATGTTTTGATTATTATTTGTGATTGCTAGTTTTTTTAATTTTTTTTGTCATGTTGCAATATTATTCTAGGTGGTGATACAAGTCATAAACAAAGAAATGGACGAGGCACATATTTACTTTATGCATGAACATTAATCTATAGCATCTAGAACAGCCAGTGTATTAATAATTGAGGACGTGTGTTTTCATTATAGATAGGTTTTTTAGGTTATTAATGTAATATTTTTTTAGGTTATTAATGTAATATTAGTTGAAAGCAATTTGACGATGTTGAAATATCTTCCTCAAAACGTAAAAAAGTTAATTTTCGGAAATTGTTCGCAATAATTTATTTAAAGTAGAGTGGTATATTCGTGGCCTCGTATACATTATTATATTTTATACATGTTTTCACCAAACTTTTGCATTGTTATTAAACTGGTGGGGAATAGGAATTTTAAGTTAGGTAGTTTCGAGTAAATTAAAAGTATTTTAAGTAAATTAAAGGCAGTGAAGGAATGGAAGCGAATAGTTATCGAATAGGTTTATCAACCAAATTGATTATGTTATATTTATTATGTTAATCAACTCAGTAGGCAGTGTTTTATAAAATTTAGTTTCTGGTGAATGGTGAGAAGAAATTTTTGGAAGTAATTTGTTTTATGTTAATGTAATAAAATAAGCGAATTTTCATTTAAAAGAAACATTTTTATTTCAAATGTTTTTTATTTCTTTTAAAAATAACCTTTTATAAATATTTTTTATATTTGCATTATTTATAGTGCAATTTGCGATTTAACCTTGTTTATTCGACTGATTATTAGAAGTAATCATTTCATTTGGCAGTTTCGTAATGATCAGCCTTCAGTTACGGCGCGAAACTCTAAGAATCGTAAAATTAAGATGTCAAACTGCGTTATGAAGGACTATAAGTAAAGATTATTTACTTGTTGGAAGAAAATCGGACACTTTGTCTCTGGATCATTTCAAAACAAATATGGGAACGAGAAAAATACATCTTAAAACGAACAACAAATTGACTTCCTTGTTTGATTTGGATACGAAAGCGCAGTTAAATCCATTTATATAAAGTTCATTCAGAATAACGCAGTATCGGAACAAAGGTGCTCTCTTCACAACCAAAATCATCTGTTTCCAAAAATGATGAAATAATCTGTGATCAAGAAAAGACAGCATTACTAAGTACGAGAATCATCCCTTGTTTTATTACCCATCCATTATTTTGCCGAAAATAGCTGAAAAATCAAGCGTCAAACGCAGTACAGGAGAGCCTTAATATCTCTACTGTGGATTTAATGATTCTTCCATCAGTAATAATTCTGGAAATGATACCAGCGCATGCGAAAAATATAGGAAATATTCCGATCTTTCGAATGAAAAAACGATCCAGTTGTTGACTGACAGTTAATGTTGTTGATGTTGAGGATGCTTTGGTCTGAATCTGAGCTCTTATTTGATTCTCAAGGTTCACTGGGCCGCCTAAAAAGATTTCACCAATTGCTTTTCGTCATTTGCAGAAGAAAATCGAGTGCATGTTTGCAATTGTGAATATACGTGATGCTTTTCATTCGGAATATCAATTAATTAATAAACCGGATGGAAAGCAACCAAGCGCCTTCATGCAATAATTACAATTACAACGAGAGCGTAAAATAGCGGAAGCAAAATATCTGGCAGAAAGAAAGATGGAAAACTTTGAGGAACCGAATGAGATTTGGCTTGGCTTTAACCTCTACTTTTCAACTATAATACCAGGCCTCTTCGACAGTGATTTGGGAAGAAAGGATAGCCGTGAATGCATATGGCAGCTTCCTGAAGTTCTTCGACGTCGACCTCCTCGAAAAATTCACCAGAAAATTTGTCTAATGGAGTTAGATCTTTTCGTCTTAATCAGGAGGTTCCTCCATTTATTAGTGAAAATACGCGTTTGAAGCAAAGGCGATCGTGAAAAATGATGCGACAATCTCTTTCCTGTCGCGAGATATTGAAACCACTCGAAATTTCTATAATCTGTTTGAACTTCCGCCCTGGTATAACAAATATTTGTTTGGAGCTAATAGGAATGGTATTTGGTCTGACAGCAAAGGCTGACGATAGTCCTTTATTCAGCGATGAAATGAATTATTCTGTAATATTCTGGGCCGAGAATATTATCGCAGGTGATGAAAAATAATCGAAATATTTTGCCAATAGATTTTAAGCAACTCATTTTTATTTTCTTGTAAGGAATCATCTTTTTTTGGATATTCACTGCATTAATTTATTAGTCGTTGTAGGTTGTGCCAGTCATTCAATGTCTTTATCTCGAAATGCCTTAAAAAATTGAGAAATTTTTAATATTGATAATTTTTCTTTTTTATTGAGTAGTTCAACTTTTTTATTTTAGTAAATATTATCAAATATTTATTTTTAATTGTTATTATTTAATTATTGGGGATAGGGTGACTTAGTGGGTTGTTGTTCAATTGGAAGGGTCGATATTAAGATTTTATTCCCCACAGCAATAAACCTATCCGAGTGATGCTGGCGAGTCACCTGTATTTCTATCGCCAAGAGACCATGGTATATTTGTGAAACAAGCCAACGGAGCAAGTTGAAGCAGTAATGATTAAACTCTAAAAAAAAACAAAAAAATTTGACTAATTCGCTAAATTCGACTAATTGAGAAATAGAAGGGCAAATGATCTGCGTTTTTTTTAGTAAGTTGCAAGTTTCAGTTGATAGATACCAGTAAAATGCTAGGAAAATCAAATTAGAAATAAAAAATCGAGAAATATGAAAAATATGAAAAACTGAAAATATACTGAAGGTGAAGTAGAATAGACGGTAAAAAAGGAAAAGGAAAAATGATAAACAAAAAATTAAAAGAACCACACAACATAAAATTTGAGGACATTGCGGAAAACGGAAATGGTAGGCAGAAGGGATAATGTAGTATATTGCCTGCCATGCAACTGCGTTTTAATATTTGCACGCAGTAAGATGAAAGGTTCGAACAAACAAATTTTTATCCTCGAACTTGGATAATTATGCGACACAATCAAAAACAGCAATAAAAAAAGAAAAGGGAAAAGGAAAAGTAAAGAACTGCACAAAAATTGGGAAAAAATCTTGAGGATATATACCCAAATTTTTTTAAGAGCACTCATCATTACTGGTAAGATTCGCTCAGCTAGCTTGTCGGAATAGACAAATATGCCAGAGAATCGATTGGCGACAGAGGTGCAGGTGAGTCGCCAGCATCACCCGAAATACCCAAATTAATGAAATTAAATTAAATAAAATTAAAAAATGTTGAGGCGCCGCACAGGCTCCAAGTAAATTACGATAAAAATAATTTGTTTGGTAGACATGGTGTCCTTACCCAAGCAAGTTATAAAATCAATCCCTTTCCGGAAATTAATTGTAAGTGCATTGAACTCCATTACAAAAATATTGTTGAAAAAAATGTTTCAGCATAAAAATTAATTAAAATAATAACTCCTCTAGCAGACAGGGATCACTGATTTCCAATAATAAATTTGAAAAAAATAGGAACGGGTAAGTTTGCGAGGAGTGAGAAAGACAATTTATTTATTTATTGAAAACCAGCCAAGCAGGGCGACAACGCCGTGTGCTTAATAACAACAGTTAAAATAGCAAATAATGAAAATTAATAAAATAATTTTTAATAATAATTAAAATTAATAATTTGTTAATTTTATTAATATAATTAGTATAAAATAATAATAATGATAAAATTGATAATAATGAAAATATGACAAAAATTAACAATTTAAAGAGGAAATAAAGAGGAAATTACAGGATAATATAATAAAGTACAATTTGAAGTAGATTTATATATTATTATATATAATCGGATGATAAGAAATCGAGATTTCGCACTTACTGCATGATGTACTTTTTAATTAATATCGTAAATGATATTAACTAATCTTTTTAAAAAATAGCTAAGGATGACGCATAAACTATATTGTTCGTAATTTATTCCAGTAATTAACAGCACGAATAAAAAAGACATGAGTCTTTAGTCTAGTTTTGCACAAGGGTCTTAGTAATTTTAGCTCATTAGTTCTTGTTGGATTCAAATTTTGCCTAAAATTGTAATATTTTGAATAATTTATCATAACCATATAGAATCTTATAAGTATAAATCTTATTTAATATGAAGCTGTTAGATTCGTTTGTTTGAATTTGAGCCACTTGGCTAATCGCCAACGCTTTTCTCAAACTTCCCATTCGTTCATAAATTTTCATGATTATTATTATTATTATTGTTATTATTGTGTAGGCGAACTTAGAACGCTTGGTTTTTTTAAATTGTAAATAAATTAGTAGCAAATCGGTTCCAATTAAAATCGATGATGAATAAAAGTAAAATATTTGAAATTTTTCAAAAGAATTGGAATTTGAAAAATTTAGAAATCTATTTTTTCGTAAATATTGAAATGTTAATTGTGAAAAAATTTTTTGCGCAAAGAACTAGCAAATCATGCGCATCGCTGTTGGTTATGTTAGGCCAACATCGCTGGCCACGAGGATAAGGCGTTTCTAAGCCACTCGATCCAGCGCCGGCGCTGAGATTGAGGCAGGTCAGTCGGTCCTTTCTTCACCGCCTAAGCCCCTATATCGCCAGGTTACCTATATTTTCAGAATGTTTTGGTTGGTTCTCGTCGCTTTTGGTAGGACTTTTAGCAGTTAGCGAGATATGCGCCATTGTCTGAAGTGGACGAAGAACCTAATTAGCGTAGGAGACGTTGCAACAATATTGTTAATGCAGGTGATATCTGGACCAAAGTGGAGAAGTGAATTGTGAGTTTAAGCGCACATGAATGGCCAAATATGGCCTCTAAATATTTTCCGCTCTCACTGACTATATTTCGCAGCTATGCAACAAGATGGCATAAATTGCATCCAGATAAATGCTTTCGTTTTAATGGTGGTTTCTTGGCGATTCCATAAAGGCTTCGCCAGACAAAAAAAGCACTTTTAGATGCAATTTCGTCTTCGGTTTGGCCATTTGATATAAAAAAGCCAGTTTATTGGAATTATTATTTTGCAAATAATTATGAGTAAAAATCAATAAAAAATAGAAATTCATTATTTTAAGAGAATTCGTTTTTGTTATTAAATGGAAAAATTGTTTTTTAATTCCCAAAAAACTCATTCTTAGAAAATTTTTCCTTTGAAAAACAAGGAATTTTTTATGAAACAAATTAATTAAAATCCTATATCCTATAAATAAATGGAATTCAAAATGATGAGATAAAAAAGAAAATTTTTTCCTAAAGAAAGAAAATTATTCCTTTTTCGGTCTAATTTTTACTTTGTTTTGAAAAATAAAAATTTTTTTATTTTATTTATTTTCTATTATCACAAATTTATTCTTAGATATTACAAATTTATTTGTAATTTGTAATAATTTATATTTTCGCAGCTAAAAAGACGAAGAAAAAACTAAAAAAAAGAGTATTTAATCTGTAGAAATGACATGGAGTCGTTACCCTTTAGCAGTATTTAGCGCTTGCTCTCAGTCGCATGGGTTTGATGAGCGACAGGTTAATGTGCCAGTCTGTGAGGAGAATGCTATAAAAATTGGTCGATCGGTTGCTCATTGGAAGCCAGGCAATGATAATGCAATTTTCGATTGTAAAGTAAGTGAAATTTTTCTGCTACGCTAATTTTAAATCAAGAAATAACGTGGTGAAGAATTAGCTTCAAAGTTGGTAAAAAAGATTCATATTTCTTGATTTTTTTTCTGTCAGCTTCCTTGAATGGAATGATAAACTTTTTGATTGGCTGCAAGAATAAGAAATTTTTTGGACTGTTATCTGCTATTTCTTAAAATAATCACTGTCACTTCTTTTTCACGTTTTAGCCGTTTCAGCCCATATAGCTAAGCTGAAATATATTCAAATCTTGATCGTGTCTGTGTAGTTTCTAATCGTAGGTTAAAAGCTTTTTTCTTAACGCTATCCATGTCAAACCTTTACTGCAATCAGCGGCAAATGACATGATCTTACCAGCATAGGCGACAGTATTTGATGATATATACTGTGGTATTCGTGCAAAAATGGACGCAAGATTTTATGAGGTGTTATAGCGCAGAATGCTGCAGATCTCTATAGTTTCCTGATATCTTCCAATGTCATCGGTTGTTTGCCAAGATTTTTGACAAATATAGTAAGATTGTGCCAATTAAAGCTTAACTTTTGTTCAGATGTTGATTTCAGGGATGGTTCGTTAATGGTTTGATAGGTGTTTGCAAGGGAATATTTCTAAATGTTGCCGTCTGGAATTCCATCTATTGCTTTATCGTTCGGTGAAGTGGGTGTAGAAACTGGTACTTTAGTCAATATAGGTATTGAATATTCCACTCTTTTAGCAAACAGTTTACTTTTATTCATCTACTACATTAATCTGGAACAAAATTTTCATTGCATTTATTGATACATAGCATAGCATTGTGATTTCATAACTGTCAGCAAAAGGTTCGCATTATCAGTACTGAAAGTCAGTGCCCATAATTTAGTCCAATCTTTGTTGAATACAGAGCACTCAGATCTTCTTACTTCGGAGAGGGTCATTTATATCAGTTTTCCATCAATAATTCTTCAATGCTATGCGGATAAAAAGAAAAATCATATCTTAAACATAGAAAGAAGAAAGAAGAAAGAAAGACAAAGAAGACAAAGGCAAAGAACAAAGAACCCAAAGAGCAATGGAACGAAAAACTGACTTTCACTGTATGATCATCCGAACAAAAATGTACGAAAACAAACGGATTTAAAGACATCAAAACAGAAAACAGACCACAAAATTGAGATGGGCTGGTCACATATGACAGTTGTTGGCTAGTATCCAAAGTTTGAAAAAAAACGAGACCATCGAGGTGATTTTATGGCAAAGAATCTGCTATCTGCAGCTGAGAAATTGGTCCGATTTTGTTGTTAATTTCTTCTACCTTGAAGAAACTTTTGAACAAATTAATGACTGGTTACTTCGAAAGAAATTTCTATGTTTTTCAAAATATCCAGCATATTTAAGTTTTCTTAGGTTTTGTCTCGAAATCATGCAGTTTTATGGTATGAAGAAGGATGCTTCTATTTGAAAGACACTAAAAGTAGTAATGGAACATTTGTAAATAATGAAAGGCTATCAAAAAGTGCTGAAGAAAGTTCCCCTCGACAAATATTCTCTGGCGATATTCTTCAGTTTGGTGTCGAAATTGTTGAAAATGCTAATAAAGGTATGCTAAATTTATAAATTTTTTATAATATCATATTTGAAATATATTTCATTATTTGTTGTGAAATTTTACTTACATTTGATTTTATTATATTTGGCAAATGATGAATTCGATTTATCAATGAAAAATGATTTATATTCAAATTATTAAATTATTGTTAAATTTGTATGATTTTAAAAATCTCCAGTTAGAATCGTTCATATATTTAAATTCTTCAGTAACTCATGGTTGTATAATTGCAATAGTTCGTTTATTTGATTGTAATGGTGACGAAGTGCTTGCTCCCGAAACAAGCACATGTATGATTAATCGTGAAACAGATTCCCAGTTGCCAGTTGTCAGCGCTCCATTAGTAAATTCATATCAGTTGTTTCAACTACAACAGTATATACGTGAAGCAGTTCACCGTGAAAAAATAATTGAACAAAAGCTATCAACTTTAGAGAATATTCTGTTTACCACTGAAAAAGCCACTGAATCTAGTTGGCAGGTATTAATATTTTCCTATAATTTAGTTTGTTATATGAATCTTGTTATATTCTTTAGGCGCATTAAGAATATTTTATTTTATATTTATTTAAAGTTATTCTAAACTTTCTGGTAAATATTTATATTGTTTTTTACTATTTTTTTTTCAGTTTTCAGCCTTCAAAAATTAATTAAATTACGAAATTGTAGGCACTGATAAGCGAGGATCACCTTTTGTCGAGGATAGAAATGCTTGAGGGACAATTGTCGCTCTATTCCAAGAATTTACTCAGCGATAAAGTTAAAGAGCAAATGAATGAAATGATAGAAGATAAAAGTAAATTTGAATTGATGGCAAAAGAATCATTACGCCGAGCACAAGAAGAAAAAAATGAAGCATTGCAAAGACTTTCGGACGTTGAACATTGTCTCGTTAACACAGGTCATTTTCTTAAAGATTATATCCCTCTATTTTTTTTAATAATTTGAAAATAATGCAGATAATAAATAATATTATAAAGGTAATAAGGATAATTTTTATGAGTAATTTTTATGAGTAATAATTTTATGAGTAAGGGTAATTTTTAATTTTAAAATTATGAAAATTTTTATTTTCATAAAGGCCTTTTATTCTTCTAATTCAGTGGTTTTAATGTTAATTAGGTAAAAAATAAAAAATTTGAATTTAAAAAAAATAAAAATTTAATAAAAATAAAAACATTTTTTTAATAATATAACTTATTACCATTTTGAAAACGCATGGGCATTTTCAAATTAAACCATTGAAATAATTCATTTTTAAATCATTTTTAAATCAGTTTCCATGGAACCAAAGCTGTGAACGAAAAATACATTGCATAAAATGCATTGAAGAATAAGCATAATTGAGAAATATATATATATATATACTCAAATTTGTTAATCTTATAAATTAATTTTCGCTCAAATAATACAAATATTAATATATATATATATATATATATATATATATAATACTAATATTAATATTTTAATAATGTCTTCACACTCTGCTTCTGTTCCAGTATCTTCAAACTCCTCTTCCATTTGCTATATTTCTTATTCTTGTGATTGGTCTTTTTCACATCCACTAAATCTCATTTTCTTAACATTTCTTAAATCCATTCTTCAGAAATCCTCCCCCCGTTTTTCCTTTGCCATTCTCAATTCGTACTCTACACCATGGCTTAGTTAAGGAGACTTTTTTGGACATGCACATTAAGACATTTTGTTATATAGACATTCCTTTCTTTTAAATCGATAGTTATCAGACTAGTCTTTATACAAATTCCTTTAAATCCATGACTCAGGAGATGCGAAGGAGCCTAAGTTGAACTGTATATTGTTTTTTGAATGCTAACAAATCATTTTTAATGATTATAGTTTATCAAATTCAAAAATCCTGGAGTGGGAAAATTTAGCCAATATTTTGAAATTTTAAAACTTAAAAATATTTCACTACGGATCTTTAAAGTATCATCTAGGGAGTCCATAGAAAAAAAAAGTTAATGACCAATCATTTTTTCATATTGATTTTTACAACTGTAAATTTAGAAGAAGAATCAGCAGTTCTTCGACAGCGCATTTTTGATTTGGAAAATGAATTGACTAAAGCTGTTGAATCTAATTTTTATCTTCGCGATTCTCTTTCGCAGACATATATAAAATTATCTGAAGCGAAATACTCGGCAGCTTGCAACAACTACAATTTGCAGGTTATTTAATTTACAAATTAATGCTTTGAACACTTATTTACCATTCTCATTTTATGTGAAATTTAATTAAGGGTTTATTGAATTCGTCAGTTGGAAAGTCAGTTGGAAATGGCACTGCGGAAAAAAAAAAGGTTGCTGTGGAACATATAGTTGTGTCATCTGAAAATGGTAATGTGGATAATGTTCATGATGATGGGAATAACACATCACTTGGTTTAATGCAAAATATGAGTTCCATCTGTAAATCTTCATCTGTTTGGACAATAATTTACATTGCCTTTAAATATCTCCAGTTTAATATTAGTTTTGCCAATAGATGAATGTTATCGCATATTATGTTTTTTCAGCTAATAGCGACTTCAAAATGAAAATGGAAATAGAATTAGAAAATTTGCAAAACGAATTAAAAAGAGTATTGGATGAGAATTTTTCTCTTCGAAGTCTATTTTTTTATTTCTTTTGTTTTCCATCTTTTATCTTTATTATTTTGTTTTTATTTTTTTAACACTGGTTAATTTAAAACAATTAAATGAAACAATTAAATTTAAAGAATTTATAAAAGCGACAGGATACTGGTAAGGATATGTTTTGTGATGAATTTCTATATAATTCTCCCATTAAATTTTGTTGTAGTTTCGATCATTGTTAAAACTAATTATTTCTAATAACAAGCTTTAATTTGGGATCATAATCTTAATATTATTGATTTCTTGACAGGTTGCTATTTAGTAGATTTAAATTTTTCCGCAAAATTTCCATTATTTTCCTACTTAATATTAATAATGCTCAATATAGGCCGTATCATGCAAGAGAAGGAAATGGTTATTTCTGGGAAAAAGGAATGTTTCGAAGATAAAAAGATGCAATTTCCAGATTATGATATTCAGGTAACTAATTTTTTGGTACCTATTGGGTTAATTGTGTAAAAAACAAGCCATCTTACTATGATAAGCATTTCTGGCAGAAAATTTCTGTGAATTATATTACTAAGTTATTTAGGATTACTAGGTTTTATCACGTACGTAAGTGAAAACAAAGAGGTAGTGAATTATATTACTAAGTTATTTAGGATTACTAGGTTTTATCACGTACGTAAGTGAAAACAAAGAGGTAGGGTGGCTCTGTAGCTTAATTTAGCGCCGATTTGAAGTTATATGCTCGGTAGGAGTAGATTTGTTCAGAATAAATTTGACCTGTGCTTCTATCTTCAAGTTATTCCCTGGCAAAATCTGTCTGGTTCAACAAGCCGACGGAGCCGAATCTAACCAGCAATGATGAGAAATATTATAAAAAATATGTAACAATGGTAATTCAAAATCTTAACTCTATTTCATTTCAACTCTGTCTCATAAATTCTAGTTTCAGGTTCTAATATTATTTGGATTGCCATTTTTCGCAGTTTTTTTCCTAGCTCACCGACTGGCCATTAAAGCATTAAATTTTCGCACAAAACGTGATTAATTTTTTTGGAAAGGTGAACGCATATTTATTGTTAAATTTATGAATCGACTAAAGATGTTATTAATTATTAGAAACTTATTAGATGTTATTAGAAATTAAAACGAGTTTGTCCCTTTTTTACCAGTTCCATTGGATTCCTTCCTCTAATATCTAATTTACCGAAATGCACATTGGTGCCTAGCGTTTTTCTAACTATCGTTTATTCGCCAATTTATTCGCTTTTCCTTTTTTGGATAAATAAAATATCCAGGCTATATTGATATGAATAAATATTGATATACATAAGTTTCCAGCGTTTATTAACTGACTTAAAATGTAATTATAAAATAAAATGACTTTAAATCAAAAAAGGCGTTAATGAAACTTGCATCATCTGTAGGCGGGCGTTGTTATATAGAATTATTTGTAGAGTTTCTTACCCTGTAAGTGGGTATTCCGCTTTGAGTGCGCCGTCTAAACTCACTTTGAAAATGGTGGCTTTAGTGTTCGGCAAAAAATATTTTACCAGGTTTCAAAGCTTATAATAACATATTTACAATCGCGCCAAAAATTTTTTTTAGAGCAGAGATGATACTTTCGCTATTGGTATCCCTGATTGTCTAGGGTCGATAACTTTTTGAATTTTTCCCATGTCTTGCACGCATTACGAAAGAATGGCCACCGTAACTGCAAGCCAATTCCAATATTTTTTGGGCTTAGGTCTTCACTTCCAAGTTACCTTTGATCAATGGTAAACTTTGGCTTTTTTTGAAGATCAAAATTTCTTTTCTTGAACTTCTTGAAGTTGGCAAACCATTATCCAAACCTGCTGTTAATTATAAATTTGTTATCAATGCTCTTCGTCAGTCCACTTCTTCGCTTTGGCAGTATTTTTTCCAGTATAAAAAAAAAGAGTAGACAATGTCGCACATAGTGCAATCAAATAAATGAATAAATAAATAAGATTTAATCAGTGGCAATTCACTAATCCAAATTGTCTCGTCAAATCAGTGCTGGAAAACACATTATGAGGAAATCATCAGGAAATTTCATTTAAATGAGTGTGCTAAACGATAAAAATCATTAAAAAACTTTTAGAAAATTTATTTGGTCATATTAAAAATAATACTATTAAACCCGCCGAAAATCTTCAAATATGAGGAAAATTGTATAAACTGGAAAGAATAAGGAAGCTTAAGGAAGAATAAAGAAAATTATAAATGGAAGAAATGGTGCAAAAATAACAAAATAAACTGTTTGTATTGGTAAATAAAGATATGAATGATTCAAATAAGCCAAAAAAATGATATAATACGGAAATCAATTTCAAAAAAATTGGTTCAAAATGAAATTCGCCAGCCATAACCGTTGAAATCTTGTTAATTGTTTAAATTTTGCCATGTTCCAACTTCGTTGTTATATTGTCTCCAATAAACTCGCTTCCTTAAGCCTTTAAATCTAAATACTTTTAGATCGCAAAGTACCAGTGAATCTCATGACACTTCCTTGACAAAAGTTTTCCTTAATTCTGCTAATTCTGAGATAAAACTAAAATTTTATCAAAAATTTATAAATTTATCAAAACAGGCAAAAAGAGAAAAAAACATAAGTAAAATCGGAAAGAGAAAGAAATTTAAAATGGTGATGTTAATAAAAGGATCGGAGATTAGAGACAGTGCTAAAGGGAGCTTCAAGGATTGCAACTGGATTAAGCAGTAATAAAGGATCTTAAGCTTGCGTTACTGGTGGATACCAGAATAACACAGTTTGGTGTATTAGAAAAAAATAAACTTTCATATTAAGGTGTTTTGCTTTTTTTCATTTAATCAATTAGAATTTGAAGGATAACAAAAGGTTTCAATTTCAATATCTAACGGCTTTTCATGGACATCGAATGCATTTTTTCTGGACGTACCACTCAATGACGATGCTTTTTTTGTGTAATATTGTTGTTGATAAAAAGTGCAGAAGTTTTTTTTATAAACTTAAAGATATATTTTACAAATTATTAGCGAGAAAATAAAGTGAATAGCTAATTCTATTTATTTTTTGAGAATTTATGCAGTTTTAATTCGGTCGTCAGCCACAGTATTTCTAGATTTATACAATGCAGAAAAAAATGAAACAGCTCCTATCTTTATAAAAAAAAACCAATTATAAGCAAAATGTGAAAATCGAGAAGCTTATTGCAAGTTTAACGTATGTTCAATTCCTATTTTCCTATGGAAGCTATCATCGAAAATAAAATCCGAAGGGTGTTGTCCATAGTTCTATCTTCCTAATGAAGAAATTTATCATTCCTAATGAAGAAAATAATTTATAAGTGGGATTCATTCAAGCAGATTCATATCAGAAGAGAAATATGGTAAAAAAAACCATAATCAAACATGTTTATTAACAAAGTAAGAAAATATCTAAATAATCAAACAAGATTAGTCAGCAAGGGGTTTTCGAAACTTTAAAACAAGTGATGAGATCTGATATAAGCAAAATGCGATATAATGAGCCAAAACCTTATTGTACTATATGGCACTTATATGTACATATGACATCGTATAAATTAATGCATAAATTCATGCCATGAAAAAGCTCAGGAAAGAAAAAAAAGTTAGATATATCTAAAAATACTGTTTTATTTTAATGTTCACAGTATAAATTTTCATTTTTTGTTACCAAATCTGCGTCTCGCGGATCTCGCCTATTATAATACTTGCTTTATTCAATGCCTAAATATAAAATAGGGGCAAAATCAAAAAAAAAGATAAAAAAATTGCATTAAATACATTACCGCACAATAAATATAATAAAAATAAAAAGAATAAATAAAAATAAAAAGAATGGAATAAAAATGAAAAAATGAAAAATGAAAACTGAAAACCTCGAGCATTTCAGCAGATTCTTTTCTTCTTTGTGCCATAATTGGACTTTCAGTTAATAATTCTTCGACTGTATCACGATTATATAACTGCCTTACCAATTCACTTTGCAAATTATCCTAAAAAATAATTAAAATGAATAAAAAATTTAATAAAAACAAGCAGATTTCGTTCTCAAAAAAACTTACTCGAACATAATTTACCAGAAAGTGCATAATGGCTTTAGGAACAGCATCCTGAACATTTTTGCGAACAATTAAAAAATAACTTCGGATAAGCCTTTCTGAAAATACCACGGAAATAAATATAAATGACAAAAAATATAAATCAAAAAAATCTTAAAATCAAGATCAAAAAACAGCAATAAAAATACCGATAATTTGACAATCCCTTTGTTCACGCGCTGTAAGTTTACGGCTTATTGCTTTTTCAGGCACTTCAGGCAAAAAATTAACAGCACGATGTGCAGATAAGGCTAAAATAAATTTTCCAATATATGTTCAAGGAAAATAAAAGGAAAATTTACTAGGAACGAAACTTACGTGACTGAACAGCATTTCTAATAGCACTACCAAACAACCAGCCACTTAGTCCTGAACTTTCAACGGTCTGTAATAAATAATCATGGTTTAAAACAGAAAAAAAAGAATTAAACGAATCAATTCACATATAAGTGGAAAATAAACCTGAGCATTAATAGACTCGCCGCTACCTTTCGTTGCTCCTGTGTTCTAAACAATTCAATATTAATATAAAGCCGACATCTTCAAAATTGAAAATTTAAATTTTCCATAAAATCTGCACTGATCTAACTAATATATACAATAATTTACGAGATCTGATGACAGCGACCCATTTACATTAATTTTTTTCCTACGTTTCATTTCCTCATCACTGATTATTTGTTCCTGAAAATTCAGAATAATAAAAATTTAATTTAAATATATCTTAAATTGAAAATCATCGACTGGATTTTACAAAAAAAAAATTTGCCTTTAAAATACTGACGAGTGATGCATCAGTAAATTCAGGATGTTTTGTATTGATATACGCCAATTCAATTGCTACAAGATTCTCAACCATTTCATTCGTTGGAACAAGACGACTCTTTAAAACACTGCTTACCACTTCATTTATTTTATCATATAAACGTGGAAAACGTTGCATTTCTTGCTATAAAAAAGTTATGGCACATAAACTTAAACATAAATTTCCGAAATAATTTCCAGCATAAGTAGAGATATAAAATAAAGAAGTGTGAAACTTGTGTGTGAAGGCCACAGTGCTGAACGATTCGTTGAAGCTCCTCATGAACAAGCTCCACACAACGTAAACTGGGTTCCTCCAGACGACGAATTTGGCGCTTGACAAGCAATTCAAAACTTACTTCTGGAACAAAGAGGGCAGGTCGTGGACCCTGCAATAAATTTTGATATTAAACATTTCTTTTTTTGATATATCCAAAGAATAACTTTCAAAAAACTTTTCATTCATGATCAAACAAATTAGATAATGGTTTTAATGATTTTCTCCAGGGATTTATAGGGAATTTTAAAAAGTGAAGAATTATTAAAAAAGACTAAAAAAAATATAGAATAAAGCACTGTAGCATTTCGTATGGCAGTAAGAATATCAAGTTGTGTGAGATCACCAAGAGGATCAATTGACTCAAGAACACGACCAAATGTTTCGTGAAATATATAGCATATTCGAGCACCACCACATCTTAATGATCATAAATTCATGTAAATTAGGCATTCTAAATACTCTTTACTTTTTTTAATAATAAGACGGTTAAACCCTTCTTTTGATTTTTACTTTCCATGTTCTTTGGTATGCAATAAAAATTTACATATTTATCGACTGAAGGATATAATAAGAATATTATAAATAATAAAAATAGTAAAATATGATCCAAAATGGACAAAAAAAATGTATTATAATTTTTTCACTCCTTATTTTAAAGACTAAGGAAAAATTTAACCACTACAGTTCGGATGTTTCGATATTTTTAGAAGTTCCTTCGATCGTCGCTGTATAAGCTGTTGCGAAGCGAGTGATAATCTGTAGCAGTGTTCGAGATGGATCTTGAACAGGTTCACCGTAAGAATTCAGCAAAGTCTGACACTGAGCCATCATAACATTGACACGCATTTTCAACTGGGGTAAACATTCTCGAATATGATGCATAAGCAACTGAAAATATTCTAAATTAAAGCTCAAATTAAAGCTCAAAAACAGCATTGGTACCTTTACCCATATGGAGTGAAATCTCTTATGAAGAAAAATCTAATTAATGACATTAGAAAGCGAATGTTTATGAAGAAATCCAAAGAAAATTAAAATAAAAATGCATGAAAAACCAGCAAAATTTAAAAGTAATCATACTCTATTTAAAGTTTTTGCTAAATGTGGCGTTCCATTGCGACTGGCTAACGTTGGATACTTTCGTTGCAAGAATGACTGTTCGTCTCGCAGACAATCTGATATGCTTTTTTTATTAATAATATCTGCTTGAGAACTGAAAATAAAATGAACGGCAAAATTTTCTCATAAAATGTCACAAAAACCTTCTGTATATCTATGCAGTATAAAACTCAAACCGATTAACAACGCCAATAATGCCAAGCTTTACTGGAACAACCCTTCCAGTCAAAACATCCATCGCATCAGTACCATGATCCATCAAATCTAATTTTGTCAACACTGCGAGGGTACGACATCCTAAACTTTCTGCATTAGCCAGCGACATATAACATAAATATAGTTGGAAGAATAAATATAGCTGAAAGAATAAACGAAAAGATTTCAAAATATATTCCGCTGTTCAGTGATTTTTGATAGTTTATCTATATACCTTATAAAATCATATAAAAAACTACCAAGAAAATAACTAGGCTAATGAAAAAAAATTAAATTTATTCACAATACCAATTTTATTTTATTTTATTTACCATTTTAACAGACGAACAATTGTGCCATTATCTTTAGTTAATTATAATCATAGTGCAAAAAAGCAAGACAAACCATCTGAATCAACTTCTCGAGCAAATTTCAGTGGCTCTGAAGTAGCGAAATCTTGATTTGCGGGCGTGACAGCAAGAATTATTGAATTTGGATTCATTATATAATTCATTATCATATCGCGAACTTGGCCCTATGAATTAGAGATATGCAATAGAAACTATTTTCACCAGTGAAGGGACAAATGTAACCAAAAAAGCATAAATATTAAAACAGCATTCAAATGCAATAGGAAAAGCAGAAAGATTTAAAAAAAAAGTAAACTGAAACCTCGATATCAGTGGGCTGATCACCGACCGGAACTTTTGTAATTCCAGGCAAATCAATCAGAGTTAAGTTAACAACATTAGGCGAATAAATTTTTAAGCAAATTGGAATGCCACAAATACCCTAAAATAAAAAGAAAAAAGTAAGAAGTAAAAAGAGGTATTCTACTAATTAAAAAAAAATTTTTTTATGAAAATAAATCTAACATAATGCCTTATCCATTTGAAAATCCAATTTTAATTTTGATAGCCTTCCTGACATCATTTTTTAAGAAATATTTGGTGGCGTAGATACCCATCTTTTACCCACATGTCACTTACGAAAGAATTTCACTACAAAAGTCAAACAGCCAGGAAAACAGGAATTGAGAATGCAAAGAAATATATTTATCCAAAAATTTCATTAAGCGAAATCTCTAGAACCAAAAGGGACATAAAAATTCATAAAATAAATACAGTTCTACAAAAGAGTACCTTATTAGAGCCTGATAATCTATCTGTTTCTCTTTCGATTTCTTTTCGAATTTCATCAAAATCTTTAAATATTTGTTGTTTACAATGATCAAATATTCCCCATTCCTCAGCATCGATGTGAATTCCTGAAATTTCCAGCATCATTATAAATTTCAATCTTATTTTAGATTAATACCTTGTTCAGTTGTTCGCACTTCTTTATCATATAATGGAACATTAATTAATTGCAGAATAAGAGGTCGTCGAGTGATTATACCGGACCCTCTGGGCAAAAAATCTCGACCGACTATTCCTTCGAGAACAGAACTCTTGCCTGCACTCTGAAAATTCGTTTTCACTGACCAGCTAGTTATATAATATAATCTAAAAAAAAGTAAACTAAAAGTAAGTAAAAGTAAAAGTAAAAAGTGAAAGTAAAACTAAAGTAAACTAAGTAAAGTAACAATAATACAAACCTGTGAGCCAACGACGACAATCTGAGGTAGTTGGATCTCGGCTTCGCGCGTACCAACGGCTGAAAACACGTCCTGCAGCTTATTTATTACCGGAATAAGAGACTCCATCTCAAACTGAGCTGCAAGATTTTTTTTAAAAATCAAAAAACATAAAGTAAAAATATTATTGGCACAAAATTTGCGACAGAATGGTACAACAAGTGGTATGCGCATATTGCATTCCCAGCCGCTCTATGCAAATTAAAGAGTAAAATAAAGTGCATTCGACTGCAGTCTTTGTTCTAACAGCTCTCACCATTACTGGTTAAGCTGGCTCCACTGGCTATAACGGTAAGATGTTTCTAAACTGCGCAATCTGATGCCATCACCGACAGCAGAAGAAGCCATTCCTTTTTCCATCGTCTAAATTCATATATTTCTGGTACACTTAAATGTTAAACGTTCAAAATTTTTCTGGATTATGTCTAGGTCTTGACTGATCCACCTCACTTCTGACGCCATCAGAGGATAATAGGTAACGAAGTATATGTCAGATCTTCTGGTTGATAACGAAGAACGTGCCTTCACGAGCCAGAAGACGACGCTCTGTGATAGTATTGTTAATGCACTTAGTACATGAGCGAGAAGGGATACAATCATGTAAGATTTTATTGGCTCGATGAACTCGTAAAATGCACCACGACACGAGTGGCCAGATGGTTTTTTATATCCTCCACTCTCACTGGCCATATAACAAAATCGAACGAATTACAGCCATAGAGACGTGGACTTTATGATGATTTCACGACGGCTCCATAAAGTAACAATCGGAAGAGCATTTCTAACTATCACTGCCCCCGAGTTGTAATTTCGTTTTTCGCTTGCCCTTTTGGAATTAGAGTGAATATAAGATATTAAAGCAGAGAACTTCATCAACATCCAATGAATATAGGTAAATACTGATAAAAATAGGTACTTTATTAGCTTCTTGCACATAAGCCGAAAAGTTTTTTGGTTTTATTTACATTGACCCTGAGTCTAATTCTCGCTGCAGTTGTCAGCACATTATTTGCACTACTTGCATTTTATCATAAAAGTCAGCAAAAAGGACTACATCATCTACTATTCGAGATCTGTGATACGACGCTCTGGATGCTGCAATCTGTAACACTGCAATCTCTCCAAGCAAATAAGTGTCGCGACAATTTAATCTGTGATTTGATATATAATTTAGTAAGAAATTTTTCACAAAAATTTATTTTTTCCAGCAGCCATTCACCACTGTATGTAAGACTCGTTTCGCTGGGTTTCTGGACAAGATAAATAGCCTCCGCCCTGCAGTGATTCTTCTTGAGAGGGGAGTAACAACTCATTGACTCGAACTGGCAACCATCTTACCATCAATCCACTTACTCACCTTCCCATAAAAGTAAATTTAAAACGTAAACATTAACAACAAACAACGAAAAATTCTGAAAAATATTTTCAGGACCAAGAACTATGACAATAAATCTAACAATTAGGGCTAAAATCAGAAGCTGAAAGTTCAGCCGAGGGTTAGTGATCATTTCGGATTGACTTATGGCAAATCACATTTTTCGGTCAACTAGTTGACATCTGATATGAAAATCGGTTTTCAATGCGAGTTGGTCGAGTTTTTGTTAATTTAAAATTTAACAACGATAAAATTTTTGGGGTCCTGTGGAGCTAATTTGTATCCTCTTAGAGTCCTTTCAGATCTCATCGAATTTTCTATCCCCACTAGGACGATTATGGCTGGTTGGAAGGTATGGTGATTCGACTAAGGGCAAGTTTTATTAAAGTTCCCGATTCCAGTTCCTTGATTTGATTCCAGTTCCTGCATTTGAAAGTTGCAGAAGTCTGAGTGGTGCCCTAATTGCGCTTCTACTGTTCGATAGCATTTGCCCAACCGGAAGTGCCTAGTGCCTAGCTATTTGTTTTCTTTACTATTTTGCTAAAAATTTCATTTCTGAAAAATTTAATGGAATTTTGGTTAATTTTAATTTGGTTAATAATAATTTCTTGTTTCTTAAATTATATTTGCAGTTGTCTACTGAAGTACACTAAAATAGATTGCTGTATAAACGATAAAAGTACCAACTACTGAGAAAATTTTTAAAATATTTTTGCAAATAAACTGGCTGAATGTAAAAAATAAAAAATAAAGGCTGTTGCCATAAATTTTGATTTAAAAGGTTATTTGAAAGTTATTTAGCTTTAATTTTATTTTTTTGATTATTGATGATGAATTTTATTATTTTATTACTTACTAAACGCATTTAAGAACGGAAAAAAGTATTTTCCACTTTTTTCCATTTTCTAATAATTAATTAAGACTTTCAAATTAAGAGACTTTCGAAAATGATTTTCTACTAGTAAAAACAACATTTTATTATTTATTCTTTATTTTTTATTTGTCGATTTGTTTTCAATTTGTCTTCTTATAATTTCTTTTATTATAATTCTTAATATCTTAGTATATTTTTTCTCAGTTTTATTTTTTTGCATCATTCTCATATTTTTTTATTTTTTTCGCGATGCATTAATTATTATAAAGTTATTAAAATGGCAGAATTTATAATACACTTGTTGTAGATTATCATGGCGAATTTCTCAGTTGATGCAGTTAATTTAGCGACTGTTAAATCGGCTGATCCGCAAGTTTCATCAATTATTAATCTTGTAAATTTTCCACCTAATGGTTATATGGAATTTATTCATTTATTCATTTAAGTTGCAAATAATTTAATTTTCATTTGGTTTTTATTTTTTGGAATTTACAAAAAAGAAGTTTTCATAAAAAAATGAACCTTTCAACTTGTTTTTAATTTTTATCTGTGGTTGCTTTTATATCTAAAAAATCACATGGGGCATCAATTTTCCGTTAATTCAGGCTAATTTCGCACAACTCTATCATTACAATTTTATTGAGGAGGCGTGGAAGCGGGAAAAATTTGCAGGGCCAATATTTCTTTGTAAACGAAGCGAAGAGCCGAAATTTTGTCTTATTGTAAAAAATCAGTGTTCACCTAATGATTATATCGAATTTATTCAACCAGAAATGAGAGTTTGTCATAGTTCAAGCTCTAAATGTATTTATATTAAAAGAAGAGGTAAAGTTTTTGTTGAATTTCTAAATACAAAGCAGTATCATTCACTCATAAGTTGTTTTTTAGAATCTAAAAAACCGAAAATTCCGGATTTTTTTCCAGATAGTTTAAATGAATTTTGTTTTACTGTTTTATAGATCAAATTTTTCGTATTATTATAAGACACTGCTGGTGCGTTATAGAATACTAACCCATCATTTACAGATAGTTGTATTCTTGCTTTCTGGATATATGATGAAAGAGATCGTATAAAAATTTATAAACAATTGCTCCTTATAATTCAGTCATGTGATCTTAAAAACACCAAAATTTCTTACGAAACTAACGTTTTACAAGGTTCAAGGGGCATTTCGAATTTATTTTCATTTTTTATCATTTAACAATGTTGTGATAATATTTGAATTGACTAATAATTAACATGGTTATTGTAGTTTTGTAAGTATTAATGATACAATGTTTTCTATCATTTTTGGTATTGATCTTCGTTTGCACTTTTTTTATATTTTTCCCAATTGGTTAGTCTAAAAATTTAGAATTTAGTAGATTATAATCCACAATTTTTTAGAGCATTTCTGCTTCACATTTTTTAAATTCTGTTCTTTTCAAATAATAATTAAGAAATTGTTCCAGATAATGATGGTAACGATAAGCCGTCATGGATGAAGCAATTATTTATCATTAGCGATAAAAGCACTCTCGTTACTGATAAATTAGAAAAACGGTTAAAAAATGATCTAATTGAAAATAATAAAAAAGCCAGTCAGAACATGGAACTAATTAAGCAGTCTATTACATACAATTCTGAAGAATCTCTCAATGGGTATTTCTCAAATTTATTTGAATTTTTTTATCTTTGAAAACTTTCATTGAAAGATTTGTTTGTTTCTAAATGCAGTAAAATCAGCAATATTTAGCTATTTTTGCATAAATAACTTGGTCTGCCTCAGAATCTTTAACAGTAATTTAAATAAATTTTATTGTCGTTCAATTTTTTTTCGATCGGTAACTCCACGCTCTAATGCATTCAATATTAATCACTTAATGGGTCCTTCATGCTCGAAGTCCACGGATTTTGCGAATTTGGCTGATACGGTAATTTGAAGAATCCTGCACATTTTTTTCATATTTGTTATGTTTTTTTAATTAGATGAATATATCTTGAATAAAATGAATATCTTTGACACCTCAAAACACTTTATTTCAGGATTTGATAGAAAGATGCGACGAGAAAAAAAGGAATGCAGCACTAAATAAAGAACAATTTATATTAGCTTTATGTCACTTGATTAAGGTGTTTTTTTAATTTTTAAATGAAAACTGCTTATATAAAACTGCACCTAACCAGAAATACGAGAAATGGTTAGTTAGTGTTTAATCATTTCTGGTTTAATCCATTTGTTGTCACAACGATGAGAAATTTTATGCTTGAGAATCACTTGGCGATTGAAATAATAATTCAATTACCCTATTGTTGGTTGGCATTAAGACAGAAAACCATTCTTATTGTTTTATCATAATTTATTTATAAAAATGATTTCTGCATTAATTTATTCATATTGAATGGTCCATTGTAGAATGATGATGGGTTTGCTTCACGAATTTATGAAGAATATATCAAAATATCAAGTGAGGATAGTACTACAAAGTTAGCTACTTTTAAGTGGTGAAAAAAAAGAAAATTTGATGAAAAACTGAAACACATTATGAAAAGAAAGTGTTTTTTGCTTTATGAATTTTATGCTTTTTACGATTCACATCATTCTTTTAATATATTCAAAAAAAATCAAGGTTCTGCGCATTATCTTAGTTGTCTTAGCAGTGCACTCTTCTGGGCAGTGATTTCTGATATTGTTCCTAAAATTGTTACTTTTCCAATTTAAGTGGTCACACCACTGTGAAGAGTCTTCATTTTTCTATATTTTTTCTTCTTCTTTTCTTCGCTGGTTTTTCTTTGTCTTTTCATATTTATCACTCTTGATTTTCCTGTCACTTGATATGGCTATATCTATAACCAGTGTTGATTTCTGGTTCTTATCTTTTATCCCGATATTTGGCTGATTTCAGTATTTGTTTGTTTATCTGTTTGGATAAGAAAGTCCCAAAGTCCCACATGATCTTGACCTTATTATTCTCAACGATCTTCTGGGGAATCTCCCTTCTAAGTCGCATATGATATACGACTTAAGCAGGGTCGTATATCATATGCTAAGTAGATATTCCTGTATGCAATGCCAGCAAGTTGATTATGGTTTTTAGTGTATGATGTCTCTGCCTTTATCTTACATCATCCTGCCACAAAATATATGTACTCATTTATGAAACTAACTTTTTTTTTTTCTTCCCCGTTGTGGGTGGTCATGATCATCCTCAACCTTGAGCTCTCTACCAGAGGAAAATTAAGAATTCCGCGCAGTATCTTGGCTGTTCCTAATAGTGCGTTCTTCCCTATAGATATCTTTGATGTTATTCCTGGAATCTGCTGAAGCCATATTTCTAGTTCAGGTGTCACAGTTCCATGTGTGTTTCAGTTATCACTGGGATTATTTTGGCCTTCACTGTCCACATTTCTGGTTCCTCTTTCAGCATCTCATATTTCTCAAATTTCTCATATTTCTTCTTCCTAATGTTTTTTTCCTGTCACTTGATATTACTATATCTATCAGCTGTATTGATTTCTTGTTCTTATCTACTACTACCGATATCTGGTTGATCGACCATTACTAGATAGTAGATAGTAGATAGTACTTGTTTTTCTCTCTAAATGGAGAAGTCCCACAAGATCTTCGCTTTATTATTCTCCACGATTTTCTGAGGAATCTCCCATCTAATTTTGGGATGGCCATATATTGAATAAGGTATTTTTAAGATATTCCTGTAGATAATGCCAGCTATTTGGTTACATCTTTCAGTATTTGTTGTTTTACTTGCATTTTATATCCTGCCGCTATATGTTGGTCCGTTTCTAGGGCATTTTTGCATAATCTGCACTTTGAGTCCTGTGGTAAATGCTTTCTTCAATGGATCTGTTACTTTGTATTTGATTTTTTTACTGCTTTGATCTGCAATGCTGCCTTTTACTCCATCTTTTTCCAGCCATTTTTTTCTCAGTGCTGTCTCTGCTATATATTGATGGTACAACCCATGAAGGATCTTGTTTTGCTATGGTAATTCCTCCGCTTGGTCCTTTTCCAATGTCTGTAGATGCTTCAGATATTTTTTCAGCAATTCATCCTTGGGTGCCATCTTGCTGATGTATTTCTAAATTTCGGGTTTCGTTCAAGGTAGTTAGTGGCTTTCACACTCATCAACCCCCATTCGCCTTCTTTTTGGTTGATTTACGGTTCGATTGACTCTTTGAGTATTAGACTTGGAGTGGAAATTCCCGTGTATTATAAGGAGTTTTTGAGCCTTCATATTAGCAGCCTTATGTCCTCCTTCGTCTATCTTACTATGCCAGCTGGTACTTATAATCTATATGTTCACTATATGTCCTCCTGGCAAATCAACCCTATCATTCATTATTATTTTCCCTTTCTTCACTACTTTCCTGCATTTTTTCGCTTCGAATTCTCGCTCCTAAATTCTTTCTATATCTAAGATTTGCTAGATGAATGTGCTGGTATAGTATAGTGGTTAAGGGAGGCGGCCAATTTGGAATGTAATATATACATAAATAAATGTAAAACATGAATATATAATGTATATTTTTTGTCATAAATTTGGCACTCGACTTTTTTTAGCTTTAAAATTTTTTAGGGAAACAATTAGAAAGACAAAATATATTGGTTCACCTGAAAATATCAATCTAACCTCTCTTAAACAAATTGATCCAGATGTTAAGGCCATTATCGACAAGGTATTTTTTGCCGGTTGTATTAATTCTCTTCGTACTTTTTTAAATCTGCTGACAGTTTTCAATCACATAAGAAATTCTTTAAAAAGAAAATACGGTACAAAATTCAGAAATGCAATTCCATATTATTATTTAAATCCTTTTAATTTTTTAGACTATTATTTTTTAGGCAAAGATGATTACGGGTTATAAATTTGATAAAGCGACTGAGAAGTGGAAAAGAATGAATCTCAAAGGGCCTTTATTTTTATGTGAGCGATCATGTCTACCAAATTACTGTTTTATTGTCAGAAATCTGGAATCAGTTTCTGATTTAATTCAACCAGTTGTACCTAAATTAAGTTTATGTTTAAAATCAACTGGAATAAGCATCAGGAGACCAGGTTCATTTGATATATTTCGATCCTCTTCATTCATAATGTTTTAAATTTTATTAAATTTTTATTCTTTTTTGTCTAGTGAATTCCTTCCTTAATTTTATATTCATTTGCATAAAAAGTATTTTTTATTAAATCTGTCATATTATATGATATATGTCAATTATTTTATTAGATGGCTTCACATATGCTCTATGGATTAGTAACCAAGTAGAAAGCAGACGCATATTCAATTGTCTCAAAGAACTAGTAGGAAGGGCTACTAAAATGGATGAATCATCGATATTGCCAGTATCTACTTCTGCGCTTGAAAATATTGTGCATTTAGTTCAAGAGGACGAAAAATCTGCAGGTTTGTTTCAAAACTTTTGAAATTATTGCATATGTTTTTATAACTTTTTCTAGGGATTTACTTGATGCACAGGTGAATTGCCAACTTACTTTATTACTTTTTTTTTTGAAAGGATTGCATATTGTCTTCTGACGAGCATAGAATTTCAGCTTCGGCACTCTGAACTGCAACAACCCACTATCTATCATCTTCCTATCCTTTTTTCTGCACTTAACAATGCAACACTGCAGTATCCGGTACATCGGATTCGAATCTAAACCATTCTTAATTCTCTATAGAATTTGTCTTACCACTTATCCACTGATGCACCTTTCATTAAAATTATTTCTTAGAAAGTTTGTATTTTTTGTTCTATTATTTTAAAAATTTTCTTTTTTTTCAGTTTTGAATAAGCTTTCAAGTTCAAGCGAAATTGTTAAAGGATTTTTCAATGCATCAGAATTGGAAACATTATTCCTGAAGAATTCTGATTCTGAAAATAAAAAAAATGAAAATACCATCTTTGAAAGATTGAAAGCAGTTCCAATATCAAGGTATAAATAATATTAAAAAATATAGAAATGTTTATCCTGATTAATCCGAATACTTATCAAAGATTGAAAGTAGTTAATTATTTTACAAAACGTTGCATGCAAACGTAATTCATACAAAGTGCTTTTTATCCGAATTAATCCGTATCATTTTATCACAAATTCATAAGTTATTTTTTTATTCGATGCCTCGAAAAAATTTCTATATTTAAGGCATAACGCAGGCGATTCGAAACATTTTTCTGAAAGCTATGTTACCAAGAAAATTTCAACTCTAGCCGATGCCATTTTTTCTAACCAGTTAGATCCAATATTAAAAGCCGTCGGAAGCCGTAAAACAGTGAGCCGCCAATATTTGTGCAATGATTGACAAATATATTTTAATTTACAATTGATACTAAAAAGTAGAAAGAATTAAGAATGAACCACAGATAATAGGGATGACAATGACTGAATTTTTTTGATGAAATATTTTTTATTTTTATATTATATTAATTATATTTATATCAAATTAAATTAAGTTTTTATATTATTAATTTTTTATTATTATATTATTAAAAATTACTTTTCTCGTCAATTTTAAAAATGAATTTTCTTTCGACGTATTTATTGAGCGGAATAAAAACAGCAAATCGTCTTTAAATTTTTTCTTGTACTGAACATTGCGAAAAAATTACTACGACTTTTTAAAACCGAATGAATTTTATAAATTGAATTGAGTTGAATAAAAACTGGGAAATTCAAAAATTTAAAAACTGTTCATTTTAAATTTTAAAAATTGTTTTTTTACTGACATTTTGCTGACACTTTGTTCAGTATTGCAAATGAATAACTTGTTTAAAAATGTATTAAGAAATAAAAGTAAATAAATGAATTTTTCCTCTAACAGTATTCACCATTACTGGCTAGGTTGGCTGCACTGGCTATAACGAGAATAAGTAAATTAATAAACCAACAAAATAAATAGAAAAAATAGAAGTTAGTTTTTAAAAATTTAATGTCATAACAAAATTTGCGAATAGATAATTTTGTTCCATGATAAAATATTCCTTGCCCCTTCAAACCTTTTTTTGCAAACTGGAAATATTTCTAATATATTTATTCTAAAAAAACTTATTTCTCATCCTCTGTGGGCGGTCGTGATGATCCTCAATCTCGAGTCCTCTATTAAAGACTTGTGGGATTGGAGAATTCTGACTACAAGTGTAAGACGTTTCCGAACTGCAATCTGGTGCTATCGACGACACTAATAGAACCATTCCTTTTTCCATCATCTAAATCCATATATTGCTTCATGTTCATTTATACGTCCAAAACCTGTCCAGTCTAAATCTTAATTGGTCCTTCTGGCTTTCGACGCTATCTATCGAACAGTTTAGCAAGTAACGAAAAAATGGCTCTATGGTGGGAACATTAGCGATAGTATTTGAGCGAAGATGGATGTAATCATGTGCGATTTTATCCGCTCAACAGATCTATAAGATGCATCGTAGACATGAGTGGTCAAATGCAGATAGCTCCTCCACTCTTATCGGTTATCGGTTATATAGCCATATAGCAAGATCAAGCAAATAGCAGCTATTTAGACTTTCGTTTTTATGATGAATTTACGGCAGTTCCATAAAATTTTATCAATCAAGACGCACTTTTTACTTGTATATATGACGAAAAGACTTTTGTTTTATTTACATTGACCATGAGCCCTATTCGCGCTGGAGTTGCTGACACGTTGCCAATATTTTCTCAGTAAAAAGAAATCAATGTCAGCGTATTCTGAAATAGGTTGCTCTAGGCTTTTTTGGACCTTTTGAGTGCCAGCAGGCGATGTCATTATTCAGACTATCGCATAGTTAAATATTGTAGGGGAAAGGACATAGCGTTACACTTGTTCTTTTTCGAAGGACTTTTTCCTTTATGAGTTGAACGATCTTCTCTGGAATATAGTCATGTTCCATCACTTTTCAAAGCATTCTATCAGTTGAAATGAAGGCAGCTGTAATGTTGACGAAACACATGATGATGGCTTGTAGGTATTTGAAGCGATGTTCCAACAATGCTTTTCTTAACGTGAATATCTGATCACCACTTAAATGATTAAATTTGAATAAAATGTTCAATAATTTTATATTTAATAATATTTGCAGAAATGAATAACTTTCATTCATTTGTTCATCACAAATTTTCTGCATATCCTCTGATCAACTTTAATTTTTTTCAAGTTTTAAACTTTAAATTTTTTAAGTCAGTATGAATATTCAGACTAAATAATTCTATTATTTGCAAACAATTTCGACGATAATTAACTATAAATTCAAACACGATTGTCAATGATTATATGCGTTTCGTATGGATTGCCATCAGTTTGTATTAATAAAAATCGCCAACGCCAGTCACCATCATAAAATTCTTTTTCAGCTTGTGCGACTCCTCTCGTTCGTGAACCTTTCAAGTGAAATATTACACGAATTCGTTCTTTTCCATTCTTAAAAGTGAAGAAACAGTGTAGAAAAACAGAAATTGCTATTGAAATCTTTGATTTTAAACAAATTTTACAAATTGAAATTTTCAACAGCAAAACTATATGAAAAAACTTAAACAAATGAATATAAAAAGTATACTCATTAAAAATTTTCGCTAATGATCAAAACCTTTTCATATCTATGATAGGCTACATGTCGTCGTCGTCCACGTGATGTTTCTTCACCAAAACCGGCTATTGAAGCACCAAATATATCACGACAACGATCATCATTTCTAATCAAAGAAAGCGCATCAGAGAAAATTTTTTGCGGACTTTCCGATGAAAAAAACTCAGCAAAAAGAAAATAACCAACAGTTGCCAAACCGGAAATTGATGCGACAAGTGCGAAATAAAAGAAGGTATTCGTCGCTTGCTCCCTGACTAAAAATACCAGATAAATTTAATATATAAGTTCTTTGGCACAAATTGATATTTTCATGCTATAGCATCCTATCACTATTAATTATATATATAGCTACTTGGCCTATTAATAACTATGATCTGACTTTTTTATATTTAATTTACCTTTTTCTGCTGTAGTTTTCGCTTTTTTGGGTTCATAAGTCAAAATCTCCTCTAACACCGACTTTTGCTGAACCGATTTGGTCATATTCTTTGTCTTATCATTCATTGATAAACAAGACAATATAAATCTTCGCAGTGGAACAACAAGTAAGTGAGCGTTCCGATGAATCAAAAAATTTGTTATCACACGATTCATTAGACAAAGAGAAACCATCTTTCTGTATCTTTCCCAAGAATAAACAAACATCACTTCTTATCCTCAAAGCACCAAAAAAACTGCTTAAAACGGAAAAATAAGATGTAAAATATTCCCCCTTAAATATTAAAAAAGTACGAACGGCCAAAGACAAGAAAAAAAATATTGAAAAAAGGGAATAACTTAAAAATTGCGTTGCTCTACACAATAATAACAAAAAAGTTTTATATCAATAATGCTATATAATAAAAGGAAAATATGAAATAAAATGATCAAAAAACCGCAGCACTTAGAGGATAAACTTCTAAATTCTTTTTAGTAAATCGTGTGTTAAAGAGTTGTACTAACAATATCACAAAATCTAATTATAAAAAAAATTTTGCTCGTTAAATTTCCAAGGTAGAAAAAAACCTAACAAAAATAATCGACCAAAACAAATTTATGAAAGCAATCTTAAAAGAACATACATTAGCGACTTTTTACACCTAAATAAAAAATTCAAAGTTTAATCATAAAAAAGAATTTCAATCACAACAAATTATCTTTTCAAGCAAATCCAAAACCTTCCGTGCATTCACGAACAGCAAGCAGAAGCATATCTCGGAGCTTCTCATACGACTCATACTGAGGTAAATCAAGCTGATTGAAACTGAAAAACAATCACGAGGAAATTTAAAAAAACTATGATAAAAACGAATATGTCTAAATCACGATTCACTGGAAATTCATTGAAAGTACCAAGTATGTGCAGTAGGAAGACGATCAGATGAACGAGAATCTAAATGAATTGAGAACTTCTGTATGCCATTCATTCCTTCCAGTGAAGCAAAACCTTGCAATGGTACTTTGCTGGTACCTGTCACGAACTGTAAAAATTTTGCACGATCTTCATCTTCAAACGAGCGAAGGGCTTTCCAAAACCATTGGATCTTAAAAAATATTAAAAAAAATTTTAAAACAGAAAAATAAATTTTTAAATTAAATAAAAAATAAATTTATAGTGAATTGAAAAACACCCATGTAAATTTATTGACAAAGTGAATTTTTCATTAAAATAAAATGAAAAATTAAATATACTTGTGGTGATGATTTGCTATAACTTTTATAATCCGTATTAGCGAAGAGATCATCAATATCAAAATTTGGCAGACCACTAATCAATAATTCTAATTCTTGCTCATTGAAAATTGAAATGAGATCTTTTGGAATAATTTCATAGAAACCATCCAAAAACGCTTTCAGTTGTTGATTAATTGATCCTAAAAAAGTAAAGTGCTAGCGTCTCATGAAATTATTCGATATATCGATGGTTTTAAAAAAATGGCAGTGAAAATAAAAAAATATACATTTTCTTACCAGTCATTTTCATTTGGCTCACAAGTTTGACATATTCTTCTTTATTTCCATCGGTCACAATGATCGATGCTCCGTTTTCTTTAAGCTCTCGCAATTTGCGCTCTCCAAATTCTTCCACTTCCAGACTGAATGTCAAATCCGTTCCAAAATCTTCGACTGGGTTGGTAAGAAGAAATTCGAGCGATTTATGGAAACTTGGGTCCTGCAATATTTCTTAAAATTGCAAGAATCATAATAAAGAAATTAAATATACCAAAACTGAAAGTTCAAATAATTTTATGGAGAAAATAACAACGAAAAGATAAAGACCAGACCTCGGACTCAAGGTCAAGTGTTCTCACTGGAATACTTAATATGTGTTTGTAAAAAGCTCTCGTAAAATAACAGTCCAATTGTTTATCTTCATAAATTGCTTTTGCGATGATGCGACCAACAAACTAAAACACAAAAAGATAAAAACAACGCCATGAAAAAAGAGGTGTAAAAAATATTTTCAAAAAGAAATAAACGAAATTAAAAGTTTAAATTTGAACCTTGAAATAATCAAGATGCTCTGGATTAATGTGAGATGATTTATTAATCATATATGTAACTCGATCGCCAGGAGCTGTAAGGAAAAGTGCATAATTTGGATTAAAAATTTCACGGGTGATTATTGAAAACCATTCACGAAGAAGACCACCAGCATCTTGACCTTCTTCACCTTCAAAAACTACGTAAAATCGCGATTTCCACTCAGGACCTCGAAGGCGGAATAACTCGCGAAAGCTATCGCTGAAGAGATGACTACGACGCACTCTGATGCCAATGCTATCACTCCTGGCAAAAAAAAAATAATTAAAAGAATTTCTGTTTTTGATATTTTTGGTTATAAAAACCAAAGAAGTAGAAAAAGGAAAATTTTTCATACCTTGCACGATCCTCCATTCTCTGAATTTGCCGCAAAAAATATTTTCGTTTGACGTCGAAATCTAGAAGTTTAGGAATATGAAGAAGAGCAGAAAATGGACTTTCGATGAACGTATGACCGTTTTGACGCAATACTTGATTTATGACATTTCTATGGCGTTCTGAAAAAAAATTATATAGTGAACATACGCTCAGATACGAATGATCATAGAAACATAATTCAATTCAATAATACCAATAAAAGCACAAAAAAAAGAAAAACGAACCTGTGAAATGAATGAGTTTTTGAGCATCTGGATGCTCATGCTGTCTGGCTAATTCTATATCGCAAACAGCAGATGCATGGACAATGAAAAAAGCTTCAGCCGTTGGCTGCAAAACTAGAGCTGCATGAGTTCCAGCACGTTCTAAGCGTTTAAGACAAATTGAAGTTGCTTCCCATAAAGGATCTAATCCAGCTAATGCTGAACTTAGGCTACCGTCTTTCTGGAATGAAATAATTACGGTGAAGTTTCTGAGTGATCTATAAACGAATGACTTTTACACCTTTTTCTTTCTTCGCACTTAAATAAAATGCTTATCAAGTTTGTTCCTTTTTTATAAATTTTTGATAAATAAACCATAATGGATCCAGAAATTTGAAGCAGTGGAGGCGCATTCTTAAGAGTTTCCCTTATTTTTGCAATTGTCTCTAGAGCTCTTAAAAAAGTATTCTGTACACCGTATTTATCAGTCAAGTGTTGTACTTCTGGCAATTTCAACTCGGCATATCCAGAATTGTTGATTAAGAAACGAGAGTTTCTCTGAATGGTAAGAGGCGACAAATTTTCTTGCCTGAAAAAAATTAGTGAATTCACTATAATGAAGAGACCACTGAAATATCCGCATTAATATGAAAATAAACCTTGAAGTACTTGGCTGATCTGATGACTCTGCTAAAATTGTTTCATCACCAAAAGGCACCTCTTCCAATTCCTTTATGAAAAGTTTGATAAGACGCAAAAGGCGATTTCCCAATGTTTCAACAGAAGTTATAAGAAGAGAATTAACAAAGTTCGCGACATAAGGGGTTAAAGCGCGCAGAGCTTCTAAAAGCAGTAATCTCCCAGCAGTTAAACCATCATCCGAAAGTTTACCATCCATCAGAATCTTAAATATGTGCATTTGATCAGAATTTGTCATTAAAAGAGGGTAGCTTTTATCCAATAAAACTTACAGAAACCAGCAACTTTAATTGGGCTGCAAGTGGACAATCTTTCGAAAAATCTATAAAAGTTGATGATTTCGAACCACATGATTCTACAATTTGGTTATCATGAATGAAAATATCCATTTCCTTTTCGATAACTGGAGGTCTACGAACTAGTTCTGACACTTCTATAACCGTCGTATTGCTCACTTCCATATCCCAGTTTGAACCTTCACCATCATTAACCACATTTTCATTAGATCGTGAATGAATTAAAGGCCTGCTACATTCTAATGTAGGTGGAGCCACTTCGGAATCATCAGCATGATTTGTAACCAAATTCTGGTCACCACAAGGTTGAATTTCACATTTGGTTAACCGGGCAATCGTATCATTTGGGAGTGTCTGCATGACCTAAACACAAAGCAAAATCACTGGAATCTCGTTCGGAATTTACTTCAATTTAATATATATATATGAATTGTGTTTGCCTGGTTATTGCACTAAGCATAGCCGGTACGAGGGTCTCCTTCCAACACTTCATATATGCACGTCTGGCACCAGTGAAACCCTCATGCGTTCATCATATATGAAGTGTGCCGTTTTTCTAGTACGAACCTTGCAGCGTATTACGCCACTCTCCTGCTAGAAGATTCACATAACATAGTACCTTTTCTCAGACCTTCCCAGGAGTTCTCAGATAAGCGACATAAGCGCTATATATCCATAGCAGGCTCATGAGAAAATATTTCTATTTTATTTTAATAACTTTTAAAAACAAAAATTACTGAGCAGATAAGAATGAGCAATTTGTCTTGTATTATTGTCGATGAGCGAACAATAGACTTTTTCAGATAATTCATGATTATAGATAATGCACAGTTATTCAGATCAGAGGTAGCCAAGTTTGCCGTTGGCGCAACGAAATCAGTTTCAATATCCAGCAATCTGTCGTGTTTCGTACATAATCTGCAAAGAATTGTTCCACAGCTGCGATAGTCAATTATTATTAATAAAAGGTTTAAAGTGAACTGGAGAACTTATAAATCAAATGACCTTTGGAACTCTAAGCATGATTACACTATTCAAGTAAGAAAGAAAATCAAATATTTTAAAATAAAATATTCAAACAAAAATAAAATATTTTAGATATCTAATGATATCTAAAACGAAAAGAATAAAATAAAAGTTGCACTTTTAAATAAAAAATAAAATAAATAATATGCATTCAGAAAAACCTTTCAAATCTAATAATTTTACAGAAATTTATCACATACTTATAGACATCTTGCCAGAATTGCGAAAATGGTACGGTATCATGAATAACTGGCTCATCTGAAGAAACGTTTTTGCGCAATCTTACCGGCAAAAACTGACCAGGAAAAGCTTTTGCAAGATTTATCAACGTTTCCAAAATATATCTGGCAACATTAATTGCAGCCAAGGGATGAATTTTCACTGCAATATTTATAATATTGAAAAATATTCCAAATGTCATCCTAGAAGTATTGCTATGAACTTTTTAATAATTCCGTGTTATATAAATGACCGACTAATTTTAAGATTTTACAAAATATACCCAATCAAATCATAAAATGTAATCCATCCAATATCATCCAATAAATGTCATCCAATGAAAAAATGTATTCGAAGATGAAAGACGAAAGATATTTATATAATTCTAACATAAAAATTAGAAATTTAAACCTTTTCCTTGTTCACTGACAAATTTGATGGCGCGTTCGAACTGCATATGACCACAGTTGACTGATATACTATCAATAAATCCCGCAGAAAGTCCAACTAATTCCTCATAATCATTTGCGCTAGCATCAAGCTCGTTAAAGACGGCCAAAAGACACCATATCATAAATTCACAGGTTTTTGAATGTAAACACATGCTCCGCACTAATTTCTAAAAAAAAGAATTAAGAAGCAAAAAAATGGATATTTTGTTTCTAAAAACTTGAGGAATAAAAAACTCATACAATTAGAGCAACTTTAAAAAGAGGAAGAATGGTATTATGCTCTCCCTTTATTCTTCTGCTTATTCGATCAAATTAATCAGTCAATCTTAAAGTAAATAAATATCGTTTCAATTTTAAAAGCAAAAAGAAAAATTAAATGCAAAAAAGATGGAAATTTTAATTACTTGTAATCGCTGAATGTGTAGGCGAGAAGGATCTACGAAAAACAAAATTACTATAACAATGATTGAGTTACGATCAAATAATTCCTTTACGATATTTGTGGCTAGGTTAGTGTTTCCTGCTAGAGTACCAAACGGAACATTTATTCCAAACGAATTCTGATTGCTTCTAGCTGTCTGCCGAAATCGTCCAGGGGCTAGCAGCCTTGCAAGTCGCATTACTTGCTTAAAAAATTGGAGTTAATATTCGTTCACTATTCACCATAGAAAAAGTTTAAATGAAATTATGGTGCAGATGTGGATTAATTCAACAATAAATACATAAAGTATATCAGAAATTAAACAAACTTGATGTTCAAAATTAGCTCTAAGACGACGAGCTTCAGCAACGACATTTTGCGGCAATACCTGCAAGACCGATTCATGTGCATCTGCTAAAACTTGGGCTCGAAGGGTTGGTGGCAACGATTCAATAACTGCAGCAGCATCATCAACAATCTCAGCACCAGGTTCAGCACCTAACATATTGATAAATAAACATAGAAATCGAACAGCAGACAGCCATACTTGTTCTATACAAAAAAATTTTTTAAAGGATATTCACCGAATGAAAAAATTACCTGACGCCGCATTTTGCCGCTCATTCGCAAGTCTAATTGACCGTTCATGCTGCGCTATGATCTCATCTTGTAAATCAGGGGGTAGAGCACTTAAGAATTCAGGATCTAAAGGTTGCAAATCATTTCCGCTCCCACCTGCGCTTTGAGCTCCAGAATCATCTCCAATACCAGTAGATCTTGCAAGTCTCTGCGCTCTTTGCTGCCTTGAATAATCCCTTAGAACTTCCTCGCGAATTTCTACTGGTAAGGCTGCCAAAAATGCAGCATCAACACCTTCAGGTATTTCGATATCTATAATAAGGAAATTCATATATAAATATATATAATATATACATATTATACTAACAAGAATAAAAACTAATAAGATTGTTCATGATAATGGGTTGTTACATAACTAAGTTTGATAAAATTATTAGATGAGCTATTTAAGATCATCTAATATAGAATTAATAAATAATTTTCTCAACAATAAAGATGGAATAACAGAAAGGCAAAGTAAATTACAAATTAAATAAAAGTAAATTACAACAAAAAAAGACAGTAGCACTGAGGTAGGTAAAAATAGTGTGGCATTATCTCTCACCTCCAAGAATATCGCGGTACTGATCTGTTACTGAATTATTTGAAGAAACAATAGGAGCAACATCTGCAATTAATCATGATAATGGTTTGAAATTTTTGTCCATTAAATTTGTCAAAAATACTAAATTAAATTGTTCATTAAACTATTTCTGTTTCTGTTCAAACAACTAAAATTCCGATGAAAACATGATCTTTGCCAAAATAGGAACCTTGAGGAGGAGCACTTTCTATGGGTTCTTCATGCGCCATATGAACAACAACATCACTGGTAGAATGCACATGCAAATTTACTGATTCCTGATTTATCTCTACAACTTCTGAATTGGTTTTATTCTGAATTGATATGCAAAATCTCCCGATTTGTTGTAAAAATTAAATTAATATCAAGAATTTTAAATATTTTAAAATATTAGAAACGGTTTAAAATTTTATATCAAGATTAACAGTTATATTTTTCCCATAATCTTCAACAAATCTGGAATAAAATTGATAAATCCTAAGAAAGCAACCGAAATTACCAGCGTGTCCAATTCTTTCATCCAAAGGTGATTCTACAGATGGCAATTCGAACGATAGTGCTACTGAAGTGCTCGGTACTCTTTCCCGTACTGTTTCCATAGGATCTGAATGAGAAAGCACCGTTGCTATTTCATATTCCATATCTCTTCTTTCATCCTCTATGATCGCATTCTGGGCAGGATTTTCATCTTCGAAGGGAGCATTTAATTCATTCAAATTATAATGCATAACATTATCACTACTGATTTCATTGATTGGTTCGATGTTACTAGATATATCTCCTGTATCGGAATTGGCACCATCATTTGCATCCGCCATTTCAATATTATTAGACTGGGCAATTATACTATTGTTTCCCGCTTCAAGAGTATTTTCTGTATTATTCACCTGTAAATCATTTTTTTTCATTGGAAGTTCAAATGAAGAATAAAAAAAGTGGGGAAATTTAAATTGATATTTCTTTAAATAATTCATATCGCATTCCTACTGAAATATTATATCTCAGTGGCATTATTCTAACTGGAACTTTGCGAGACCTGATCTTGATTTTTATTGGTTTCACCAACAACTAAACGATTTCGCTCGTCCTCCTCCTTTGTTCGCTCATTTAAAGCCTGCAAATAAACATAAAGATAAATAAATTTAATCAATGGAAATTAAACCTTCCAATAAATATACAAACTTTTTCTCTATCTTCATAAATCTTGTTTAAATATGCAGCTGCAATAATCCACGTAAAATAATGACTGGTGCCATAAAATAAATGAGCGGCATCCAGTAGGCGTTCGTAAGCTGAAGGTATGCTATTCAACAGATTATTAAATTCGAATCTTCCTTCCCCAATATTGGAACGCAACATATTTTCATTCTATAATCCATAGGTTACATATTTATAAATGAAAAAATAAATGAAAAAACTATGAAAAATATACAGAATATGCAAAAAAAAAATGAGAATGGAATAAATTTTTAAGACATTTTTAGCAAAATACACAAAACATACACGCTGACTGAAGACATGTTGATTCAGCACGTTATTAAGAACATTGTCGATTACAAGTCGTTCAATTACATCTGACTGGGATTCCAAACGACGAATTGCACCCTGGCGATGTAGTCCTGTACCTGCTCCACGTCGTGAATTTACCATAAATCGTATTCCATGCTTCAAAAAATGATTAATTGAACACAAAGAAATGAAAAAAAGGAATAAAACATGGATTTCATATGTAGTTATTAAACAACTCTAGTCAAATAGTACCTTCTTTAAACAAATAAATTATGAGAATTCTTCCATAAAAAATTTAGAAACAAATCAAAATAAAATAAAATGAAATATTACAGGTCTTTGGGTAACACGATTTTCACTAGAAGTATTGCGAGATGGCCGATGCAACAACCTATGAGGGCTAAAATGACCACGCTGTCGCTGATCCACACCTAAATCTAACGCATAAAAAATGGTCAGAAAAGTTTCAAAATTTCAATGTTAGAAAATGGTTTAAAAATTTAATAATCAAAGCTTAAAAAACCATGGCTGAGAAGTACACGAGTTGAAGAATTAAGATCTCCATTTAAACCATGTTCAGAAATCTGTATGCCCTCCAAATAAACAGTAGCATTCAAAGTACCACCATCTTCAATTAATGATTCAGTAAAGTCGCCTAGGCCTGACTCTCCTTGTCCCGCTCTCAAATGAATAATTCCTTCTTCATCATCAGTCGCTTGCGCATCTTCTAATAGAACATCAAAAAATTATTTAATCTATAAATTTATTTTGGAAAAAAATAAAAAAATAAAAAAACAGTAATAATTTGATAAGAAGAAGATAGAATGGGTTGTTGCTAAATTCGGAATGCCGATGCTGAGGTTCGGTTCCAGAGGTAAACCCTCCAAAAATCCGGATGATGCTGGCGACTCACCTGCATTTCTATCGCCAAGGGATTCCCTGGTATATTTATTCAATGCGACAAGCCAGCTCAATGAGTTTAACCAGTAATGGTGAGGACTCTTAAAAAAAAAAAAAATTTGATAGGAAACTCACCTTCCAGGACATCTTCATCGTCTTCCTCCTCATCTTCGTGGTCTCCTTCTTCTGATTCATCGTCCATGGCATCCATTTCTACATTTTCTCTTTCTCTCTGCATTAGAAAAAATTATAATTATTAAGCCCTGCAGGGATTAAGAAGTACCATTAAAATTTTCCATCTTACTATCTTTAAATCAATATTTAATTTGATTTTAAAACTTTTAAGTTTTAAAATTCAAAATTATTCCAAAAGTAATTCAAAGTAAAGAAATACAAAGTAACTAAAACTTACATCATTTCCAGCGCTGTCATCATCATCATCATCATCGTCATCGTCATCATCGTCATCATTATCATCATCATCTTCTTCATCATCATCATCTTCATCCTCACCATCATCATCCTGCGTATCACTAGAGTCATCTTCACTTATTCTTTCTTCTTCGTATCTATCAGTATTTCCATCAGTTTCCGCCTACGTATTTACCATTATACCATTATTATGATTAACAATAATTAATATTAATTAATTAATGATAATAACTTCAGAATGAAATCAACAGAATTAATTTATTCTTTATTAATTTATTCTTAATTTGATTATTCATTAACTAACGTGTCTGCTCTCGCCGAAATTAATATCGCCTCGATCTGGAACGACTCCGTCTCGTTGATCAACAACGTGTCCATCAACTGCTACGTTTCTATTTTCAACAGAACTTTCATCCGTTCCCAATGTAGATTGTGCATTTGCTCGATTTCCAGAGCTGACCGGAATACTCGTTGAGCTTCAAAAAATTTGAAAGAATAGTGCGAGATATAATCCTTGAACGAAAAAGGGAATGGAAAAAAAATTATCTCGGGGCAAAGACCTATAAAGAAACACAATGTATACCTATTGTTCGAGCGTAGAAATTCGTCGAGTAGTTTAATTATGTAATTAACTGTATGCATTGTATCCCCTTCACCGAAATTTAAAAATCTTGGCGCATTCGCTAACACTAAACAAGCGCGATGTTTAACAAGTAATTTTTCCACTTCGCGACAGCATAATAATAAATCGCACAGCGCACGCACCTAAAATGATTAAATTAGCTAATAAAATTTCATGTCAATATATAAACAAATAAGCAAATTGCACTGGAAATAATACAATTTTAAAATAAGAAACAAAAATGGAAGTCGAATTCATCAGATCTCAAAATATAATGGCTCAGTGGGTTGGTCTCATAAGCCTAAATAGAAATGGTGAGCACTAAAAATATTTTTAGATTTTTGCAATCAATTAAAAAAAATTAAGTAACGAAAAATAATTTTAACTTTAACGAAATATTAAATTTATATTTAATAACAAGAAAGAAATGCACCTTGTTACCATTAAATGTGGAATCACTAAATGCTGAACGAAAACATGATATAATGCTTATAACCAATAACTCTTGAGCCTATAAAAATGAATAAATCTTTAAATATATTATTATACAGTAATATGAACTACGAAGATATCAGTTATTTGGAGAAAAAACTGTTTTATATATGAAGAAAATTAAATATTTAGACTCATAAGTACAAATAAAAAAAGTACAAATAAAAAATATAACAAAAAAAACTTTCACCTTTGGATTACACGTACCAGCAATTACACTAACTAATTGCTTGACAGCATCACTAATTAGTGAATCGCGTGTTGCATTAGTAATAAAACGGTCGATAATATATTTAATAGCAATTCGATTATCAATAAATGGCTCGATGAGTGCATTGACTAAAGTCTGATAGCTTTTAACTAATTCAGCTAACATGACAACGAGCATATATTGGTTAAATGTTAAGCCCGGGCCATCAAAGGAATCATCAGCAATGCGGGTTAATATAAGCCTCACAATCTACAATAAAAATTAAAACGACAGATAAATCAATATTCACATTTTTGAGCTATATAAACTTCAAAAGAACTAATCTTAGACAATAACTCAAACGAAATTATTTTAACTTGTTTTTAAAGATAATGAGAATGAGGGACTAACCTGTTTAAGAATATTAGGGCATATCTGCGATTTAACATTACAAATATTATTAATTAGAATGAGCTGCCCTTTCGATTTCTGAGTTATATTTTCCATTATTGAAATAAAAAGAGAAGGATGGCGCACACATACTGGAGCAAGCGATTGCATTACGTAAAGAAAATCTCTGGTACGTCGCAACCTAAAATTTCCCACATTTCCTATCGCCTTAACAATAACCAAATTTTAAAATATTAGAAAAGATTTATAAATATATCAAACCTTCCAACATCCCAACGATTCAAATCTCGCAAAATGGAACATCCATTTGTAGCAACAAATCGTATGGCTTGTTCAAATACTGAAGATATTAATGCATCGTCCTCAGCACAATGCCGAATAATAACTGACAGTATCGATTCCGCATTACACCAATCCTTATTTCCTTTCATTTTTAATAGAAGCTCCATTCCTTTTAACTATAAGTAAGATGCAGACAATGCCTGGGCTCATGTTATAAAATATGACTCTGATTTTAAAATTATGTAAAAAATATTTTTAAAAGACTTCACATAATCTTTTAAAAAATTACTTCCAAAAATCTTTTCGCAAAATCTGAATAACGCGTTGCACGAGCTAAATAGAGTAGCACCGCATGGGCTGCATCTGTATGTAATCGATAACGCATAATATCGATAATAGTGGGAAGCAAGTTAGCAATTAAAAATTTATTCCAATCACCCATGGACTTGTCCTAAAGTGAACCACAAATCACAAAAATCATAGAAAAACAAAAAAACTTCAAATCTTAGATAAAAATGAAGAAATTAATAGTGGCGAATCTTTCGATCTGAAACAATAAAGCAGATCCTCGAGTGGTTATAATGCTTCAAATGATGCCAAGCATCATAGGTTCAAATTTTATTTTGGGAGTAATTCTAATCGTGCTAGAGACTCATAAAAGTACGATAAATGTGCTATCAGACAAAAATTTTTGATTTAAAACGATAACTGCTAGGCAATATAAGCATATTTTCTTTTGATTTTCTGTAAATTTAGAGCAATTAGTTAGAAAATAAATACTATTCTAAAAATGTTCTAAAAATTTCAAAACTGAATTACCATAGAAAAAGCTTCATTGATATGGACTCCGGCATTTAAATGGCCAGTGACTGTAATGAAAGAAATAGCACCCGTTTCTATATTTTCTTGCGTCATTGAAACAAAATTTATCAAATATTTTTGACGTGCACTCGTTATATTAATTTCACTTTTCCCACTATAAAAAGCGCGAGTTAAAGTCTGTGAACACATAGGCGAGTATTTAGTCCATGGACCTATCTCACGATCCTCTGTTTCCCAATATCGCCATTCCAGTTTATTTATATACTGAAAAATAAAGTGAGAATAAATATAAAAAGGCATTGTATTAAAAAGAATGTTACAAAAACAAAAGATATTTGATTGTAATTCTAATTGCAAATTATTTTATCGGGGAACAAAAAGATCTAAAGAAACCTTTTTCACCATTCTTTTGTTGTATTCAAGAAAATACATTCTATCATATGTATCAAGCCAAAGAAATATTCGTGAAATTAATCTGGAATTGATCAAATTAATCAGAAATAAATAAAATGGAGAAAATGGGAAATAAATTCTGTTAAAACTTGATCATTATCAAATATGGAAAGAAACTCACTCTGAAAGTAAATCCTCCTTTTTTAACAGAAATTCATCATGTAATATGGTAGTAAGCATGTGAACAAGTTTTTTATGGAAATCATGTTGATTACATTTTTCTAGGATTATTTCAAAGATATTTGGCCACAGAAGACAAGTTAAATGAAGTCGTGTGGATACAACACGCCACTTATTTTCCTTGTCCTGTAAATATTTTGGCAGGCTAGTTATAAATTTCGGATTAAATTAAAGTAAGGTGTAAATATAGGAAAAAAATGAGAATATAAATGTGAATGTGAATATATCTTGAAATTTACGAAATGGATTTATTAACTTGGAATATAGATAATTATAAATCATATAAAAGAAATCAATCTCTCGTTTCTGTGCTGAATGTAGAAGTTATTACCTTTTCTGCTGTTTCCAGTAAACTGGAATTATTGATAATGTCCAAAATGAGGAACTGCTCAATTAACACTTCGCTGACAAATAATTTTTCCATCTTGTGTAAAAGAGCATTTATAAGATCAGCAACATCAAAAATTAAGTGATTTCGCCCCACATCTGCTATAAATTGAAGGCAAGTAGGCATGATCTAAAATACCAAATTATAAGTTTTATATGCGATAAAGAATTGAAAAAATTAATGAAAACGGCATGGGACAAAGAATAATTGGAATTATGAAAATTACCACGTGACATAATTCTTCCATAAATGGAAATGGATTTCGTTTAACTTTATAATCATTTAGATCATCAGACTGAAGAAGACCAATTGCGCAGATTTCTTCCTCATAATTTGAAAAGTTTGAAATCGTCTGAAACTTATTTCTCATAAATTTCAAAAAAATGATGTTAAAGGATTTTTTTAATCAAAAGATGGCTAAAATAACTAAAAATAATTAAGCAACTAAGCAGCAAAAAGGTTATATAAAATTATGTATTATATGAAATATTTACTCTCGTTTTTCCAAAAAGAAATTTTACGTTAACATCTTCCAAATTACGATTTAAAATATATATCAATAAATTCAAAAAAAAATTACGACAGAAACAATTTGCTGGCTATCTGCAGTAGGCTGACGAAGGCGAGCAAGACCATCAGTCACAATAAGATATTCTGCAGCTTCTGATACCGTTGAAGTATCCAACAAAGCATCCATAGCAGCTCCTCGATCATATCCCATATCAACAAGCAAAGCGATTTGTGATTCATCTAATTCTGCCAGCAGTCTAAAATTTTTCGAGCGATAAAAAAAAGCCTAAAATAAATTTAAAATGTCCTAGAACCACGAATAACCTGTCTCGCTCCTCTGCAACTAGATTTGGATTCTCTGACATAGCACCGATAGTAAGATATTTAAAAGTAATTATCAATTTTTCAATTAAATAATTTGCTGCACATCTACATCTTGAAGTTGAATCCATATCAGTCGAAAAATGTCGAAATAACTTTAGCAATATGCCAAAAAAGAACTGAAATTGAAAAATAAATGTTTTTTTCAACTAATTAAAATCTTTCATCATTTATCGTATTTATTTGGAAATTCGCTAACAACAAAAAGCAACTCCTATTTCTATACCAGAATTTGTTTTTACAATAAAAAATGAAAAACGATCGTTTACCTTTTGATAATAAGTCAGAAAATTCTCAGGATGAAATATTTTGGTTTCAACGCTATTTCCTGATAGCTTGTGGCGAGAATTACAAATTTCCTGTGAATCTAACTGTAATTGGAACAGTGATAGAATTGCTTCAAAAAACTGCAGAACTGCATCTGCAAAATTTCGATTATTATTGATTTAAAAAATTAGCGAATTAAAAAAATGGAACTTGCCGTTTTGCTCTATGTCCAAATTGTCATTCACTACGCTTTCAATCATATTTGTTAAAATACTGCAGCAGCACGAATAATGATAAGCCGATAACATTAAATGATATCCATTTCTCTTTTCATCGAATAATATTAGAATTAGATTGTTAATCCACAAGGTACGATAAGCAAACCTACAGATGACGTGAATTTGAAGAATTTCTACGGTAAAATATGCTTCTAGATAGTTTTTAATTCTAGCAAAGATGCAATTATAATTGGAATGCATTTACATTTGTAACTGTAACTGAGATAATTTCAATTTTTCAATGTAATTTCAATATAATGAAGTAAATGAAATGAATTATAAAGTGAATTTAAAAAATGAAAATAAATAAACGAACAGTATTTGTGGTTCAGCATCTATTATGGTCAACAGTGCGATTTTATATTCATGAAGTAACGAATGAGCAATTCTTGAAGCATTCACACCAGAAACCGGAACATTTTCTTCTACTCGTCGATTACGACCAACATTACCATTGCATAGCTTAACAATCGCACCGACAAGATCATTCAGTTGTTTTTGGCAGCGGCGTATCACAACAGATGCTGCTTTATTATGCAACCACACTGAACCATAAGTTAAAACAATTTCCAGACAGATACCGTTTTATTAAAAAGTGGTTCCAAAGAGAAAAAAATAACTTTCAAAAACTTTTATAATAGAATACTACATAAGAGCAATAAATTTTCAAACAGAAATAAAATTGGTTATAAAATAAATCTATCGTATCATATTTATCGATGTAGCATATACAAAAATATGGAAATTTAAAAAATACGTGTTAATTTTGCTGCAGATGGATCCTTGTTCTGAATATCAGCAAGTTCATCCAAGGAATCAGCCGGTACAACACATTCGAAATCTACCGATGTATCAATTTCTTCACTTGAAAAATTTTCATCTCTCGTCTGAGTGCCTAGTGAAAGCCGAAAAATCTCGCTATTATTGACTGCGATTTCCCAAGTTAATAATCTAAAGAAAGCTAATAAATAACACCAACAGATCTTCAAAATTCTCACCTCATCATCTGATTAATATAACCACTAAATATAAGTTTAAATAATGAGAAATTTAACTACTTAAATTAAAGGATAAAAAGTATAATACCTCTGAACTCTCATGAAAGCTGCTAATAAATTAGTGGTACTGCCTCGAATAGCCCAAAAATTCAAAGCGAATGTTCTTAGTGACGAAGTGGCATATGCTGACTTGGTCATGCTCGTCAATAATTGCCCATACAATAAAATGGTACAAAGATTTGAAAGCGATGAATGAGAAGTGAATTCAATTTGAGAAAATGAATCAGCAAAATTTATTTTTGGGAAAACCAATAATTTTTTTTCAGCAGTCGCATTATGCAAATCGTTAGAAATGGGCGCATTTTGGACATCCATTGCATTTTCCGAAATATTATCTCTTTCTTCATTAATTTCATTTTCCGCACTATTATTCGTAGAACTTTGATTGCTATCTGAATAAAACTGTACATGTTTTTCATCTTCGGCATTCTTACAGGAAACGAACTCACAACAATGTTTCATCAAAATAATAGCTATATCATCCATAATCGACTGACAAGTTGTTGTTTGTTGCTGCAACTTGATATATGATAAATTTAAGTGAAGGACGGGCAAAAAATGTGATAATCACAAAATATGAGACCACATTAACCCAACTTTAATGCTCTTAAAAATATCATTGTACCTTAACACCTCAAAATCCTTTCCACTTTCTAAAAAGATTACAGTCCAATGATCTACTCTTTCTCAAAACTTATATTAAAAAATCAAGAAAAATATAGAAAGATTCATTGGGTTTTGCTCCCGATTCCGAGTGCCTATAGTAAGGTTCTATTCCAGGCAAGAATAATCGCTTAAAAATCCAGGTGATGCTCCGACTCATTTGTATTTCTGTCTCCAAGTCCGGAAAAGAAGTCAACAAAATAACCAGAAATGGCTAGCTTTCTTTAAAAGAAAAGAAAAATACAAACCAGCAAATAACGAAAGATATTGTTTATATGCTGAGGGAATACCGATTGCGAAATAGCCCACGGCATATTCTTGACTTTAAGCAGTGATATTAGTTTTTGAGCAGCGCCACAATTAATAAAGGCATCAAGCATCTCCAAAGTTGGATTTTGAGTAATGAGGACTTCAAGTAATTTCCCGATATTTAATAAATATTCTCCAAGTGGCACAACAGATACACCATCGATAAACACAAATGGACTTGAGCCACCTAATCTTGATACATTCCCCATCGAAGCAATCCCACTTCTAAATATTAATTTCGTTTAATCAATTTTCCATTAGTTCATTTAAATCGTTTTTACCTTATTCCTGATAGTTTTAACGCTTCAAACAAAAGCCTATAATACTCCAGTGCGAAAGTATTTTAGGATCGCAGCCTTTGGATTATATGGAAATAAAGATCAATTATTTTTATGCGCCAATTGTAACTTTGAAAAAAAAATAAAAACACATATACATAAAAATAAAAATAAAAGCACATAATAAAAAAACATACAATGCTGAAGAGTAATTTGTTTCATCATCTTCATCATCCGACATTTCCACATTAAGATCTCGAAGTCGTGATGTTCCCCTTGTATTGTTATTGCTATTCACCTCAATAGATGGTGTGAGAATTGTTGTCTTATCTGACGCCAAAGACATTATACAACGAGAAGAATCGGAAGCAGCCCAATTATTAAGTTTATCTAACATCTGTAAATGAAAAAAAATAGTGATAGTTCTATGACAGTTTTGATTTACTTTTCAATAAATGAAGAAAATTGAGGAATAAATTTTTTCTTTAAATAGAATACTTTCAATAGAAATCTTCCTCAATCTTCCTCTGAATTAAAAAATTTAGGATTAATAATATGGGATTTTCACTTAAGAGCGCATCATTTTTGGACTTGACAAATTTTGCAGTATGTTACTTGATTGCATTCTAATGTTCAAAATACAGGTTCACTCCGCCAGTAATATAGCCTCAATATTACTCCTCTGAAATGAAAGCAGCACCACACTGATTGACGTTCCAATTTTAATGTGAAATGTATTCAAAACTTATTTTTATCACGGTACATACTTGACAAATAGCATCCAAAAGTGATGGGAGAAGTACTGGTTGACGACGAATGAAATCTTCTATAGCGTTGGCTAATTTTAATAATGTATCATCTAAAATGTGAAATAAGAAAATAAAATTTTCTAAACAAATAAATAAAAGTTAGAATTCAAAAACAAACTAAAGCAAAAAATTCTTAAAGCTACTCATTTCACTACGTCGTCGGTTTATTGAAAAAATCAGTCTGGTTGAAAGGAAAATATCAAAAAATCGAATCAAAAGCTTTGAAGTTCTGAATTCTTGAAGACCTCGCGAATTTGTACATAGTATTGAAAAAAGGGAAGGCAAAGAAATCAATATATCACGCGATATAGGAAACTGAAAAATACAAATATTAAGTGGACCCAGTCTCATCAAAATATTAAATGAACGGAAGATGGTTATGGAAAAAATGAACCTCTTTCTCCATCAGAGTTGAGATAATAACTCTTGTAACTCCTCTGTCTTGAATAACAGATAGTAACGATGGTTCATGTTCGATTAAACGTATGATGAATGAAATAGCTTAAAAACCTTTCTGCTAAGTTGGCAAAAATAAAAGTAATTTTCCAGAAAATTTTAAAACAAAGCTATCGATAATTTTTTACCCGATTTTTTGTCTTGTCCGAATCAAAAATAATATTCTGAAAATAGTCAAAAAACTAACCACCATGAAGAACAGATGCACCAAAAAATTCGCAATTTTCAAAAATCTGAATGAAAGTAGAAGGAAAAATACCATCAATAACTGAAAATACCATCAATAACCAACTAATAAAATAATTCTTCCTATACTTGACAAAGTACTTTGAGTATCTTAAAGCGAAATAAATATAATTAAAAATGGAACAAACTTCTGCGAACACTGTCGGCAAATGGAGCTTCTTGTATTGGCCTTTTAATAAAGTTAAGCAAAGATTTTATGAGCGCAAGTCGCTGATGATAATAAATATCTGCTGATTCGCCTTCACGAAATGTATTATAATATGATCCACAATTTTCAATCTCGAACTGAAATTCAATTTCAGCATTAAATAACGATGAATATGAAAACTTTTTATGGTTACATTACCATTAACTATTGAAAAAATAACGAATTCGAAACATTACCAGATTTTGAAAAATTAAAATTGTATTCGATCATGAATTTAAAATGCAAATTTTTTAAGTGATGAATAAAAAAGAAAATAAGTAAAAACTCACAGTGAATCTCTCGACCAATATTTGCAACCCATTACATGCGATAAAAACATTAACATCTACTGCACTCATAATATCAATTACACGAACAGCCCGAGTAGTAAAGGAAATGTATTCGATAGAAATATTACGACTTGATACTAAAGTCAATAACGTCTCCATCAATCCGCAAATAATCATTGCTTCACCACCTATAAGTCTCCTATTTGCTGAAACGAAATTATTCCAAATAATCTGATCGTCTTGCGAGAATATTAATTTAAATTAAAAATTATGCTTTTCTAAAAGAAAGCATTAAATTTTAAAAATTGCAAACTTAAAAAAAAAACATGAAAAAGATTAAATACCGTTTTCGAACCCAGATAGATGATAAAGCAGAGAGAATAACGAAGTACAATACTGAAAAGACAGATGATCTGGCATTCCAATTTTTCCTTTTTGCAAATCTTCGACACATGAACGCATTATTCGTGCCAGAAACCCGTGATAGTAATAACATCCCAAATGTTCCAAAATCTTTGACACCCTCAAGGACAAAAAGAAAATAGATTTTTTTGATTACAAAAGAAATTTCTATTTATAAAATTCACTGATGCAACTTTTTTTATAAAATATTTAAAATATTTACAACACTAGTTTTACGATTATATCAAGAATTTTCGACATTTTTAAATTCTTTTTTAACTTATTTATTCAGCTTTATTGTTTGATAAATGCTTTCATCTAAATTGAATTTACATAATCACACATCAGAAATAAAGCTGATAGTGCCAAAAATACATATTTAAAACTATCAACTTACTACTAGCAAATCTAAAATTCCTCATCAAGTAAAACAATCTAAAAATTCTTATTACTAAATTCTAAATTAAAATAATCTTACTTTGAAGGTTTATCAAGTGAAACGATGCTTATAATAGTTCGTAATGCCTCATTCTTGATGTAACTGGTGATCGCATCAGCAGGTTTTAAATTCACCGTAATCAAATTGGCGATTTCTTCAATAAGACTGTCGTACAATATGAAGTTCAACTGAGATTCATCGAACAAAGTACGAGTATATACTTGAAAAATGGATTGTCATAATATTGATTTAAGATTAAAATAATTGCTAGGAAACAAAAATTTCCAAATTCATTACATGATTAAATGTAGAAAAATACCTATTATTGATAAAGTGAGTAATCGAACATTAATGCACAACCGACGACCATTAAATGAACTAAACCATCTAAGAAGCCTCAAACGAGAAACAATGGCGCAACGTTCAGATTCTGTTAACGTCTTATCTTTTTCCACTAATTCATCGAAATCTTCAGCCACTGTTTTACCCATCTTAAAAGGAGTAACTGATTAAACGAATGAAGAAATTTTGAAACGAATAGTAAGTGGGAAAGAAGTGGGCTATCAAGATGAGCTATAATTTTGAATAATTGTGATTCGATTTTGAATTATACAAAAATTCAATACACAAACCTTTTCCAATGAAAAAACCGTATTTTGTGAACAAAATTTAAATGGCAAAAATGACGCGGAATCAAATTCTGCTGAGAAAATATCGATCATTTTCATATCTCGAAATCTTCCAGACCAACTCTAAATTATTAATCTCAAAAAAATTTTGAATAATTCTAAATTTTTTAAAATATCATAAACCTATTTCCAGCTTGTTATGCATTCCATCGTATTCTTATATTTCAAATTTTAAATAAAGATGAACCTCAAGGGAAAATGCAAATGGAATATAGCAAAAAACCTCATTAATTGCTAAAAGACGAGTTGTAAGCATCTTCTGATGTGCTTCCAATAGGTGCTGAGTTAGAAATCGCGTACGCCGACCCATGATAAAAAATAAACGCAATACATTATATACCACAGAAATATCACCAGAATCGAGCAAATATAACAAATACTAAAGTTTCATAAAATCGAAAATGTTTTTTTTTTCGTTACAGTAGTAGATAACAAATAGATAATAAATAAGCTTCTAAAAGATAACAAATAATCTATGAGTAACTAAAGTGAATAAAATGAATAAAATAAAAATGATCTGAAAATTCAAAGCACATGACCTAAATTCTTTCATCATTAAGAAATATTCTAAAGGGATTAATTATATCGATAAAAATAAAAATATACTTCACAAGAATTGTATACTGAACGACAAGTAGTATTTTCGAATAAGAAGGAGGTGAAATCAAGAACAGTGTATACTTCCTGTTTGATATTTTCGTCAGTGTCGACTTTCATTAATGAACCACTATTAGACACATAAGTAACTGCTTCATTCAAAATCGAATCACAATTGTTCAGAATTACAGCCCATCTTGATAGCTCACTCTGAAAAAAATTGAAAAAAATTTCACAAAAATCAAAACTTGAGCTTTTTTTTAAAAATTCCTTTTCCTTTATTCTTTAACCAGTGAATCTGAAGGAAGAAATAAATAAATTTAACACTCAGCTGTTCTACTGAAAAAAGAATGAAAAACCATTAGATTTGAAATCAAATAAAATATACTTTGCCGAATTGCGGCTGCTGCGAATAAACTTCTTTCAATCTTGAAATAAAAACTGAGCGATTCGATGAAGATTCGAGATATTTAATTGTTTCCGCACAACGTGAATGCTGAAAATAAATAATTGTTCATTATTAAATTGTTAATTTTCATTCTCAAATATTTTAAAATATTTTCAGCTGTAAAATAAAATTTTTCTATAAAAATATGACGTAAAAAACAGTTAATTAATCAAAATAACACAATTAAAAACAAAATTATGATACAAAGATTTACAATTAACATAATTAATATTGACAATTTTCAGCCAACAAACTTCTAATATACTTCACATATCGATAAAATAACTAACAATTTCCACACTATATGCTGGAAATTTATTCTTGTCGATTTTCATATTTATATTCGTATTTGTGTCAACAGGAATAGCATAAAATTGGAACCTGAAGTACAAATTGTAAAAAATTGTCTTCACAACCAAAAAAGAACGAAACGCACACTATATATTTCGTAATATACTGTATAATAGAATAGAATACATTGACAATGCGCACCACTGTTCTGACACTTTTTCTTCGACTACAATAAAACGTAATATTTTAATTAGCCGCCAAATCTGTGAAAAAATTTTAAGGCGCGATTCGGTTTCGACAAACCGATGCTTCGGCACTCAAACGGACTAAGGATTATACGTTTTATGTATTACGTTTGCGATGGTACTGTTCGATTTCTACGACAAATAAATAAAAAACTGGATTCTTGATTTTCATCCAATAGTGCTTAGTAATGCTCATTAAAATAATGCAATGCTTCCACTCGGAATACGTGGAATGAAGAGCATTAAAGAGCGAGAAAGGGCTTCTTTCGAGCCCATCCTGTTTTAAATAAATAAAAAAGCACATTACTCATGGCTGTTACAAATTTACGAAACATTCGAAAGTTTAATGACTGGTTGAAAAAAAAACTTTATGCCAAAAACATACTGGGAGGTTGACGGAAATTCAAATTAATATGTAAATGACAATTAAAAAAATGATGACAGTAGTGCAAAAAGAAAATTTTTCAAAGAATTCTAGTATGCTAATTTAGCAGCATATAGATGTGAGCAGATTTATTTCCCGACATGAACGAGGATTTATTCTACTAGAGGGCCCAGACACGATAATTGACTGGTTTTTTTCAATAATAGTCTGGCCGCATATATGCTCAAAACACTTCCATTTTCCACAATATTTTATTAAAATTTAATGTTACCATACTATATTACTGAAATATTCCAATATTACAAGGTCCAAGTGAACAAATTAATTATCTCTCTAATACTGTGATTGCAATGCTCCAGTATATCCCGACTTACTAGGTTTAATCTTAGGAGAACGAATTCTCGTTACTGATCTTATAAAACACTTATTCCTCTCTTTCCAGAGGATATCCGCCAAGATTTCATAAACCCGATAAGCAAACTGAACGAATGACTATAGCACCAAATGCACCATTAATTACAACTGAAAACTCATTATTTAGGACCATTAACAGCAAGGATAAAATAAAATTTGGTACCCACTAGAAACCTCTATACGAAAATTAAAACTGAATTTTTCCATTTATAATTTTTTATGATTTTAACTTGAATTCCATCGTAAGCAATCGCCCCGCTGGCTTGTCACGATGGATAAATATGCCAGGGAATCTTGGCGACAGAAGTATAGATGAGCCGCCAGCATCACCCGGATTTTTCGACAGGTTTACCCTTGCGGAGAATTGATCTTCAGCATAGGCATTCAGAATTGAACAACAACCCACTGAACCATTCTATCTTTATCTTTGATATATATGTATATTTATATATATATATATAATTTTCAATATTGCCGCAGATCTTGAAACCATTAAGGAAAAAAAATTTCTGCAAAAGGAAAAGTCTAGAAGACTAATGAAAAAAAATCATGCAATGAAAATGATGCAAGCGATAAATTTCAGTCAATTTTCAGCAAATCCATTTCATGAATTTTATAGAACCAAGGAATCTGGACAAAAAATTTTCAAAAAACCAATCATTTTTCTATAAATTGGCAAAAAACTTGCTCCTTCGAAAATCATGATGAAAATCTAGCAGAATACCAGTGGAAAATGGTGATTAAGAATTTTCTTCATTCTATCAAATAAATAAACTATTTCTTAAAAGCCTTATTAGTCTTTCCATAATGGTTCTGTAAATCCAACATTCATTTTCATTCAGTATCATCTGATATAATTTTTTACTTTATTTCACAAGTAATGATCAAAACTAATTTCATTAGATCAATCAATAGGCCATAGACAAAGAAGCGTAATGTATTTGCCTCAAAACCTCAAAAATATTAACCATAAAATTGTTTGGAAATTTCGATAGAATTACAAAAAAATAGAAAGGAGTATCTAATTCACTTTCACAAATTGAATTTATCAATTGAACATATTTTTAACTAACGAAAGAAACTTAACTGCAATATATCGGGGTGAAACGAAAAAAAAATAATGAAAAACAGATGAAGCATCGTAAAATTCTGAAAACAAATAGAATCAAAATATATAAATAAGAACAAAAGAAGGTATTCATAGGAAAAAAAACGAAAATCCGCGTCTATATTCGCTCGACCTTGCCATATTGCGAGATATAGCCGATAAGAACGGAAGATGTTATGATTACCACTGACCACAAATACCACCTGCATTAACAAAGCCATCATAAGGGATCATCTTAGCTGCTTAGGGATGTTCTTCGTCGCCCGCCACAAGAGTTGACATATATTTTATTATTTGCTATAAGCTGACGGAAGGCGTCAAAAGCGAGAAATGCCAATCGAGATTTAGAATGATATGGTTAGGAAAGATTTTGATATAGCGGGACCAGCTATATATGGACATAGAAAAAAGGAATGGCTTCTAGTACTATCGGCGATGGCGGATAGAATAACTGGTAGATTTTTAAGTTTGTAGTCAACGCAGTCGATCCGATCGGTAACGCTGGGGAGATGTTCGAAGGAAAAAAAGAAAAAACAAGGCAGCTGCCACCACTTATTGCGCTTCCAACTCGAAATCCATGAAACCTCATTCTCTGAAAACTTAAGCCAGTGAAAAAGCGCAAGTTCTAGCACTGCAAAACTATGGACTCCCTATTTTTAAATAAATAAATATTTGAGAAAAAGTATTTTTTAACTTCGGTAATCGATATTTAACGATTTCTTCAGAAATAAAAAACAGGAAAGTGAAAAAAAATTTCGCAACAATAAAAATCGAAATAATTTAATACAAAGAAATTTTGTAAATTTTGTTTAAAAAATTTCATTTTAGAAAATTATTTCATATTATCAAACAATTAATGAATTCACGATTATTAATGGAATAGAAAATCAAAACTGATAGAAAGTAAAAAATGCGTATCATATACTGATCAATTCTTTATGATTAATAGACTGGTAATCGATAATGCATGATTATCACCAAGATAACCTAAAACGCTAAGCCCACACAGCCCAATGCTTCTATACAACCTTTAACCTTAGGGCAAGACTCATTCATGCAAAGTTCCTCGTTCAAACAATGCAATCAATAGGACATGGAAGGAGGTCGCTGGGTGACATTCCACACAAATCACCTTCGGCTAACGAATTTTAGTATGGGATGCACAGCTAAAAATCGGTCTTGGCGTTAGCAGCTTAATATTATTTTCGAAAATTTGTTGTCACGAGACGATTGAAGAGTATCATGTCTTATTCGGTGGACCTTACCTTCTCGAAGATTTTAGTGGGGTGAGGGGAGGGGGAATGGGGATCCCATGTTCAGTTATGAACTTTTTTTCACAGATGATCAATAAGAAAAAATCAATGAGTAATGAAAGATATAAAGATATAAGAAAGTCTTTTCTTCGTAAATTTAGATAAAATTTAGTGAAAATTGATCCAACGTTGCGGTGAAAAATTGCGGAACGCTTTCTCACCTTATATATTTCTGCACTTGTGACCTTGCAAAATCTCCATTTTAAACGATTTATGCAATGCGGTTTTGCGTTGGTGCGCGGTTAAATGTTAAATTTACTAATAAATGGTTATGTTAAGTGAACGGGTGATGTTGGCGATTCACCTTTACAATAGATCGTCGAGTAACTTACGTGGCAAAATTTGACTGTTCCAGCGGAGCGAATTTAACCAGAAATGGTCACTCTTAGAAAAAAGAAATCTGTTATATGTTGTAGATTTTGCTTAGAATTAATCGAGAAATAGTATGGTAAAAAATTGAGAAAACATTTGGTGTGGAGTAGAATTTTTATAAGGAGAACTATTTCCATTCAGAATTTCTTGCTTAGCTGATTGCCTTGTTAAATGCTCATTCTCATGCGCCAGAGTGGCTTGTAACTGATCTCTATCTGATTTCATTTTTAATTCAGTTTCCACAGAGAAGAGGAACCGCTGCTGTGATAGCTTAGTCGAAGCAATATACACTCTGCCATTTTGCACTTCCAGATTGATGTTGAAACTGAAAAACTGAAAGATCGACAAGATGAATGGCTCTTGCTTCAAGCCCCATTACTTTTGCATTAACTGTTTCTTTTAAAGGCTCGCAAAATCCTTTATATTCCTTTAATATCCTCCCGTACTATGTACTTAAAATCCGTCAGAGCCATTTATATTCTATTAAGATTCTTTCAAACTTGCATGGACTTTCATCGCATCCGGTTTTTACTTCTATGTAATGCCATACAATGATTTTGTCGAAGCTTTTTTCCTACTTAAAAGATCTTAAAATTGCACAAATATTCATCAAAAATCTAGCCAATTTTTCGCAGGCCAGAAACATATATCGTCTTTTATAAATAATTATTTATCACTGAAGTTGTTTTATCCCTTAGTCTTCGACTGAGTAAACCTGTTATAATATCAAAAATTTGGATAGAATGGCTGCTGGTGACCCACCTGCAGCTTTATCCCTCAGTATCTTTATGGTGAAAGAGTCTGGTTTTTTTGATATGCCATCCGCATCTTCCAATGTGCTCGATACTCTCAAACCGGTGGTACATGTGATAAGTGCACAATAGGTGTAGTAAAACGACTTTAAGACTTGTGGATAAAATGTGCTGGCTAACCGGGATAATTGTTCGAAATAAGGGGAAAATTCTGCAAAGTGTTAGCCTTAAGCAGTGTGGGACGTCAGATTGTTTATCGATGTTACAAGCCAAGCAGTCACTATCCTTTATCTTCCTAAATATCGTGTGGATATCGTCTGCTTGTTGGAGATCTTTCTACTTGGGGTCTGGAGCAGTTACTAAGCTAGCTGCGAGTAGAGACACCTTATCACTATTTCGGATACTTAGAGCGATTTTCATATTTAAAAAGGTCCACTGTGCTCTGCTTGAGTGGAAAATTGGTAAATAACTTGTATTAAGTTGTATGGCTTAATTAAAGGGTTCTGCAATATTTCGGTTATCAGTACATATACTTTGTCTACAGGTGATGATGTGTGCATAAGTTCTATGCGGAATTTTAATTGTTAATATTTCTAAAGTGGCATAGGTGTGATCGGGGGAAGATTGAAATGCGCGCGTAATCATGATGTGACCATGATGAATTCGGTAATTAGCAAATATAGCATCGGATTCAGATTAGAAAAACGCTTTTTCATCTGTCCTTTACTTTTCCGAGGTGCATAAAATTTTTATTAATACATGCTTCTGGCATTAAAGAAAACATCTAGTCATATCTAGAACTAAAGTACGAATGTCACGAGATCCAGACTACCGCTTCGAATAATTACAACGACTGCAGCATGGAATAAAAATGGGATAGAAATCGCTATTGGAGTTATATGGCTTTGAAGATGGGGGCGGCAGCTCAATTACGGTAAAAGGAAATTATTCCGCCTTCTTTAAAAAGCAATTCAGAGAACAGTCAGTGAAATAATATGAGGTAATGATGGTGTGCCTCTTAAGATAATCAAGGATCGCTTTGTCTGTTATCACAAGCATAGTTGGAACGCTTGTTGAGCCGTATGTTTGCAAATGCAAACCACCAGTAGAACAGGAAATAATCTTTCTTCCAGGAGGTTAAGACCGGTAAAATTCCCGGAGATGGTTTTTGGACTAAACTCTTCAAATATTTCTGTTGTTCTTCATAATCTCATTATTTTAGAGAGTAGTTGATCCGGCTGCTTTATCAGGAGTAGAAATATTGATCACCACACGTATTAATAAAAATTTTATTCTTCACCTCACCCCTCAAATTTAAGTGATTAAATCAAGCAGCAATATACTCTGCAACATACTAATATACTGATAAGAAAAAGCAATATTCGATATAAAATTAAATCCAAAGACTAAAAATATATAATAGAAGATAAATAAATATCTCAAAAACAAATAAAAATGAATGTAAAATATGAATGAATATGAATATATAAATGAATATAATATAATGAATATGAATATAAAAATGAATATAAATAAAAATAAAATGAATATAAAAATGAATAATGAATATGAAAAAATGAATATGAATAGATGAATATATAAAAATGAATGAATATAAAGGATTAGTAACAAACATCTAAAATACTAAAATATTGGGACCCAATCGCTTGGATCCCTTGATGCGTCCACAATAAGAAAAAAAGAACAATTTTCGCGAGAAAAATACAATTTTTCTAAATTGACCTTAATGGTTTATTGACATATGAAAATAGAATAAACGAAGAATTAATTAAGTTAATGAAACACCGATTAACCTTTAACAAATGTATTCTTTGGTATGAAAAAAAATAGTACCAAACGACTGGAGTAAAGCAATTCTGCTTTCAATTCCCAAGAAAGGTGGCAGTACATACAGTGATAATTACTGAGGAATCATTGCCTATGGGAAAATTTTTCCTTCTACTGAATAGCAGTACGAGAGAATGCGCCCTAATCAAGCTGGATTGAGATCAGGATGCGGTTGTGCTTAACCAGATATCCACATTAAGAAAGATCATTTAGTTGGAACATCATTTCAAATATCTGCAACTCACTATCACTTGTTTCATCGATTTTACGGCTGCGTGTGATTCAATTAATAGAGTTTTAGAGTTTAGAAACTGATGGAAAATAATTCCAGTGATCATCTGACTCATAAAGGCATTTCATCAGCGTATTTCGGGACAGGTCTTTGCTTGTGGGAAATTGACAGATTCTTTCGGAATAAATCCGTCAAGGCTGCATTTTTTCCACTGCAATATTCAACTATGCGATAATGTCACTCAAGAAGTGTGTAAATCAATTCAGAGCATCGTAGCACAGATCTTGAATATGATGTAGTCCTTTCCAGACTCAGGATCAAAGTAATTAAAAGTCTTATATATAGGCTGGTAAAATGCCGATTTTTATTAGTTCATTGCCGGTTAAGGAAATGCTCGATTTTAAATATTTTGGAACCACTCTCCCAAATGGTCAAGCAAAAGACGAAATTACAATCCTGATAACGATAGTTAGCAATGTCGCGAAATCACCATAAAAACGAAAGTACGCATCCATATAGCTGCAATTCGCGCAAATTTTCTATATGGCTATGAAACTTGGCTAGTGAGAATACAGGATATTAAGGAGTTATTACTTTTGACCACTTGACCACTCATATATACAATTTCCAACTTCGCCGAGCTAATAAATCTCATATGATCTCATACATCCTTCGTTCCAATACTAATTAATTAAACTACCATTACTACCATTACAAAGTGTCTTTTTCGCTGGTTAGGGCACGTTCTTCATCAACCACAGGAATTGACATACTTGCATGTTACTTGCTAAACCACATGATGGGTACCGTTAAAGCGAGGCAATCAAGATCTGGGTTAACAATCAGAAAAAAATTTTGAACGTATAGGGCCAGCAATATATGGACTTAGACGATGGAAAAAGGAATAGCTTCTGTTATTATCAATATTGGCATAAGATCGAGCAGCTTGTAAACCCTTGTATCCAGAGGAGCCAACCTAATTAGTACTGATGAGAATGATTAAAAGAAGAAATTCTTTAAATGAATTTGGCGAAAAATGGATTTTTAAGACTTATTTACAGATAAAATTTAATACAAAAAATTGGCAAAAAGTTGGAAAAAAGGTTATCAAAGAAATTTCTCGTTTTACTGTAAATCGCCAGTCTATTTTCCGGCATTTTTTATTCATATTCATTTACAAGATTAAATAGCAATGACTGTGTAATTTCGGCGCAGTACGATGAAAAATGATTAAATATTGTAACATACAAATGACCTGAGTCCATTTGGTTGAATCTATTTTTAAATCAAAATCATTGGTTTAATTTTTCTTTTCAATATTTAGTCATTTCAGTGCAGAAAATATTTTTTGCCACGGTTTTTGCCCTGATTAGAGTTTGATAAAGTTTGATCACTAGAGTGTGCTAAGTTTTTGATGAAGAACGTCTTTTATAAATTGATGAGGAAGGCCAAGGATTCATTTTTAAAAGCTCTGAGCAGAAGAATATAAAATCTCAGATTTCTTCTTTCGTTTTTTTCATTGATAAATGAAATTTTCCACAATTTTTTTCCCCTTATTCAATTAAATTTATCTTAATCTTAAATCCTTTAAGAAAAGTTATTTCACTCAGCGACTGATTAAATAGTTTAAAAATAGTGAGCGTGTTTACTATTCGCAAACTTTGCGTATTTTTCTTCTCCTAAGAATTTTTAATTTACAGAAAGGATTGGACTGGACTCATATTTCTAATTTGGCTGCCTATAATAGGTACTGTGATAAGAATATCTTCGCCAAAGAATAATATAGAGAACATAAGTAGAGAAAATAGATTAACTGCTGTCAAAAGATTGATATCAAATCTGTGAGATGGCTTAATCTTAGGCGAAGCAACATTCTTTCCATACATTGTACTAAATTCTTTATGTTTTTCATTGTATCATATCTAAACATTCATCTTAATTTATTAACCAAATAAATATTATTTATTCGCTTATATTTGCGATGAATTATGATTTTCCATAAATTCTTTGAAATTGGACACCTATTATTTTCTTTGGTATTAGCGATTACAATTTGGCAGCCTGCCGACTGGTAACTCAGAATTATCATATTTGTGTTGTGAACTTGTCACTGAAAAATCTAGGTGTTCTATCATTAATTAGCTCCAAAATTTTGCAAAAAAATTTAACAGCCAGCAGAGTGAGGTTAACCAGAAAGTGAGCGCTAACCGCTTATTTACTTACTTACACTTACTTACGCTGATTTGCCACTTGCTTACTCTACTTACTCGCCTGATTTGCTAATGGAATTAATTAAAATCACAAAGTTTAAAAATCAAAAAATGAAATCATATGAATCGTTTTTTAATGTCATTGAAGGCATAGACCACATATATATATATATATATATATATTTGTTTTTGTAATTTACTATTGAGTAACAATTGTTTTTTCCTATCAATATAATATTATGGCTTAATTACCCAAGTTTGAAGTGGTGAATAATAATTTTATTAATACGTGCGGTGATCAATGTTTATTCTATTGTCCTGATAAAGCAGTTGGATCAAGGTTATTCTAAAATAGGTAACGCGTGGCAGACGAGCATCATTCCACTGCTTTCATTTATTTCATTTCTTATTATTTTATATTATTTTTCACATCCAGTATTTACATCAGAAAAAAACGATTATTTTTAATTATTTTGGAAATAACTTCGATGTATTTGGCAAAGCTTTCTTAATATCATTAATGCATTGTTGTATTTGTAGTCGTTGTAAATTGAGCGAAGCACTAAAGCCAAGTTGAGATTCACCGATTAAAATTTCTGTGTGATGTGGATCAATGCCACATGATAAGGGTAATTCGATTCCTTCGCTATACGTTAATTCTTCGATTTGTTTCTTCAACTCAGGCCACATCATATCGATTATCATTCCTAAAAAAGATTATTGTTAAGTTTATCAATCAAAAAAATGACGATTTATTTGTTGAGTATTTTTTAAAAATCTATCTAGCACTCATTTGTAGTAAAAAGAAATTACTGTAGAAAAAATTCATTTTTCTTATATTAGGAGTTCCTCACGAGTAAAGCTAATTCTTAGTTATAAATGCGAATATTTCTGCGTCAGTGCTATAGATTAATAAACTATCAAACTTATGCTTATGTTTAAAGTTGGCTAAATAAACCATCCAATCAGCATTCAAGTTTTTGATTCAAATTTTATATATATATATAGTGATGCGTGGCGGATTCGAACCCAAGTCTCGATCTTCGGTGGCAGTTATCTTGTCAGTGAGCCGCTGACGCACCAATTTTTTTTGAGGGGGGATAGAATGGCTCAGTGGGTTGTTGGTCAATTAGGAGCGCCGGTGCTGAGGTTCGATTCCCTGCAGGAATAAACTTGTAGAAAAAACCGGGTGATGCTGGCGACTCACCTGTATTTCTATTGCCACTGGACTCCCCCTAGCATATTGCCCAATGCGACAAGCCAGTGGAGCGAGTTTAACCAGTTATGGTGAGGGCTCTTTAAAAAATATATATAATATATAAATTTAATATATATATATATTTATATTTATAACTGTTCTGAAATAAGGATCTATAGTGCTTCTAAAAATTTTATTTGGTTGATTCTTAATACTTGTTACAATGATATTAACTTATAAGCCCATTAAAAATCACAGGAAAAAATATTTTGCAAGAATAAAACCATTTCAAATTTGGGAGAAAACGGGAAGAAACAGATCAACAGTTCATTATTAGGCAAAAGATCACCTCTAACGAGATCCTGGACAAAAAGCGACCATGATGGAGGAAAAGCACCATTTTCCATTACCACGTTTGTATCCAATAGTTGTACAGAAGTCCGCAGTATTCCTCCATCGATAACAGGTCGAAGTTCAGCATTTATTGAAAGCTGCATTGATATGAAAACCGATGTAACGTTCTTATCGGGATTCACAACTTTCAGATTTATGCGATCACGCCTAAATTGGTTTTATATAAAATAATTGGGAGCAAGTTGATTAAATAGTATAAGGCAATAGTAGGCAGTAATGTCATACATATCGAACTTTTAAAGAAAAATATTAAATAAATACTTTTCAAGAATAATTGATGCATTCGTGGCGGTGATAATAGGCGAACCTTTAGCCCAAACATTTAAAAGGAAATAACATGAAACACAAAGTGTTGACAGAAATTCTCGCGATGATAGAGGAATAACAGGGCTGGTCACTGCTATCAATTGTTCCATCCAGTGGAAACTCCAGTCAACCTTTAAACAAAAAAAATCCAATAAGATTTTTAGACTTCTCTCTTCATCGCCTCATTTCCCTAAAATTCAACCAACCTGTCAATAATTTGATCAACAACTTTATGAAACTATAAAACTCGAAATCGTGAAATATTTGAGTAAGATGTACTATTTTATTCTCTTAAATCACATCTGGAATTATTCTCTTAAATCACATCTGTAAAATTTAAATTGAGATGAGTAGTAATTAATGCAACTTCAGCTGCGTATCCCTCTAATGATTTATGATACTCTAACCGGAAAGATTTGAAGTTTCGATTCTTTACGCCTAAAATTTGACCTGTTTAAGCATATCGTTTATACCAGCATCGTCGATCCATGCAGTTAATCGATCTTCACCATCAAATTCAATATCGAAATCAGTTATATTGAATACTGGTGATTTTAAGCCATCAAACATCGAGAGACGATTCCATTCGAGTTGAGCTATTATTCGAATATGTTTCTCAACGACTGTCATTGATTTTATACGGTAAAAAAGATAAGGATCTGATGTACTAAGAAGTACCTCTCGCAAATGCAGTGGTATTATTTCAGCCAATGATAAGTTCCTTAAGCTTCATTTTTTTGGGATAAAATTAACGATTATTTGAGATATAATGAATGATTAAAAAATTTTAAATTAACATGAATTATAAAAAGTCCAGCTTATATATTAAACCTATTCAATATATTTTCTTTTTTTAATTTTCTTTACACATTTAATTTTTATGGGGATTGTTAGGCTAGGGCTTTGCAAGAGAGCCAAAAGATCCTATCATCCAGGTTTCACCTTTATTTACTCAAAGGATATGATGGCTTAGGCTTTAATTTAAGCAATGTATTACTCAACTATTCACCTGCATATGTACAAATAACATATATACAAGTAATTCAATTAATACAGTTATTAAAAATATCCATTCTATTGCATAGCTGAACGTTGTAGGGGAAAGGATCAGTGAATGGTGGAGTTCTGACGGATCAGTTTGGAAAAGATCAGTCACTTCACCATATACATAGACCTGTGGTGATCTATAAAATGCATTCCTGAGTCGAATGATTTTCTTTAGAATACGTCATATTTCATCATCCTCCAAAGTGCTTTCAGTTGAATCGAAGGCAAAATCGATGAATCTCGATAGATTGCCGATATTTGAATTGATATTCCCCAGCATATTTGCACCTCGTTCTAAATCCAGCTCGGTTTTTAGGGTGCATCCTGCTGTTTCGTATTGTTATATAAGTCTTTCAGTAGAAGAAGAGCGAAAAATTTCGTGGAGATGTCTAATAAGATGTTTTTCAGTAGGTTATCCTTGGAGATTGGGAGCAAGATTGCATTGCATTAGTCACTTGATTTCTTTCTACCAGAGAGTGTAGATGAGTTGTTGGAAGAAACTCTCGCAAATGCAGTGATATTCAGCATAAAAACCGTTTTGTGCCGGGATTTTGTCGTTAATCTTCTCAATGACGGAGATTATTTCATGTTCTGTTGGCTCCTAGTTGCAAACAAAGAATTCCAGCATTCCAGCTATATCCAGAATGGCAAATAATGTATCCCGGTCAAGTTTTATGCTTGTTTTATGAAGGATGGTTTCCTATTCGACCCGTCTCCATATTTAGAGTTATACTATTCGAATAATGGTTTTTCGCAGTGACACAACTATTGCATTTCTCGAAATGTCTGATGGTCAGGATTCTCCTAACATACGTGCTCTGCCAGCCTTTTTGGATTCTAGCGCATTTTTGAGTGGCATATCCTAGCGTGGCACAGTGATCTGATCTGATCGATTTTCACAGTCTCTAAAGAAAGTTAGCGGTCGTTCCAGAGGAACCACTGACATTTATATCATTGAAATTTCTAAATCTTTTCACTTGAAATAGTTGAAAGATTTGGGAGGACGTTATTTCATGCACATGTTTCTTCATGTAGATCTTCATTGACTTGATCCATAAATGGTCTGATCTATGAAAATTATCAATTTCATCAGCGCCGCGATAGGGAACTTTCTAGTATGGAACTCTTTCAACGACGATTAACCAAGATGCATGTTGGTTATCAGGTGAGCTCCATGTAATTAGGTTGGAATGTTCGCTAGATAACTTCTCCGATGTATGCCGTATATATTGGTATTCCATATTCTTCGGATTTACTAGTGGTAGAAATTGTCTACATCTATATCCGCATAACGTAGGAGTATATATATATTGATAGTCGAAATACTGCAGAACTTTCCTCAAAACTGGCAATCAGAGAGGACTGAACTCTTTCCGACATGTTAATCGCTCCGAAGCACTACAGAACAATACCTCTACTCTGAACCAGCTGCGCAGAATCAGATGTTTTTTCAAAGTATGGACGGTTATTATTCTAACTCCTGACATTCCGTTGCTAAAACCTCGTAAATAGAGCCAATGAACGACTGTTTGTCTTCAAATTAACAAGTTTCGAGCAGTTGCCCTCGAGAGGCTCGAAAGTTCATCCCATCCACAAACCTAGGAATCATTTTACAAGCCCGGCTTACATATCATTTCATATCATTTATCACACGTGTTAAGGATATCGCAGGACGAAGACGTCGTATCAGCCAGATCCTTTCAGCATAGAATCATTTGGAGATCTACAGGTAGATAAATATAAGCTTGCATTCGCACTTTAGTTTTCTAATAAGCATCCACTTTAAAATTGGAAAATTCCGCCAGGGAGAATAAGAAATTTAATCGATAGAAGAGTAATTAGATGTTATGCTGTTAAATAAATAAAGGAAGAATAACTGATTATTTTGTCCAGAATTTGAGAAATAATTTAGAGATAAATCAGCAAAATTTTATATTTCCCCTGCACTGGCACATTGAGGTACAATGAGGCGAGAGAAGCGAGCCCGAAACGGTGGGCTCGAGAAAAAGAGTAAGAACACATATTAGAGAATTATCATAAGACGTCAGAAGGAACCGAACTTGATGGTGGCACTTTGATTGCTGACCATAAAATCTGCAATAACTGGACAAAGGAGATATTCAAGATTGCTTTGAATTGGTTCCGATAAAATTGACAAAATCGTTGCGAAAATCCAATAATTATGCGATGAAGCATTCACGGAAGTTTCTTTAAAGTAACATGAATTCATACTCACTGAATTTTCATCTATTTTTGCCGATATTTTCAATTTTCGTATCTGAAAGAATTTTTTTTCGCTGAAATCCGATTATAAAACAAAAAACAAAGTTTAGTTCTATTTTCATAAATGTAAAATGAAAATTGTGAGTTCGAATTAGCTTTTCGAGAATTTTGTCTAACTCTCGTCAACGCAAGAATCGTTGATAACAAAACTTTGTCGGTAATCATATTAGAGGATGGATGATAACAGTGATAAATATGTTCATTCATTCATCTAAACCCGCATCGCTCAAATTCTTCTATTCTATTTTGCTAAATTTATCGATTGAACCGATCATTAATTGCTAATTTCTTGCCGAAATTGTTAAAATTGTTAACATCAAATATTGCAAAAATGCGGTGAAAACGATTGAAATTTATCTTATTAGAGGGAAAAAAACTTCGTTTAATTTCTATAAATTATTATTGCAGTTCAATTTTAAGTTTCGAAATTCAACTGAATTCCTCAGATTAAAAGCAAAAAACTAAAATAAAAGTGGCGATGAATTATGAGAGAGAAAAGCGAAATGCGACAAAAGTTCGTTTGCGAGACGACTCCACTTAGAGATTTAGAAGCTGCTGGAAAACGAGGTGAAACGTACTTGCACGGTGAAGTCGACAACTTCGTCACCAAAACTAACTGGCCAAATATTTGGACTGACGTTTGAAATCGAATATAGTTTGACATCATTTGCTAGTAGATGAATTATTTCTGGGGAGAATTTAATTGTTAAATTTGAATATGAAATTCGATTTGTTGTTTCAATTAGCGCTAGAGAAGATAGGAATGGCTGTTGATGGGTATTTAGCGTGAACTGCAAGGGTCGAGGCGAATTTAGAGCCAAGTTGGTTGCTTTACGAAGAAGTTGTGACGCAGCACCAGAACCAACATCGAGCGATAAATCTGATGCGAAGATAGCGAAAAAAAGAAAAAGAGAATGAATTGCGAGGACTGGAAATGTCGACATTTGCAGTTGCATTTGTCTCCGAGTTGATAAGATAGATTCGTTTTGAGAACACGTTTCTTCTCAAGGACATCTATGTTTTCAGTGTATGTTGCCCTCATTACAACTGCCATCGCTGTGTCGTCTTCCAGTGATCATTTAAACCCTGTTTTAGACAATTACTCTCAGACTTCAACGCAGTCGCAATTAACGTCAGCGTCAGCCTTACGTCTTCGATTGCTTCCTCGAGCTTTACTATATTTAAATGATATCACTAGCAATTTATTAGCAAATCAACTGCCTCGGATCTTCATTCCAAATATTTATCACCGATTTAAAAATGGCCAAGGAACGATTTCACTGTCGCATGTTCGCGTTTCAAGATATAAGCGCGCTAAACTCTATAAAATTTCTGCTTCAGAGCCGAATAAGCTGACATGGACTTCGCATGATCTAAATATCGGGTTATTATTACACTTATAAAATTTCAATGATTAGTTGATTAGAGAGAGGAGAGAAGCTTTAAATGGTACGGAATTAAAATTTTTGCGAAGCCTTTTCGCTTACTGCATGGCGTTACTTAAAAATCATGAAAATTCCAAAACCAATTCAAAAGCAGACGGAAGTGTTGTTTTATAATATTTTACTATTTGTAAATAGAGCAACGGTAAAATGCAATTATTTAGGATGATTGGAGATTTATCTGGTGAATTAAATATATTTGTACCATTACAATTGGAAGGACAAGTTGAAGTTCAGACCAAAGGAGTTTATTTCTTTCTGCAAAGTGCAATTAAGCGATCTGTAAGTGGTGCTGCGCATTTAATGCCGAAATCTTGTCGTACTTTTATAAAAATGGTTCATATTGAAAGTCGCAGTGGTGGGCTTGCTGGTATCGCACTGAATATATTCAAGGTTTAATTGCTTAACTCCATTTTATGCTCTGCTAAATTAAAAATAACTTAAAAAAAAAAAATAATAATTGAGACCTTCATTTGAAGCCTCTTGCATTTTGATTGCCTCTAGTGATCACCAGAATCCGATACTTTCGGTGATAAAAGTGCAGATAAGACTTCAACTATATTGACTTTAGTGGTACTCGCGTTAAGGGAGGGAAGGGAGGACCCTATAATTAGCTAGAAAATTTCAGTTCATTAAAAAATATTTCGTTCCGAACGACCATTTTATACGCAGAACAATACTGATAGATAGATTAGGACATTTGATGAATGAATGAATCATGACAATATCAGTCCAGGTCTTGATGGCTCCTTCTCTTTTTATTGCAGGAAATAGCGAAATGTGCATCATTTTCTGTGATGAATAATGAAAAACATAAAAAATATGACCTATGTAAAACGTTACTAAGGGTTGAGTAAAATTATGTGAGGCTCTGTCGCTTAGCATATTTCCTCGTGTTGATTAGTTAAATATCCATTTGCAGTGAATTGTAAATGTTTAGGAGACGATATCTGAACGTATCCGTCCATTAATTCAATTATCAATTTGTCAGAAAGTCACGAGAATTATCGTCGAGGACCTGAATAAAAAGCTATCACAAAGTCAAACGCAACTGACATTTTCAGATGCACTCAAAACCAATTCGTTCGGAAGATATTTGATATTTGATCCAAATATTCTCAGACATTTTCATACTATTCATCCGAACACATCAACTTATTTTTTTCAGGTAGAAAATGCTTTTGGTGTTTTGGAAATAAATAAATAAGAGTCTAGGAAGACCATCAATTTTCGTTTTTATAATGATTTACTAGCTTTTTCTTTTCTTCAAACATCTCAGTCATTGCGACTTGGCTGGATCGTTTGGCGAGTAGAATAAAACATCCTCAAGCTTCCCGATCTGATGCCATGCCCGAGGATAATTGAAGTCTCTCCTCCTTTTTTCGACAGACAAGACCATATATAACTAAGCCATTCATGACAATATTAGTCCAGCTCTTGATGGCTCCTTCTCTTTTTATTGCAGGAAATAGCGAAATGTGCATCATTTTCTGTGATGAATAACGAAAAACATAAAAAATATGACCTATGTAAAACGTTACTAAGGGTTGAGTAAAATTATGTGAGGTTCTGTCGCTTAGCATATTTCCTCATGCTGATTAGTTAATTTTCTTGGTTTGAACTAAACGGCTGAAATAATCTTTATCAAATTTAAGGAAGAAAATCGAGAATTTTAGCATAAATTTATATCAAATTTCAGAAACAGGCTTCAAGCATTTCCATTGATTACAGGTTAACAAACATTGTTGAATTCTTCCAATTTTCTAATTCTATTTTGCTGTCATTCTCATTTATTTTTAATTTATTTTTGACGATGGTAAATTACATAAGAGCCAATCTGATTTGTATAGGATATTTTACGTGTTGTATTTTACAATTAATCTCCGAAACATTTGATAGATTAGATTTTGCCTTAAGTATTAGCTAATTGTCAAAAATAGTAAAATTGATAGTCATTTTATTTTTTATTTCACCTCTTAATATTAATCTACATTTAGCGTTAAAGCTGGAACTGATTAAGAAAAAATATCATACTTATTGCAGATTAAGTGAAGATCCGCTATGCTATAACAATACAATTGAGCTGGCTTATCTTGGAGAGATATCGTCGAAAATCAAAACTCCATTTGGGATGCATCCTTTAGAATGGCCTTCTGATCTTACTGATTCGGATTCAATGGTACAAATACTAATATCTGATCATATAGCAAATGCTTTGTTATACCATTCTTTTAAGTTGGTCTTCAAATTTTTATAAATTATTTTAATTTGTATTAGGCTGGTTTTAAAAATCATAAATTGGTCGGATTTATAGCTAATTTAGATCAAAAGTGGTGATAACTTAATGTTAACTTAAAGTAAGATTTGAATAGATAGAACTGGACATTCTCCGATTTTCCGTATTTCTCAAGGAAAATAGCCTAAAAATTTAAAAATATTACTCTTTTTTTTGCTCTTGAAATATTTTATTCTAAAATAAAAAAAATTTTTCGTACAAGAGATTTTGATTTCGATTAATCAATGTTCAATAATTGACAAAAGGACAAAAAGTTTACTTAATCGATAACCGTGAATAAATTGAAAGATTGCATCACAAATTTCATAAACTTTTCTCAGCATGAAAATGCTGAAATAATGAAAAATAAAATAAAAAAAGGAAATTATTTTCTACTTATATGCAACTGTATACGAAGTATTTTTTATCTATTTTTTTGTCGTGATATGACGAAAATAAAATCCAAATTTTAGTGAAAACCTCCTGAAATTCACTATCGATGAAAGCACTATATCATCGTTGAAGTCATTTTTGCAAACGACTTGTCCCAGCTCATTTTGTTTTGCTGATATAATTCCTGAAATTGGCAAACGGCATCCCAACAAAAAAATTCAGTTCAAACTGATAACAACTTCCGCACCTGTCGTTTTATTTAGCGCCAAAGATTCTGGTTATTATTCAATTACTTAGTAACTATCTTATGTTTTCTCTCTAAATGAAAATAAGAATCTTTTTTCCTGAATTGTTACTGTGCTAAATGTTTTTCAGGATTAATAAATGTGAGATTTAGCGGCATTGTCTCGATCAATGTTTATACAGATGAAATGCCACACGAGGAAGCAGCAGTTTTCGATATAAATGTTATTGCCAATATTAAATTACAAATAAAGGTGCTTCAAATATCAATTAATAACAAATCCTATTCAATATTTGTAAAAATTCGAGGAATTCGAAAAAAATTTTTTCTCTACAAATACTTTATTTTACTTAATACCCATTTATTGAAACTCCTATATATGCAAATAAATCTTATAATTATTTACTTTAATTAATTAAATTCAATTATCAGAAATCCTGTGATTTTTTTAAAATTGATACCAGAAAAGCATCCAAATGGAATTTTGGTAAATTTAGAAAATCTCTAACTTTAAGAATCAAAAACCTAGCATTAAACTGTTCTACACTAATAGCCACCTTGTGCGTCAATTCCTAAACGTAAATATAGTAGAATTTGGCTCAGTGGATGCTCTCAGTGCGAAGCGTTGATGCTGGGCTTCTCCCAGCGACAGTAAATCAGTGTTTTCGAAAATGGGTGTTGTTGACGACTCATATATCGCCAAGTGATTTTGTGGCAAAAATTGTCACAACGATGAGACGAGAAAGCCTAAATAAAAATGGAGGAAACATTCTCGGGAAAAAAATTAAAAAATTAAAAGCTCATTTCAGAATAATCTCATTTTGATGGGTTCGCTCAAGTTGGATCAGTTCAAGCTGAAAAATAAGTTGGGAACAGAAAATGCAGCCGGCGATGAACTAACTGATTTGGAATTTCTTAGTTCCGAATTTTTACAGAATTTAATCAACAGCTTTCTTCAAAATGGATTTCCTATACCGCTTCCTGAAGGTAGAATCTTCTTTCTTAAACTCTTGGCATTTTTTCCCTTCCATCCATCTGTTCAGAGAAAATTTTTATTTTAGGATTATATTTAATGGCAGCCAAATTGCGCATTTTAGACAGAAAAATATTGATATCTAGTGAATTCAGTATTGATAGAGAACATTTCAGTCAATTCGCTATAAAAACGATCTTTAATTCAACATTTTAACCGAATCAACGAAAAATTACTTCGTAAAATATGTAGCCATTTCTTAAATTAATAAAGATTCGTTTCACTCTCCTTTATTCAGCGCGCTGGCATGGACGAATGCGTATTAATAGTATTTCTAGTAGTATGGTTTGGTTACTATTAGTGGTGACTTTAAAAAATCTTTAAAGAATTGGGCTGGTGCTGCCCACCTACCTGTACTTCTATCCACAGTCGGCCATCCTGCGAAATATTTCATTCTAAAGTCCGCTCCGCTTATTGGATAAGCCTAATTTGGAATTTTGAGTGCTCGCCCATTATTTACCTATTCAGTACAGATGTTTGCTTTTTCATAAGTACGGTTCAGAATTTTAATGAAAATTAAAAATTTCAATATAATTAAGAAAGAAATTCAAATATCCATCGAGGAACGAGGAACTTCATAAAATATTTCGAGAATCTTTTTTTCTCTCCACAAGAGACAAGGAAATACCGCAAAAAAACTTGTAAAATAATAGCTGCGAATATAATGGTGGAAAAATTTCACACAAAAAATTGTATGATTGTATCGGACCACAGGAAATAATTTTGAACTGTGTGATATTGGTATCTCTAGGAGGATAAGGATGGTCACCAAATTAATGTTTTTCGCATGACTATGTGACTGAGAGCCTGTGACAGACAAATGGAATTATGAAAAAAAACAGTTTGTAATTATTGATCGCCTGGCCGAGCCCTAAAATTTTCGTTTAAGGCTTGGTTTATTTGAATAATTGCTTGGACAAAAATGTTTGCAATAGCATTATTTTTATTTATCAGACATGATGTACATTTCGACATAAATTTATTGTCGTACACTAGTTGCTCATTTGATTGACTGCTTACTTTTATCTGTCAGTCTCATCTGATAAGTGACGATATTATGTGGTGCTGTTTCCTATATTGCCTAATTTTACCTTGAACTTGGAACTTTTTTCAAGTTTCTAAATGGGATAGGCACAGTTGGAAGGATAGATCACAGCTAATATTGAAGAGCAAAAAACGTTTTTTTCAAGTAAATAATGGCGAATAATAGCGGAGGTTTAAAACGGAAAGTTTAATCGAAATAATCAGAAAGTCAATTAGGAAGGGTCGAATAAACATCTGAAAAATTGAAATGACGAGCTTATCTCCATTCAAAAATATTTCATTCTATAATCAAAATGATCCGATTGCACAATTTTTTATTAATAGCGATATATTTAATACATATTATTATATTACGTATACTGTCTTACATCTTGACATAACTGTGGATGAAAACCTTGACTTCGACCTGCAAAACTATATCAAAGAAGTCTTCCACGATATTTTATTTTCAATCGTTTAAAAATAGAACTGAAAATTTTCTTATCACAATATATAAAGTGCCCAGCCTTGCATATAATGCAACTCATTATTAACGCAGGCAACATAAACCACAGGATTTTTGATACAGGGTGCCACTGATATATAGGAAAAAATAAAGAGCCATACAGCTACGTTGCGCGACACCTTTGATAAGAATAAGTTCGATACCACACATAAGATCGCTTATCCAAGCCAAGATACTTTACCATTTATCCCCATATCAGAAATAATTGATATGGGAAATAATGCCAAATACTTTGCTAATATCGGAGTAAGTGGCATTGGCAACTTTAATATGTAATATAATCCACAGTTTTGTTCTTCAGGGAACTCAGGTTTAAAATATTAGGATATCTTTTGTGAGTGAAACCTGTCACTTGTTCACTTGGTTTGCTGTCAGCATTGTTCAGTATTACGTGACCATATTAATCTAAATACCTTACCAGGTTATAATAATGGGCCAATAATTTTGCGATGGCTCTTTTCAAATAAGGGTGAAAACTGTTTTCCACAATACTGGATGGCCCGCCACTACTCTTATATGGGAAGGTAAAAATCCATCTGTTACCAATTTTCTACACAAAATCTAAGAGAAAAGAGGGGGACAGCACATGTTTTCTATTGAATGACCGTCAGTTTTCACTTGCAGCAGGTATTCCCTTTTTTCTTTTCTCTCCTTCAAACGCAAGCCCAATCTTTCGCTGTCCTTTTTTTATTCTGACGATTAAAATCTGAAAATCTACTTTTACTTCTTTTTCGGCTATAGGGCTGTGTCATCTGCACTTTGTTGATAATACGTCCCCAGTTTTGAAGCCATCAATTACTTCATTTAACCCTACTCATTTTCTCTATACGCAGTGGAAAGATAGGTAGCAATATGCATCGTTGGCTTATCACGGATTGTCATTTTTGAAATAACAATTCGTATTCAGTTCCAATTTTGGCCTTTTTTGCTTTTCGTGGTCGTGGTGCAATTTTCATAAACTATATGACATTTTCTGGTACTCCCATTTGCTGGAACATTACAGGATGCCCTGTTATAATCAATGAAGCACATCGAGACTTCCTGGCAATCATTCTCTTCATTCCCTCTCCATTATCAATCTGATGTCAGAAAATAGATTTTCAAAAAAATTTCGAGCGCTGGGTCCTCTGAATCCAGTGTCCGCTAGTTCTCTGCTAGTTCTCTTTCCAATTAATTTTTTTTTTTTTATATGGCTTTAAGGATAGTTTTACTAGCATTTGATATTATCGCGATTATACGAAAATTTTCCTGTTGTTTTCATTTTTGTGATTGAGGATGTGATAGATTTCTGCCAGGCTTTAGGCTACTTCGTGGTCATGTCGTCCCATATGCTCTGATAGAGTTTTTAAAATATGTTGATGTGACACTGGTGTGCTCTCAAGTACCCAGATTTCGTTACGCTTTATAACATTTTTGTATAAAATTTCTTTCTATCGTTTTGTTCCGAATCTATGAGGAATGCGGTTGATTCTTTCTGCTCGAGAAGTCCATTTTTTGATTTATCAGTCGTATTTCCGCGTTCCAATTTCCTCACAGATGGAGCTGCAATAATTATAATCAAAATCACTCTTTTTGAAATTTCTGTGAAATTCTTTGCATAGATGTTTGTTGCAACAGCTTTTAGAGCATCTTTAACCAATCGTATTATGTTTTCGGTTTAACTGTAAAAACTTGTCACTAGCAGATGTTAGGGACTTAGGTCTGTATTAACCGTCATTTTGTTATGGGTGCCTCGCACCGATATTATTCGTCACTAACTGCAGTATAGTTCATGATATATTAGTCGACCTCATTAGAGACTATAAGACCTACACCATTCTTCTGCTTATTTGTGCTTCTGCTTCTCCTGAATGTTATACTGTGTGATTTTCTGGGTGGGAAAAGCCAGAATCTTCCTTGTAGCTCCGATACGCCCAAAATGTACCTGCATTTTCCAGTATGCTCTATTTTTCCATATGAAGATTTTTTTTCTTTCGATTATCCAATTCTTATTTCGTTATTTTGTTTGCCTTCCGACTTTTTCATATATGATTCGCTATGACATCTTAGATGACCGATATGTACCTTGCAAAGCTATGAAAGTGGGTTACCATTACCATTACGGTCTTTTATTATTCTTGCAGCAAAGTCGGGAGATTTGATAGAAGCAGAAATAATTTTTTCTGGTAGAACTGACAACTGTCGAAGCAACCAATTAGCTGAGAAATTAATAAATAATAAATGGTTTGAAATAGTACTAAATAGAGAAGACGAATTTTTTCCCTTGTAGAGGGGCAGAAGAGCATCCAGTAGGTTTAAAGGAAATATGACGGGGTTGTGCGGGGTGAAGGAAAAATTTATTTATGAAAAAAGAATAAAGCGATATGTGGCAGGAGACGAACAAAATAACTTTTTGGAGCTTTAACATTTGGAGAGAAATTAAGGAGATAAACAGATTTAGGGAATATTGGTGACTTCTCGTTCAAAACGAAGAATACACCAACACTCTAAGTATTATTGAAAATTTAACAATTAAAATGTTATCATAATAACGCCGTTGAAACTATATATTTAGCTGTAAAGGATTTTTTGATTCCTGAAACGAGAATATTTCGCGTATGCTTTTTATTTTCGATTGTCTCAGATGTGAAGTAGTTGGTTCCTGACCTTTTCTTTTGGTGCTGTTTTAGTTGCTGGATTGTTTTAGTGACGTGTAGACGATTTTCAAATATTCGTCCAAATTTATTTTCATTTCACTGTTGAATATGTTTAAAAAATAGAAATTAATTAAACAGTAAAGTAAATCAAATTATATTTGATAAATAATTTAATATTTTGATATTTTACACGAGTTCACGTTAAATTAATTCAGTTTAATTTGCATCAAATGAAATTTTCAGTTGAAAAAGTATGATTCGAAGAGAAGCACGTTTAAGGCGTGAATATATCTATAGGAAGAGTTTAGAAGAAAAACAAAGAGCTTTAGATGAGAAAAGGAGAATAGTTAAAGAAGCAGTCGAATCGAATAAAAAAATTCCAACGCATTTGCAAAAAGATGCTATTGAACTTCAAAAAAGTGCTGAATGGGGAAGTAGGTTTATTCTTTTATATTTTATAGTTAATTTTGTTTTGCAGGTTTTTCCTTTTTTTTTCATATTTCATTATTCATTATTAAATACATTTTACTCGATTAAAATTCTTTTGTCCAAAGCTTTTTAAAAATCGATTTATTCTTTTGATTAAATTGATAACACTTTGCAGTTATCAAGGGGAAAGCAAAAATATTTATGATTTTTTTTTTTATTTTCTCAAATGTTCAAATTTAAGTTTGAATTCTTTATTTCGTTATTATTGTTATTTTGTTATTACTGTGGAAATAAATATTATTGCAATAATATTTATTTTAGCGCAAATATCTGTTATTGATGATGAATATCGTTGGGCTGGAACATGTGATCCTAAAATTGTTATAACAACGAGTAGAGATCCATCTTCTAAATTAAAAGTTTTTGTGAAGGTTAATTAATTAGTGTATTGAATTAATTAAATGTTGTAAATTGTTGTAAATTTTGATTATCATTCGTCTTTTTTTTTTATTTAAGGAAATACGTTTGATGTTTCCCACTGCTCAGCGAATAAATAGAGGACATTACGATGTCAAGAAACTTATTCAAGCATGTAAAGCAAATGATGTTTGTTTCTTCAGTTTCATATATTATAAGTTTTCTTTATTTTAGAAAAGGATTTTGCATTTCCATAAAAATTAAAAGCACTATTAATTTAAGATAACAGATTTCGTCTTACTTCAAGAAACTCGTGGATCACCAGATGGTATGGTTATCTGCCATTTGCCTTTTGGTCCAACTGTATTTTTCACTTTATCAAACGTTGTTATGCGGCATGATATACCTGATCGCAAAAATATTTCGGAAGAATACCCTCATTTAATATTCAATAATCTTAATTCACGGCTGGGAGTTAGAGTGAGTTTTTGCTTTTTTTTTCATTTGCTATCTCAAAATATTTTATTTTTGCATTTAAAAATATCAGTTTTTTAAATTTTCCTTTTCTATTTTTGGTGAATTTTCTTATGGCTAGCTTTTTTGCAGTTAACAACAATATTAAAACATTTGTATCCTGTCCCCAAATCGGAAAGTCGTCGGATCATTACATTTAGCAACGAAGATGATGTTATTAGTTTTCGCCATCATACATATTTTAAGAATGATGTTGGAGAAATTGAACTGGATGAAATAGGACCCAGATTCGAGATGCGACGTATGTTTTCATTTCTTACTATTGATGGAAATATTTTTTCTTTTTTCGGGAAAAAAGATTATAGTATGGTTCATCACTAACTGTGAAAATTGAATCACGAATCATTGAAGCTTTTTTTCACTGATCACCTTTTCTAATCACTTAAAATTTATAAGGAGAAAAAAATAATGAGTAAAAAATTTCAGCATATTGTATAAAATTAGGTACATTTGAAAATATTGAAGCTGCAGAAACTGAATGGGTTTTACGGCCATATATTAATTCAGCCAAAAAGCGCCCATTATTATCGTTACCAATTGAAGATGAATGATAAGTGAATAATTGCTGAAATTATAAATATTGATAAATATAAATATTAATAAATATAAATATTTTAGCATGTTTTGGTTATTTGTGCAATTAAATTAATATATGGGCAATTATTTTATATCTAACTAAGTTTCTTTGAATTCGTTTACATTTTTCAATATAAAAAAAATGAATTAATGGCTTATCATAAGCAGTGGTTCAATTTCACTTTAATTAAACAAGAAATTCAAACGAAAAATTGAAATAAATTATACATTAAATCAATTATTTCATAAAATGTATATAAATGTATAAGGGCAGTTACCATGTGTTACACGATTTGATGATGTTCCCACCAAATGGAATATTGTGTGTATAAATGTATTCATAGATATAGATGGATGGATTTTATAGATGGATTCATTTCTTTAATTATTTTGAGGGGAAATATAAAAAGCCCAGACCTGGATAATTTTTTTTTGTTGTTTTCTGGTTTATTTTTCATCCTTAACTTTTTTTTCTTTGTTTTGCATTTGTCTTTGACAGGTATAACAGGTATAACTGTTCATGATACTAGAAATCTGGATGATTGCTGAGTACCTGTATTCTCAAGTGACTCTGTGGTGGAATGTTAAGGTCTTCTTGACGTGGCATCCGATGTTCCATGGTGCTCCATGTCTAACGGTACATGCGATAAGTATATTACAATCTGTGTGTAGTCAAACAACCTCAAGGCTTGTGTATACGATCGGCTCGCGAACCAGGATAATGCTCAAAACCTGTCCAGCGAAACGCCTTTCTGCACATAGGGCGAGTCGTAGCAGAGTGGAAGGTCAGAGTGTTGATGGAGTTGATGGACGTTGATCACTGACCACACTCTTCTTAAACATCGAGTGGTTGTGACCATTTTGCCGTCTTCTCCATGTCTGATTTCGAGTAACTATTAAACCTGGTCCCCAAAAGTGTCGCGGGTAACTTAGGGCTAAATGGCGTAGGGATCGTCATTGTCTGGAAAAGTTCGGCACCCTCTGAAAGAGAAGAGGTCAATAAGCAACCGTATGACCTATGCGCTTCAAAAGAAAGTTCTGCAATATTTCGATCAACATTGTATATGCTCCAATTTTATACACAGATGATCACGACAAGGATAAATTTTATAGGAACTTCAATTATGAATAACATCTTTACCGAAAGGTGACATGGCTTTGATCGAGGGAGACTGGAATGTGCACGTGAATCATGATGCCGCCATAACAAAATAATTGGTAAATATAGCATAGCATCGAGATTCAACGGAGATCACTTTCACACTGCCGAACAACATGAATTTTTGTTATATATGCACTAATACATGCATCGTAGAAGAGATCTAGTCATATAGAACCAACACTCAAACCAGATTAACTGTATCCTAGTCAGGGATCATTAGAAAATGGTCGTTCTCGTCGCTCTGGAACGGAGAACCTTCATAGACATGTGTTGTGGTTCGAGTCAAGATCCACATAAATAACTCGCAAGAAGAATCTCTTAAGATCTTTCAGCTATCTCAGACTAAAAGATTTGGGCACATTTGGGTAAGCGCATTTCAAGAAGCACCTCAGTAAAATGAGCATCAGTGATATCTCTGGAACGGCTAACAAATATTGTTCCCAACTAAAGGAATGTCTCCGAAATTCAGCCATTTCCACGCTAGAACAAATTAATAGGAAGTGCGCTACATTGGTATCGAAAACAATTGTCCCACTGTCTGAAAAGGTTGCCAAAGCACGAATGTGGGAAGACTATCGGATGCTTCGTAGAATTAAAACAATTGCAGATGGTAGGACCAACAGTCTCTATTGAAGGCTAGACGGAAATAGGGAATAATTAGAAACGCGCCTTTTTTACAAAGCAACTTTAACACGGAGAATGGTCAGTGAAATGATACGTGATAATAATGGTGTGCCTGTCTAAGCTATCAAGGATCGGCTCATAAGGTTAACCACGATACGCAATCTATTACCCCGGGCAGTATATCTGCTGTAGCTGAATCGTTCATTGAGCCACATATTTGCAAATGTGAGCTACTAGTAGAACAGGCATCCAGAAGTTTAAGTCTAACTTCCAGGAGAAGATGATCTTCTAGTTGAAATTTTCAAATATCACCCTTCATCTTTATAATATCTTTAAAAAATATATTTTCTGGTGTGGAGGAAAGAAATAATACCAGATGACTTGAGCAAAGCAATTCTGCTCCCAATTCTTAAAAAAGATAATAGGACGTACTGTAACAATTACCAAGGATTCAACTACAGGAAAATTTTTGTTTCGCTTCTACTGGATAGGCATATGGCAATACGATACAACAGGATATGCCTTAATTAAGATAAATTCAGACCGGAAAGCGGTTTTTCTTACCAGATACTTTGGAGGCTGATGGAACATGAAAGTGTTCCAGAAAAGATCATCGATTCATAAAGGCATTTTGTCAACGCATATCGGGGAATTGACTGATCATTTCGAAATAAGGCCTGGTGTTCGTCAAGGGTACGTAATGGCACCCAAAAGATATACAAATCAGTCCAGATCACAATATCACATATCTTGAAAGCGCTGGTGATGTAGTCCTTTTTGTCGAAAACTGGAATCAGAGTCAGGATCAAGAAAAGTTTTTTCATCTTTTGTACAAGAAACTGAGAAAAATATATTTTTTTATCAACTCGCTTCGGGTTGAGAAAATGCGAGAACATCTCGGATCCACTTTTATCCCGAACAGCCAAGTGGAAGGCGAAATTACAACCCGGATAGTAATAGAAAAAGATTTTTTCTTCTGTGTTTGAAACCTTTATGGACTCGTTCAGAAACTACTATTAAAACGACAGTGGGCGTCTATTTAGCTGCTATTCGCTATGTGACTGCATGGCGCCGATGAGAGTGAAGGATATTAAGAAGTGATTTTTCTTCGACCATTCGTGTCTAAGGTACATATTACGGATCCGTCGATTGGATAAAACTTCACATGATTGCATACATCTTCGATTAAATGTTGTTCATTTGCATTAACAGCATCATCACAGAACGTCGCATCGCCTACCACAGGAGTTGACAAATTTTTCGTTATCTGCTAAACCCTGTGATAAGTGGCGTCAAAAACGAGGTGGCCAATCAAGACCTGGTCTGATGCACTCAAAGAAGATTTTAAGCGTATAGGTGGATCAGTAGTATATGGAATTAGATGATGGAATAAGGAAAGGCTTATATCACTGTCGATGATGACGTCAGATCGAAGAGCTTGGAGGTCCTTACGCTTGTGAAGACAGCGAAGTCAGCCTAATTAGTAATGTTGAGAGCTGTTAGAAAAAGAAGAATGAGTGGAATCAAATTCGTTTAAAGTTTTCTGATTAGTTCTTTCAGTTCTATAATTTTTTATTATTAACTGATATCTATTTCACTGTACCTTTGCTTTATGTGAAAAAAATTTACAAGTCTGTTAATTTTCTACTTTTGCTACATTTCTCCTTTCTCTTTGTATTTTATGCATTATTGTTCTTCCTCTGAAATATCTGTCATCGATGCGTAAATCATCATTTTATTATTTTCTTAATGGAATAAGTGGTTGCAAATGTTGCCGAATTTTAATAAAGTGGAAGGCCAAGTGTGGAGAGTTTTGACTGGGAAGCGATTTATTTTCAATAAATTGGATATTTAAGCGAATAAAATGTAACTTGGTCTTCGTTAGAGCGAAGAGTTAAAAATAATTTTGGTTGATATAAACGAAGAGTTGGATGTCAAACGCGTTTTTATGAAAAGGTTTGCATTAAGCAAAATGGAAAAGGAAAAAACGAACATATCAAATAATAGCAATTATGTAAGATATCAACAGATGAAGGAGGGCAGAATGGAATTCGTGCGGCAAAATAGCGAGAAAAATATTCGCAGAGATTAGAAAAGAATAGATAAAGTCGATGAAATTGTATAGCTATTATTTCATCACAATGGTTATATCAAGTCTTCGGTTTAAGCACTCTTCCCGTTCTTCAGTTTATCAATCCACCTTCTCGTGCTTCCACTTATCATTGGCATATCACATTCACTACGAGTATTTCGATTAACCAGCAAGCTACATCGTTTTCCATCATTATTTCCATTGTTTAAATCGAATCAACGGCACATAAGTGAGGAACTACTTTTTTTTATTAATTATTTCAGATCGAATAGAACACATTCGAATAATTTTTTTCATACTCTTGATCGTATTATTTGTTTGTCATGGATTCAAGCAGGGCAGGTTAGATTCCGGCGTCTTGATAGAAACAAGCAATGTCATGAAAGTGAAACCTCGGAGATAATGAGCACCTACCCTTATTGCGATTCTCTAATGTGGTCAATTAATTTCAGACTTTTAAAAGAATTATTGAGGAATATCGCGCATCCAGACCTGTCAAATTGTGCATCAGTTTTTTGATTTTTAGATGGAATATCATAAACAATTGGGTTTTAATAAGTTTGGCTGGCCTCTACTATACAATACCAACCTCTACTTTTACAGTTTCATTATTAGTCTAGTTTTAGTAAGCTGTCTCGACAATCCCTATGTTTGCTCAACTTTTTAATAGGTTAGCCAACTATTGAGCTTATTTCATCAGTTAAGTCGCATTCATACTTATAATGTTTATGTTAAATTATTGTAAAATAACCGATTAGACTGATTAATATTTATCGCACCGAGTTTATATATATATATATATAAGCATATGGCTTTGTTTTATTATTTCTAAATCGGTTTATCTATACAAAAAATATTTGTTTATTTATTATTACCAGGAAATTTATTGTTCAGTTTCAAGTGTCTCCAAATCATTAAATGAATAGAAAATTTTTCAAAGAAGTGTTATATTATGTATATTATATATTCATTATTTGAACACATAGCGATAGCGATAAATTGAAATTTTAATTTTAATTAATTTTTAATCTTTTCAATTAAATAACCGATCTAATGAATCTAATCTTATCAAATAAACGATATTATCGAATATCAAAGTGAAGTGTTGCAAACAGTTCGTTCTTCTAACATCTCTTCAGTTTTTACTTATCAAATCTCTGTCGATTACTTCTATTTGAAAATATTTCTTAAATATATTTTTAAAAATATTTCATTTCAATAGTTCCATTGGCTGTTAGTAAAAAGAGAAATTTGCTAGCGAATGTAGAGTTTCGGAGATAAAAGTACATCGCCAGGTTGCCAGCACCACTCGAACTATTGTTTAGGATTCAACCCTATCAGAAGCAGAGTTTGAACTTTGACACCAGCGAAGATAATCAATAAATAAGGGCTTTCTGGCTTTTAACTGAAGTATACCATCTCCAGCTCGTTTAAAAGTTTATTAATTAATTATTGCAAAAGTAAATACATGAATAAGCTATAAACTTTTCTGTTGGCAGTTTTTCAGAGGTTTCCTACTCATTATTTGTCGCACCATTGCGAAGAAAGATGCAGCATGCAACTATTAATTCAGATCCGATTTTTTATGAAATAATACAATAAATATTTATATTCGCTTTTATATTTACAAATATTTACAAATATATTTTTTATTTACAAATATTTGTCGCAATAATATGCTAACACTGAAATTGTGCTAATTCCACCACTTTCAAGGCAAATCCTCCAAAATGCATGTTTTTATTTATTTTTAGCGATCGTTAATTTTAATAACAGTAGGAATAGAATAGAAATAAATAGGTAAAATATACTGAGAAGAGATGATTGAATGCTGTGTTGAGAGCTTTGATTAAATGCAAACCAATGACGATTTCTTGAGAGTAAACCTATTTCTTAAAACGAAACTCGAACAGTGGTGGCGAATCACGGAAGTTTTTCGAGTTAAAAGAAGAAGCCATCCTAAAAGCCAATGTGTGCAGCTAAATCAGGAACGCTGAAAGCTGTTAGAACGAAAGAAGAGATAAAAAATAAATAAGTTGAGCCAGGCCGCTAATTGAGACTGCGATGAATGTACACTTTGCAGATTCGATAATTTAGCGAAATAAATAGCCTAGAAAAGATTGAGCTGGAAGATAAGATAATTTCAAACATTGATTTCAAAAACCAACGACTTAAGGAAGCCAAAAATTATGGTCGAAGCTGCAAACGCAAACTCGCCAGCATCATCCATTGTTCTTTCCGATGCGATCATTTGCGATGAAGGTTAATTTGCCTTTTGCAATTCTTTTTTTCCATTTTTTATACTCTTCGTTTATTTTTATTCGGTTCATTTCAAATGATTGAGATTTATGAGATTTGTGGTGATTTCTAAATTAAATTTATCAAATCTAGAATTATCCATTTAGTTTCGTTTGAGAATTGCACCTATCGTCTTTGCTGTCATTTTTATGCCATCTAAGATCGCCATCTAAGATTTTAATTGTATTTTTAAGAATCAATTGAAATCGTCGAAATTAGCCAACAGATTATACGAAATGGTGGAGAAACGATTTGGTTACTTTTAAATAGGGAAATAGATAAAGCCGACATCTTTATCGAATTCGATCAGATAACAATCCCAGTTGAATCAATAAGGATTTATGGAAAGGTAATTCTCGTGCCGTTGAGATTAAAGATGAATTCGAAGTGCTGAAGTTGCATGCTGCTTCAAATATCACGGTTTCAATCTCTTGGTGCTTTAAAGTCAACTTCATTCCATCCCATTTTGCACGATGCTAAAGGACTCACCATACCATATATTTATCGCCAAATAATTCTTTGACGAAGCGGTACCTTTCAGTAGTGCCAGATAGATAGTGAATACAGAAGAAAATCAGGGGAAGAATCATTGAGCCATACTTTGCTTTGGTTGACGGCAGGCGATATGAATTCGTTTCTTTTTGATGGGATTAAGCCTGCTATTAAAAGTTCCTGCAACTGGTTTTAATCGGGGAACCCTTCTGTTCATCTATTTTCGACTGTTTCTCTGGCGAAAGATGATCAGTGGAGTCATCTAGATGGACTAAAATGGATCAGAAATGGACTGATAAGAAAGAAAAAAATAAAGAATATAACTCTGAAACTTTTAGGTAATAATCTTTATAATACCAATTTTCGAATTGCCTGACGAGAAAAGTTCAAATTACGGAGAAAATAATGCCGTGTTTCTTCGAGTAAATCTTCAAAAGATCCGACTTCCACTGGCTTTTTTGTCTCGGTATTTTTATTTCTCAGCTTTTGTTATATTTAGTATATCTTCTATTTGCGTCAGAAATGTAGTAATTAAAAATCTCAAATCTCAAAAATTGGCATTAGCCAAAAATTAAAAAATTGAGAGTGAAAAACAGTGAAGTTTTCATAAACTGAAGTGCTATTTCATATATTTCCTAAATTATTTCACACTGAATGGCAAATTGATTTGCTGCCATATTTAACTCAACTGCATTATCACAATGATTTGATAAGAGATTATTTTAATTTTTGCTTTAGGAACAAATTTAAAGAGCAAAAAAATCGAACATTAGAAGCAACAAAGGGTATTTAAAGGGTATTAGAAGCAATAAAGGGTTTCTGTTGCAGAGAATATATCAATGGCGTTTGTAACCACGATTTGAGTAATGAAGAAACCAGTTCACAAATCAATTCCCTTTTTGATTTCGCCTCAGGAGGAGATCCAATTGTGTTATTGAAGCCTGTTATTCCATTATTTAAAGTTTGCGACAAAGAGCTTTGCAAGTAAATTTCACTTTTTTGTTAGTTTTCTTATGGCTGTAAAAAAATTATTTGTGATTGCTTAAGTCAGTATTAAATCGATTAAACAAAGTAGGTTGTAAAAAAACGAATAATTTTCGCAAAATTTCCTTTTCACTAACAAACTATATTTGGCGCACATTTTTGGGGAGAAAAATCGTTTTAATATAAATTTTAATAATCTATACTTTAATTCAAAAATTTAAATTTAAATAAACCATGTTTTAATCAACAAATTTTAATAGCAATAGTTAATAACAATAATAATATAATCTTATAACAATAATTTTAATAATAATGATGATAAATAATAATACAAAACGAAAAACACAAATGAAGGGGACTTTAATAGGAAAAGAAACAAGTATAAAGGAATGGTTAATGAAATAATAATAACTCATATTTACAAATTTAACTTAATTCCGACTAAAAACAATCATTCCGGACACTCCAGTTAAGGCTATATCGCCATTTCCACCACCGAAAACAATTGCATCAAGCAAATCATCAAACTGCTGTCCTAAACGAGGTGAACACAAATCGAATGCCACGAAATCGAATTGCATGCCCTGAGAGAAACGACCAACAAGATTTTCGATACCTAGCGATTTGGCCCCATTTTCTGTGGCGATACATAACAGTTTTCTTGCGTCAAGCCCACATGCATTACGTGTGTGATGAAGCATCTGCAAATAAATGGTACCGAAGTAACGAATATTTTAAAGGAAATGATATTTTTTATTGCCAGTATTAAAAATTTATATACATATCGAAAAAGAAATATAAAGAATTATTGTTTATTCATAAATTTATTAAAAAATCCTTTATCAGTGGAATCACTCAAAAAAAGCCAGAATGTGAAAGGCTACATGTTGGCAATATGTTAACCATCGCATTTCTTCCAACATACATATTCGATTATTGCAATCAGTTCCAAGGCAAATATGAGCTTCATCAACGATATTTGGAATTCCATCGCCAAGATAACCTAAAATATACAAACAGAACTGGTAGAATGAATAATCATTTATGCAAATTCAACCGTTTATTGTGGCAAAACTTTGAAAACATGAAATGGTTGAAGTATCAAAACATCCAAGCAATATACAAAAATCAAATAATTTAAAACTAAATTGGAAATAGAGGAAGTAAGAGAGATAAATAAATTAGGAAAATATTTCTGTTAAATAAAATGCTCACCTTCGGTTAAAGGGCATATGCAAATATTGATAGCATTTTGAGCCAACAGTTGCATTAAATTTGTGGTAGTATGCGTACAATGAACAGCTGTTATATTCACATAATGTGATATATTTTGCAAAAGAAGTTCTGATGGATCACAACCATAGATTTTTCGACAATCTTCAATTTCCTTTTGTTGTTCCTCCAGATGAATATGCATCGGTCTTCCTGTCTTTTGGCACCATTTGCTTAATATGGAGATATCTTCTACAGAAACGGCTCTTAACGAATGTGCTATAATGAATCCTGTTACTTGCTTCACGAAATAAAATAACATTCGGTAAAATGCAAATGCTGTAAAAAAATAAAAATAATGAAAAAGTAATGTACGGTGAGATTATTTAATCTATATCTGTGGACAAAAAAAATCACCTTTAATTTTATGAAAAAATGAGAAAAACAAAAAATAACCCGCGACTGCAATCGTTTGTAATTGTTTGGTTCGTTGTTGCAGTAATTCAATATTTTCGATGAATTCGTTGACAGAAGAAATGAACTTTTTTTGGGCTTCTGTTAAAGGTGAACCATCAAAACCAGCATTGCAATACAAAGTATCTAGAAAATATCTAGAAACAATTCAAATCAATCAATTATTATAGGAATAAATTATCTTCAAATTGCAGTGCAAAATAAATTCTAGATTTCAGAAGATATAAAAAAAAATCCAATATAAAAGAATCCATGATGAAAATAAAATGAAACAAACGAAGAAAAATTATTAAATTATTAATGATGATGGTGCAATAGAAGTTGGTAACATAATTTTAGAAAATTAAAGAAATTAATAAATTAATAAATCCCCACTTATTAGAACAATACGAATTCCAGCATCCTGAGCTGCATTAAGAATTATTTGGTCCAGTGAAAATCGTTTTTTACCATGATGAAGATAATGAAATTCGCCAACAGTTGTTATACCAGCACTAAGCATTTCAGTGAAAGTTGCATGAGTACACTGAATAAAAAAAAGTACATTCAACCAATGCATTAATCTAATCCTGTCTTATTTTTTATGAATCCATTTTTCCATAATTTAAAAAAAGCAAATAGCAACAATTGTACCCACTTCATATAACATTTTTTCATCTATATGTTCGACAACTGAATACATATCTTCTCGCCATTTCCAAAAAGAATCTTTATAGGATGAACCGATATGACTCCGACCTCTCATGTAACGATGAAATGCATGCGAATGGCTGTTTACAAACCCTGGAATCAATGCCTGAAACTATTCTTATATGAAAAATGAAACTATTAACTGTTTATTTATATCGGAGTGAAGATGTAAACACAATTGTCTTTTCTAACCCTAACCGATTTTTTCTAGCTAAAGGGATTCCACTCTGTTATCATCTGTTCCAGTAATCAGTGGAAGCAGCCAAGCCAAACATGGGCAACGCAGTATTTCAAAGAAATTCGTTGAATTTTTATCAAAATTCCAATCAATAAATTTCCAAATCCCTTAATTATTACACGATAAAGCAAGCAAATCACCTTTTGACCAAAATCAAACAATTCTTCGCTTCCTTTGAACAGATTCTTGCCGATTTCACTTATAAAACCATTTTGATCAATTCGCATTTGAATTCCATTTTCAAATGTATTTCCAGTCCAAATGAAATTTGCTGTTATAACCTTTCCTCGTAAGCACGATTTAGCCATCACTATGATATAACTTTTTCATTCATTTTTTATAAGCATTTTTTTACGGTCCATTCAAAAAATTCGCATTTCACACAGTAATTTATATTAATTCACCTTAATATTCACACTAAAAAACTTTTAAAAAGATAAATTAAAGCAACGAAATTAATATATATGTCACTGATTGTAAAAAGAACTGTTCAGTGTTTTACATGTGGCTGCTCGAAGCAAGCAAAATTTCGCTTTAAAAACTCTACTACGAGCACTTCGAGAATATGGCTGTGCCAGTGACCTTGATTCAATTATTAACGCTGTCAATGCTCGAGGTCAAACTCCTCTCCATTGTGCAGTTCGAGCTGGTGATACTGATTGTGTGCATTATTTACTCGCATCTGGTGCACGAAAAGACATGCCTGACAATAATATGAATACGGTTTGTCGATCTAAGTTAAAATTCCTTTTTCGCAATTCCAAACAGCTTCTAATTTCATGATAGCAGTAAGACATAACAAATATTTTTAACAGTAAATAAGTAAATCGTTTGTCTAAATCAAATTATTGTATTTCAGGTCATACATTATTTAGGAGAAGTTTACAATGATGATATATATAAGGAAATTATTGAAAGGAGTAACGAAGAAAATCAAATTGGAGATGAGGAAAAAAAGGAAAACCCTTTAGCAATAAAAAACGGCGAAGGTTGTACACCTGTACATATCGCCGTAAGAAAGTTGAAGCTCGGTCTATTGGAAACTTTAATTGAAGCTGGAGCACCTCTTGATATAGCTGACAAAAATGGCGAAACACCTCTAATCACAGCACTTATTTTGAACGATATTGATTCCGCCAATCTTTTAATACAAGTTAGTCTAGAAATGTTCGATAATGGATTAGAACCTTGAGAATTAGAAAATTTCGAGATCTACCAAAAATCCGCTTTCTAATTTCGTTTCCTAAAAACGCGATAAAGTTAAAATTCTAATTTGATTTTAAATTATCGACTGAATCTTTTAGTTTAAATCGAACTCTGATTCGAACTCGAATCGAACGTATTTGTCCCAAATTCGTGAAATTTTAGTGTATCCACGGTTTAATAGAATAAGAAAACTAAACTACCCATTTATCTATTCATTTTCAGAGCAAATGCAATGTAAATGCTGAGTCACAAAACGGAGAAACTCCTTTAATGTTGGCATGTCAGTTAAAGAATTTAAAATTGATTGGGCGCCTTATCGATGCTGGAGCTGATCCACACTATGCGAATATAGGTAGGTAGATCTCGGAACTATAGGATGGATTTCTTCCAGCGAAATTAATGAAATGACAAATCCTAGAAAAATCTAAGTCCTAGAAGAACCCGAAATTTAGATTAAATTCATTTATAGATGGCAAAAAACCGGTTGATATTGAAGACAGTGATGTTCAAAAAATATTAAATGGTGAAAGAATAGTCGAAAGTGATATCGATTCCACAGCGTCTGATAATAATGCACTATGCAGTAGTAATGACCGTTCAATTGACGAACAATCGTCACCGCCATCCATTCATCGATTACGGAGGATTCGTACAGGTGAAAATAATGGAAATTAGTTCAATGAAATAGAAACAAAATATTTATAAACTGAATATTTCATTCGATTTTCTTATCTTTTTTCGATTTTTGATGAGAAAAGTAGGTTAACACCGAAATTAATTAATATTTAATCACATTTCCTATAGCCTCATTTATCCCAAATCAAATAAAAAAGAGTGGCATTCCGGAATTCTGAAATTAATCAGGTAGAATGACCCCAAATTAGGTAACTTTTAGATTCCAAATTTTATATTTTTGGGTATATGAACGTGTAAGGAACGTGTAACAGGAACGTGTTAAATACCAGTTAATAAGTGCAATGCAAAATTTTAGACTTTATACCATTAGGCTAATTGCAAATATTCCAATTGAATCAGAAATTATCTACGATGAAAAATCTTACCTGCAATCGCTAAATCTAATCAATCAAACAATGTATCAACAAGTTTCATAATTTTCAAATCATTGCTTTTTTTTTATTTCCACGTACTATTCGTTTTCAAATTGCAGATGACATATCATCACTGGATTATGTTACACGTCTGCGATTATCAAAGTTACTCGACGTCGAGAACAAATGGGAAATACTTGCCGACCATTTAGGTTGTTCGCATATGACACAATTTATATCCGTTTGCATTGACGAATCATCGTCACCAACGATGATGTTGCTAGACCAATATGAAGTTAGTTCTCGTCATTTCCAAATGCCTTGAAAACTCTTGTTTTGTGAATCCTTCTCTGGCGAAATAAAAAAGTAGCAATTTTTGCTGATGAAAAAGGCAATAAGTGCTATGCCGCCACGTCAACGACTGAATGTGTAAACTTCGAACATGCTGAGAAAATGAAGATGCAGATTTTCCCATCAAAGTTCACAAAAACTAAAAGGAAATTGTACAGATACAACATCCCTTTTCTAAGTGAAAACTTAATATCGAAATTTAGCAAATTCCGAACGCAAATTTGGCAACAATTATCCAAGCACTCGAAAGAATGGGCGAATTAATTGGAGCAAATTTAATTAAGGATGGTAACGAATAAAAACCGTTAAATGAAAGCTTTTATGAATTCAAACGTATATTTTAATGACAATGCGGTTAAAAATGCGTTTTATAAGTAATACACAAAATCTCGAATTCTTATGGAACCGATATAATAAATATACTTTTTCGCTACCATTTAATTTCTCGGGAAAACAAATGATCTCACACGGAACCTTTTTCTGCGCAACTGATATCAACATTAATATCCATCGAAGACACCTTTTTTTCACTAATTTTCATTACATCTCACACGGTTTTTCGCGCGCAAAAAGAAGAAATTATTTGGTTCATTCATCTTATATATCAGTTGCGTTTCCTCACAAATCAATAAATTCAGAATGAACGACTTATAAATAATTTTTTAACAAAGGTAACGCGGGGCAGTTAATGAGTTTAAAGAAAAACTAAGAAAAAATGAAACAGTTATGTTATTCCTTTCATCCATATTTTTGATTCAGAACAAAACTACATAATTATAAAATTATAAATGATAAACAATTAAAAAATGTGAGGTGATAATTAGAATTTCCTCTTAATTTACTAATTAACGATATTATTGAGGATTATTATCATAGATCCGAATATCATTTCGTACACCTATTCTTGGACTGACAGCCGTCGAAAGAGAACCTGGACAGGAAGTTCCAGACTGTGAAATAAGGCGCCCAACTACTGTACGAGCATATCTCATACGTTCACTGAAAATAAAGAACCATTTCTTATAAATGAAAAGTCTTTGTGAAAATACAAATCTTTTTATCCTTTGAAAAAAACCCCTGAAAAAATAAAATGGATTTTAAACCGAATCATGAATTTAAACGTACAATAATTCTTTGGAGCAGCCCATCTTAGCCAATAAATCAAGTTTAAACACGCGAAAACTACGGGAACCATCAACATATGTAATTGCAGCCATAAGAGGGCACAATATTACCTTTGTATGATCCTGAGAAACCATAAAATTACAGGAAATAAATAAAAAAAATAAAAGGAAATAAAGGAAAAAAACTGAATGAAGATATCAGTTTTTCCATTTTCAAGAAAAAATTAAAAAATAATAGCAGAAACATATTTTTCGATTTTTTTCATAAAGAACTATTTTTAAACAAAAATGAACTTGATACATGGAAGAAGTTGATCTGCAAAGTGCCATTACTCAGGTGAAGTATAATAGCATTTTCTGTGCGAAACCACGTTCGAAGACATGGCAAACGAGCAAGTTCATCACCTTCACGCATAGCAGCAACATCTGCACCAGCTTTTTGCAGATAATCATCCATATAGGAGCGAAAATAAGACAGAAGTGTGACTTTCTTCGTTAATTCAACTGGATAATTATCCATAGAAAAAAAGAACTCTATGTTATTTCTTTCAATATACTGGATCTGACTAAAAAGAAAGTTAGAAAGAATGCGAAAGTTCAATACGTATTCATTAAGATGAATTTTTAAGAATCTTAAACTTTTCAAAATGTCACTTCAGTTTAAACTAAACAAATAAGTACTTGGACGATTCAATGAATAGATTTGAGCCTACGAAATTTGAAATGGAACTAAAAAACGACAATTTTTTTAATATAAAAAGGTTAACCCTCCTGTCGCTGACAACACCATTTTAGTGTTATCATTATAAACCACACCAACTGAATTGTCACAAAGCTGATAGCCAAGCCCATATTTATCCGAATAATCTACCCATCTGCAAACCCAAAAAACTGGTAATGATGCTGGATCCTCCGCATCTGCTGGAATTTTTCATAAATGAACAAAAAGATCTTGAAAGGTATGGTTATGGCTAATAAACGGCAAAAAAACCATATAACCCAAATATAATTAATAACACCAAAGTAAAAGATTTCAAGTAAAAAAACTGTGACATAAGATAAATGTATAACCAAATTAATAAATTAATTAAAACGGCAAAAAACAGTAAAAAGTTAATAAAAAACAAAAAATGCAACTGATTCAATAACAACCTTCATGGATTTGCGCACGATTCGCTGGTCTTTTATTGATAATATTGTTAAGAAGAGCATATAAATCACTCAAATAGCAATCTGATGGTATTTCCACACAATTTGCATCATCTGAAATCTTTTCTTATATGAAAGATATATTATAAATAAAAATATTATAAAACTACCAGATCAGTATCCAACGACCCGGAGCCCAAGAAAATTCGCAAATTGCAACCGATTACACATCAAATATCCTATTAGTTTTATGTTGCCATAGAAAACACAAATACTTATTTTTTTCACTTTATATATTTAACTATATTATGCATTTTATATATGGCTCAAGATAAGATAATTTCTCTTCACTTAATAAAGCGAAGCGGAAAGGTTGAACACTTGTAGAAATTAATATTAAAATGTAAAAAACATAAAAATAAAAAATTTCTTGTGTAAAAAAAACGGAAAAACAGTGATCACCTAGAAACTAATCCTTGAAACTGGTCCTTCTTTAAGCTAAAAATTAATTTCGAATAGTTATGCGTTCTTCTCTTGTTCATAACTATTTTTCTTCTTTTCTACGGTTCTTAACTAAGATATCCTAAGATGCCCAGACTATATTCATAATTTCCTACTACATTCTTAAAAAATCCACCAAATTCTAAAAAAAAATATGACTTAAATAATTCCAATAATATGTAATTAACGAGCAAATGAAATTGAAAATAAGGGGAAAAGCGAATGGAAAATAACAAAAATAATAAAAAATTAGCAAATTGTAGAAATTATAATTTACGATGATCATAGGTTCGTTTAATTGTTGCAGTTTTGAATTCTGGAATCGATGAAAGCTGTCTGTGAGGAATGGATAGAGCATTCTATAAAAACTAGAAAAAATGAAGAACTGGAAGAACAATAAACGCTCTAATTCAATCAAATTTTTTTTAAGAAAAATAAGACTTATTTTTGTTGGAATGGCAAAATAATTTTGAGTACCTGGGGCTAAAATAAAAATTAAAAGAAAATACCTGGCGAGGACTAAGAGCAATCCGAGGAGGTTTTATCAATGATTTAGCATCTCCAGTTTCCATTGCTTCATCGGCATTGTCTTTAAAATTAAAAGCTTGTTGATTTGTTTGCTGTGAAAGCTTTGGAGCCATTGTCAGGCATGTTGTAGGTAATCTAGAAGGAGTATATCCTTTTAAGAAAAATTCATCAGCTGCAACCTGAAAACAATAAAAATTAATATATTAACAAGAAATTCCAGATCGGAAAATTAAAAACTATAAACTGTGTAAATGCGTAAACTTCTTAAGTTATGCCGAACATTCAGCAAAAAAATTTTAGAAAATTTTATCCAAATAAAACAATTCCACATTTTTTTAAAGGAATATTTTTCTAGAAAAAACAATTTAAAATTTTATAATCATTTCATTAAAAAATTAGAAACAAGAACAAAGTTGATAAAGGAATTTCAAATACTATTAGCCAATGGACGTCTTTTAAAGATTTCAATACAATTGACTGAGCCAGATATTAAAACGAAGGCATCTGTCCGTCAATCCGCATCTATAGCGCTGTGACCCGTTCGGTCTTGCTATATGGTTCTGAGACATGGCCAATGAGAGTGGAAGAAGATATTAAGAAGTTATCTGCCTTTAACCACTCTTGTCTAAGGAATTGCCGAGCCGATAAGATATCACATGATCGCATCCATCTTTGTTCAAATACCACTTGGATTAATAATGCTAACACAGAACGTCGCCTTCGCTGGCTAAGGCACGTTTTCTGTCGTCCATCACAGGATTTGACGCATATTTCGTTATTTGCTAATTGTGTGATGATTGGCATCAAAAGCGAGGTGGACCAATTAAGACCTAGACTGATACGGTCAGAAAAAATTTTGAACGTAAAGATGGACCAGAAATATATGGACTTAGACAATGGAAAAAGGAATGGCTTCCATTACTGCCAACGATAGCATTAGATCGTTTGGAAGCGTCTTACCCTTGTAGCCATTTGAGTCAGCCTAACCAGTAATGGTGAGAGCTGTTAGAAGAAAAAGTTACTAAATATCAATATGAGTTCTAGATTCTATTCATGATAACCAACTGGAAAATTTATATAATCCATAAAAACAACACTCCAAACAGAAAAGATCCTGAAACAAATCTTAACATAAAATAATTCATAATCACCTCAGTAATAGTTGGGCGCTTGAAAGGATCTGGACTCAACAATCGACTGATAAGACTTGAAGAATGGCTGGATATGCAACTTGGTATACCATACTGATTATGTTTTATCCTTTGATAAGTTTCCTGCAAAATTTCTCCTAAATAAAACTAGAATAACTGCCTTCGAATCTATTTTTTTCGATTAAAGAAATAAAACACCTTTAATGATGATGTTTCAAAAGGAGGTTTGCCAACAAGTAATGTGTATAATATACATCCGATAGCCCATATATCAACTTCATATGAATGACCACTTTTATCAAGCATTTCAGGAGCTATATAATTAGGAGTACCACAAAGCGTTTTCTTCCTAAAAATATTTTCAGAAGATTAAAAGCATTTTTGATCAAATGCTCTTGAAAAAACCTTTCGCCGTCGAAATCTACTTGCGTTGCTAAACCAAAATCACCAATTTTTACATTCATATTATCATCTAGAAATAAATTTCCAAGTTTTAAATCTCTGTGAATAATATGCGAATTGTGCAGATAAGCGGTTGCTTCGACTATCTAAACAAAAACTCTTCTGAATAACTTTATAAGAATCAGTGAAAAAAAAATTAAATAATAGTTGCTTAAAGATTTTGATAAATCCACATGAACCTACCCTTTTTTAATAACTAATTTGAATGACGTTAATTTTTAAAAATGGGTAGAAATAGAAAAGCAGGTAATAAGTTAACTTTCATCACTTTTCGTTATTTTTTTTTGTCTTTACTTATCCCTAATTGTCGAAAAATGAAGAGCTACCTTAAATGAATTGCGAATTGCTGAAATACTTTCATAAGTGAATTACCTGCTTCATAAAGTACCGGGCTTCTGGTTCAGTTACAATTTTGCGTCTCTTATGCAATTCCATTAGTGACTAAATAGTTAATTGTAAGATACAATTAACTTATGAAAATCTCATATCTCTTATAAAATTATTTATATTGAGTAAAATTATTTAGCAAAGCACTCAATTATTCAAAATATCTTCGGTCTCAAAACCTCAAATAATTAACAAGTTGTATCAGACAGTAGAAACAAGTTGTTAAAAAAGCACAAAGTTTTTAATGAAAAAGAAAGCTAAGCTTTAATTCAAGGATAAAAAAAGTAAAGGCGAAATTAAAGAAATTAATTTAAAAAAATCGAACAAATATGGAAGAAAAAAGAAAACGAACTCTCCGTGAACATAATTCCAGCAGAATATAGACATTATCATTATCCTCGAAATAACTATGCAATTTAACAATATGCGGATGATTTACGCTTTTATGTATAATTATTTCTTGAGTGATCTGCAATTTCTCTTATTTTTTTTGAAATATAAGATAAAAAAATTCTAGCGACCTAATGAGTGAACAACTTTTTCCACTTCATCGACGAAAATTGAAACATTTTTTCAATATATTTATCAGAAGCATAAAAAAAAACTAACTTTTCAATCAAAACAGATGAATCGTATTCTAAGAAAAGAACACCTGAGCATTCCAGAAGAATTAAAAATCATTAAAGTATTGCTTACCTTATCGCGCTGAGCTTTTTTTGCTAGAAGAGTTTTCGAAATGATCTTTCCAGCATAAATTGTACCAGTTGCATCTTCAATAAGTTCGTAACAACGCGCGAAACCACCTTTGCCGAGAAACTTCCCTTTCAAAAGAACACAGCCATTTCGTGGATTTTTTATTTGATTTGGTATGTCTTTCAACGGTCTTTTATCGCTCATATCTGAAAGGGAAAAGTAAGAACTTCCACAAAAAAAAATCCGGCACGATTTAATCGATTTAAAAGATGGCAGAATGGTATGCTGTTTCAATTGAAACCAAGCAGTATGGGTTCGATTCCTTTTCTTTGACTGCAATCAGTCATTAGAAGTAGAATTTGATACCATCAGGGAGCCACATTTCTTAATCATCTTCTAGTAGTCCACTCCAAGCGAGTTTTAGACGAAGAAACCTTATAGTTTCTAGAGAGGCCGCCCAAATCAGATACGGTAAGCAGTTTTAGAAGCGACAATCGAGTGCTATACTGGATCAACTGACATGGAATCGGGAGTAAAGCGAGTCGTTAAAGCGAAATCCGGGCGCTCACTGGGCGATCGGCCATCCTCAGTCGAATCTCTGGCAAAAGGATCGCACTTTGCTAATTCCTAATGCAGGCTGTCGAAGCATATGCGAGCATTGCACAAATCGCTCTTAGAAGAATAATCTCAAAAACTGAAACCGAATTTTCGAAATTAAGCATCAAAAAAGTTGACAAAAAAATGAAATAACTCCGAATGGTAAATTAAATAAATAAAAAAGGGAGATATAGAAGAAATAAATATAAATAAATAAATAAATGCATAAGCAAATCAATAAATGAATAAAATGAATCAATAAATAAATAAAACATAAAATTTATAAAAAAATTCAAAATGAAAATGAAAGAATATAAAGGAAGGGGAAGCCAAACCACGAACTGCCCGAAGGTCAAACTAAAAGGCTGAGGGGGAGCGGCGAAAAAAGCACCGAATCCGCGGTAAAGAAAGCGAAAAACCCCCTCGATCGAAAAACCACTTTTTTGCACAAAGACATACCAAATATTTTGGAGGGAAATTTAAATAATTCCCCCGCCAAATTTAAATTTAAATTTTCTCCGTCATATTCGTGTTTTAGCTTTAATATTTATAAGTTTAATTTGTGCAGATTAATGCAAAACAGCTCTTAACCTCTTAAAAAGAAGGTGTGGCGGGTCCCGTGGGGATCAGGATTCAGGCCCCATCGGAACCCGGACTTCGGTTCCATAGGAGCCAGGGCTCAGGTTCCATCAGGAGCGGGGTTTGGATTCCATAGGAATCGGAGCGTCTGGGCAATATAATTGAATTTAAGGAAGAAGTCGCTAAGGAAGTACAAGTGAGTTTGATGAAGCGAGGATACGTATGTAAAGAATATAAAGAATTGCAATTCCCTGTACATTTCGTTTTGTGCACAAACAAAGGGACGGACTGGCAGTCAAACCGAGAGACTACAGGGAAGCCTTTGATGCACAAAAATTGGTTAACTTTTTATGCTAAATTATTAATACGAAGTACCATTTGTAAGCAATTAATTTTCACTGCACTGGCTGTAAGGGAAAGTAGGCTGGAAGCGACAGAGGGTCCAACACAGACACAAATGCCAACCCCGCTTGGATTTTTTACGAACACCGTTGTTGCGAAGCTACAGCAGCCAAATTACGATATCTGACAGCGAATAACTGCCAGCCGAGTTCTCTACTGCTTAAAAATAAATGGGACTGTACAAGTAGAGTTGTTTCTTAGTGTTTTTCATTGATTGCAACCACATCAGACCAATCCATGAGCATCGGAAAATTCGTATTTTAATTATTTACTTAAATATTTGGATGCTCTTAAAAAAATTTTTATTAATATTTGTCGATTAGCATAAACAATTTTGATTTTTTTCAGATATTTAAATGAGACTTTCCTGAGTTGATTGCTCCTTATACATTTTATGCGCCTAAAACTGGGGAGACGCGACAAAAAAAGGCAATTATGACGAGAATAGCCGAATTACAGGAGTCAAAACTGATAACAAAATCAGTAGAGCGAAAATAACGATTTATTCTTTCTGCTGCTTATTCCAGTAGATCGCGGGATCAGGTGAAATGTTATTAGATAGTATGTTACTCGAGTCTTAGTATTTTCTCTTAAAATTAATCTACCATGAAATTTTGACTTGGTTCGCCGATGTTTTTAGCCGTGAACATATTTTATGTTTTCCTTAAATTTTCCTTATTTTATTCCTTATCTTTATTTTAATTTTCCTTATTTTATTCCTTATCTTTATTTTACTACAATTTGATATTGTAGTAAATTCTTTTCGCGGATTTCGAAGTATTCTATCAATCGTGCTTGCGATAATTAAAATTTTCCTGGAGAATTTTTTGTCGATGACCCATACCAACATTCAGCAACATTTTTTTTGAAACTTTTTATTAAAAAATATGAAAATATAAGAAATGGCTAATAATGGGTCACAACTTGTATATTGCAAAATGAATGGATCTATATAAAAATTTAAAAAAATAGAGTGGCAAACGTCCATTTAAAAAGGAATTGGTGTATTATCCACTTGGTTCAGCAAAAAACTTAAATAAACGATGCATATATAATACATATATATTTACATATCTGCATAACCTTCATAAAACCCCACAAGAGTAAGGGAAAGGTTAAATTCTACTTGAAAATAATTAATGCCAACTGGGATAAATTCAAGAAAAATGTATATTATAACGTAATAATTAATTTTAAAAAAAATTATTGCAATACAAGAATTACAAGAATAATATAAGAATTAAAGAATTAATAGCAAAATTTTTAAATATATATATATGAAACAAAATATACTTGATAATTATTTACCCCCAACAATTCGCTAATAACATCGTTCAATGGGTTCGCATATACCTTTGCCGTAAATAATAATTATAAGGAGTAGAATCACCCTTTTTCCATTCAGAATACAACAATTTAAAAAGAAACAAATGAAAAACAATAACAAGAGCACATAAAAGAACCCAGAAGCTGAGTGGCAGACCGCCGAGTCTGTGACCGTGTTTATGAAGAGCAATTAGATCATGTTCATGAGCAGGAGCATTAACAACCTGTAAAAGTCAACAAATTCAAAATATTCAAACTATCAACTAAAAACTTCCTAACTTTTTTTTCGATACTTAGAAAAGATAATTGAAATATTTTCTTCTAAATTTAATCTATATTTTATCGATAAATATCAATTTATATTTCATCAAAAATAAGATCACCTCAAATACATGAATCGCTCCATGTAGTTGCTCGAGATGTTTTTTATTGGCTGATATATAAAGAATAGGTGTTAAAGGTCGAGTTACTTTTATTGGAAGGCGAACTCGATTTTGTCCTAATTCGATAGGTACATCGAGGCATCCTGCATCACAGGCATATACCTTCAATTACAAAGTTAATAAATGGTAATTATAAAGTAAAATTTTGTTAATATTTATTTCTCATCATTGTTCATAGTTTTTCATCAACATTCTTATTATGTAAAAAAGAAAAGTTGAAAAACCAGTGAAGGCGAAGAAAGTAGAAAATAAGGACGATTTTCATCATCCAGCTGAACAACGATTGATAAATTAATATTAGGCGAAAATGGCAAATTGTTAACGCTTATTTCTCTGTGAAGATCAGAAGGATCAATTTCCATTTCCATATGTTCACCAGAAAACCTATTTAAAAACTATTAATGGTTTTTTTTTTATAGCTGTGCTGAATTATAAAGTACTGTTTAAAAAGAATAACCCTCAAAAAATCTCAAAATTTGAATGCGATTTCTCCAAAAGTTTTTTTATCTTCTGTTCGCATTAATTATGGAAAAAATCTCTTCAAAATGATTACTTGAATGCAAGAAGACTTAAAACAAATGCTTGAGCAATACCCGTGGCGCCAGCCTTAACAAGATTAAAACAACCACGCTTTTCCAAGGTTAAGATCCAAATATCGATTGTGCGAATCAATTCACTCATTGATTCTGAGGCCTTCCATAATTTTGAAGGCATCATCAATGTTGAATGACCATTGTAACACATATCATTTTTGAGCAATAAATCTGTTATTCCCTAAAACAAAGAACAGAGAAAAACAAAAATAAAAAAACAAATAATGAGAAAAAATCAATCAAAAATTTGATTTGAATAGCTAAATATTTCAATATATGATGAATGAAAATAACTAAAAGCCAAATGAACCTTTTTTTGTTCATCTGTTGAAAATTTCTCGATCAATAAATCACGACTATTGGCTAATAAAGCATATCGAGTAAAATTTATTAATCGAGGGTTAAGAGCATTAGGTGCAAACGATTTAGAGATACCAAATGTCACGGAATGCAGCTGAATATTTTAAATGAGACTAAATGATAATAAAAAGATGAAAAACAAACAAAGTCTATCAAATTTTTGAAAATTGTTGAAAGAACGGTACCTGTTCCCAAGCACTGTTATGTTCACGATCAAGCAATACATTTCCAATATTCGTTGAATCAAAGAATTCCTAAAAATTTCTTAAATGAATTTCTAAATGAAAGAAATAAATTGAAAAAAAAATGCAGAAAAATTCAAATGAACTGGGAAAAAAAATAAAAAATTGAAGCATTAAAGATTCCAGTAAGATGCAAGAGAAAAATCTGAAAGCAAAAGATTAAAGGCTGCTTTGACATGTTCTCTCAACAATCGAAAAAAGAAAATAAAGAAGTAAATAAAGAAAATAAATTCATTTTTCTTGAATTCTATGATTTTGCGACCGAAAATATTCTGCTGGAGGAATTATATATAAAGAAAATAAATTATAACCTTAATGACATTCTTTGAAAGCTTCGATTTCATATTTTGTTCATTAGCTCCTAAAAGATCCACTTCATAATCGAAAGCACAAGTAAATCTTGAGCTGTCTTCACGCTTCCATTCAACGATAACATTTTTCGGAACAGAAGAACAAATTACAGCCATTGTTGTACGTGAAGATTTACTTTCAAAAGAACGTGTATATACGAATGAGTCGCCGATGCTAGAAAATTCATTTTTCTTGAATCAATTTTATGCTCTTGCGACCGAAATTACTCTGCTGGAGAAATTATATATAACTAATAATACCTTTCGCCTCTGGTCCACAAAGGAGATTCACTTCGCGACAATAAAACCGCCACTCCACTGTCCTTTAAATTTTTTCTATTTAAATGCCAACAAGTAATAAGCAGATACGCAGCAATAGTAAATAATTTGGAAAAAAATCACAAAATTTAAAATTTAATAATTTATTTTAAAAACAAATAATAAAATTAGACATACAATATTAGTTCGCAAATAAACTACAGGGCAAAACCAAAAATTTAGACCAAATATAATTTATAGAAAAAATTCATAAAATAAATGTATTCGAAAATCCCAGCAAATCATAAATGTTCTATTTTTCTACTGTTGTGAACGAAAAAAATTTGAAATCTAACAGTTGGATTATTTGTTTGAATTTCTTGAACAAGAATATGTGGCCTAGAACGATGTGCATAGACAGAACGAGTTATGCATACACATTTTTCAATCTGCAAATAATATTTATCAAAAAAGTAACCGTATTAAATTTATCAGAAATATCTAAAGACTAACTACAGTGAAGCACTGAATTCGTTTTATAGTTCCAGTTCGATAATCTGTAATAGATGCACTAGATTCTGAATTGTACTGTTCAATTCGAGCACTGATTAATGGAAAAAATGCAGTTACGAATGAAAGCACACGAGAAGAAGTATCTTTAATGCGAAGTTCTCCATCATTTCCGATCCCCAAAAACCTTGAAAAGGAAAAAAATGCAACTTTTTGACTTTACGAACAAAGCGATTACTTATCAAATTTCAAGAGTTATTTCCAATGAATTCTTTCTCCTTTTTTTTTTTAAATAAAAGCAAAATAAGCCGAAAATTTATTTATTTTGAAAAGGATGTGATCGAGTCAAATTTAATCATTAAATCAATTGTCTTAATCAAAAAAATATATGCATGTGAAATAAGAGAACAAAAAGAGAAAAATAAGACACACCCATTTGCAGTAAAGTGAAGAGTCTGGCCCAGCAGTGATATCGAGAAATCATTCTCACGAAGTTTCCAGTGTCTTAAACGATCATCCAAACATAGTTCAGCGATACTTGTTGTTGAAGATTTTGAAAATATTAAAAAATACAACAAAACAAATAAACCAATAGCAAAAATACAAATCCTTCTCGGCAAAAAAAACTGCCGAATACGTTTACGCGATTCAAATTCATCGAAATGAGGGCATTTCACGCGACGAATCAGCGCTAATATTTCTTGAGAGATCGACATCGATCATGCATTAAATAGAGATTATTATAAATATTTTTACGCATTAAAATTTTCAAAATTTCAAAATTTTCGAATTTCAATAGTTTTTTCGCCAGTTTTCTAGCAAAAATCTCAACAGTATATGAATAGAAAGTGAAAGATTGTAGGCAAAGAATAAATGCTACGAAAAAACCAAATTAATTGGCAGCAAATAAAAAAAAGAAGTCTGACTTCTTTCTAAATTTACTTTAAATTTCGAATTTATTTTGAACCTTAGAAATTCCAGAAACTCTTAAAATAACCTCAATGAACAAGTTTGCAAATATAAAACGTGAGAAATTGGCTAATTTTAATACCTAAATAAATAAACAACATGAATAAATGTGATTCTAAACAAATAAAAATGATCAAAAAAGCACTAAAAGCTGACAACTAGAGATTTTGCCAAATGGACTGAGTCGTTCCCATTCGACCGAAATGGACGTCTGGAAGTAAATAGTTCGGATAATATTCACATTTAGAGAAGGAGCAACAGAAAACTGAATGCATTGCTGTGGACAGTTGCGAAAAAAGACCGTCGGCTTTCCATGAAGTCAAATCTTTTCTTGTTTTATCCATTTTGTCGCTAAAATTGGTTTCAATTTTTATTTTCAGCAATGCCCACAGTATCAATCAAGAGGTCCCTTCGATCCCTTATCTTTGCCATTGATAAGGAGGCCTGTCACCAGAAGCTGTGGTACTAAGGGCTTTCACCTTCTTTGAATTGGCTGTACTGCGAATCGAATGGAGGTGTAGGGAGGAAATATAAATAAATGAAATGAAAAATCATGCATTCACTTTCATCGTACATTCTGTGTCAAATTAGATTGAAAGAAGCATGTCTTACCTCAATTTAATTACTATAGTTCACAGATGCCCACGAAAAAATTGGAGTTTTGAACTATTGTCTGTCGAAAGTGAGAAATTCTTAAGATATGAAGGAGAGGAGGTTAGGCTGAACACGTGTTGTTTCGATAATTACTTCGAGAAATGTGCTTCGAAGGATCTGAAATCTGCCTTGAAAGCAGTCTACTCTGAGGACCCATCTGTCTTCCTTTCCCCAATTGGCTCTTAGCCAGTTCAAAATTGCCAGGTGAATGTTCTGAATCGCTTATTACTTATTAATCTAACATTATTTATCCACTAAATTTTCTCGAAGTATTAAAAATTTTTATTGCCAGTGAGACGTACGTAAAATTTCGCACGCAAATGGAACAGCAGTGTTTGGTTGGTTTCGAGAGAAGAGAGGAATTTACAGCGAAATGCGATGAGTTCGGGAAAATGTCACCCGATAGTTTGCAGTGTCCTTGACAAAGTCGAGAAGATCCTTTCGGTCATCATTTGCATCCACTTCTTACGCTATATTTCATATGCCATTTATTTCGATCATTTTAATACTTTCCGTAAAAAACGAATTAAATTGCCAATTAATTTATGAAAAGTAAGTTTTCTTAGATAGAAAAAATTTTCAGTTGACTCTATCGGGGTCGACTGGTGAAATTTGTGCTTATGCGATACTGGTGGGACACTTGAAGACTTCGACTCGTCCCATAATCACTAAAAGCGAACAGTGCTTGCGAGCCGCTTCCCCGGTCGCGCTTCTTTTCCTTTCTTTTGTCCTATTAAGCGGTGGAGCGAACCAACAGTGGTAAACATTGTTGGCTGAACTGTTTACTGAATGTGACTGGACAGAAAATTGGAAGGAATGGATGGCATATTGTTATTGGCAAGAGTGGTGACAAATTTCGCTTTATAACTGATTTTCTGCCAAATTGCCAAATTATTGAAAATTGTTAAACTACCGAAAGGTTGCTTCTCGCGTTATTATTTGCGTTTATGTCCCTTCCAAAAGTTTTTCCTTCCTTTGCACATTCGTTTTGTATTGATTGATCGATTCCATTCCCCTTATTTTCTTTAATATTAAATTAAATTTACCTTTATTTACAATATTTTAATTTCAATTTACTGCTAGAATTGTTTTTAAAAAGCAATAACTCTTGGTTTGTCGCATTTTTATTGCATTTATTCGTGCACTTCTTCACGCTCTCTCTGTTTTACTGTCACATTCACATTTGACTATTTTCTTATTATTGTTATTTCACCTTTTCCTTAACTTGAAAGAATGCGGTGGACGTGGCGCTCGAACGTGAATGGCTTCGGCCAAGAGTTCCAGCATTATGCATCCGATTCCCATCTGAGGACGCAGATAAAATTGTCATTAAAAGCGACGCAACTAATTGGGACCCTTTTGCATTTCTATCTTCGAGTGATTTTTTAGTGAAAGATTCGCGTTCTTTTTGTAACCAATCAAATCGAAAATGGTGCGCATGTTAGAAAACAGAAAATAATTTTTAATAATATTATAATTTTAATAAAAAACATTTCTCTGGGTCACGACCATTCTCAACCATCCTCCCTCTACCAGGGCCCCACAGACTTGGAAGATTAGGGGCTCTGCACAGTATCTTACCTGTTCCTAGCACTGAGTTCTTCTGGATAAAAATCTTCTAATCGTCGTTTCTGGAATCTATTAAAGCCATTTTTTAAGCTTAGGCGTTACAACTCCAAGTGCTCCAATTATCACTGAAATTATTTTGGCCTTTTCTTTCCACAGCTTCTCTAATTTCTCTTTTAACCCTTGGTGTTTCTCTAATTTATCATATTCCTTCTTCCTGACGTTACTATCACTTAGCATTGCTATAACTATCACTTGATTCTTGTCCGTTATCTGGTTCATTGGCCAGTAATTGTTTATCTGCCTGGATGGAGAAGTCCCACAGGATCCATGCCTTATTATTCTCTACGATTTTTTCAGGAATGTTTCATTCAAACTTGTGAGAGTCTAAGCCATATACCAAATCAGATGTTCATGTAGATAATGCCAGCTACTTGGTTATGCTTTTTAGTGTATAATGTTGTTCCTGTTTGCATTTTACATCCTAGCACTATATGTTGAACTGTTTCTGGAGCATTTTTGTATAGTCTGCATTTACAGTCCTATCTAGTGTGGTAGATCTTTATTTCAATGAATCTGGTGTTTAGTACTTGTTCTTGTGCTACTATAATAAAGGTCGCATTGTTGTCTTTTAGTCCGACTTTCTCCAACCACTCTAGTAGAATTTCACAATGTCAATTATCTCAGCTATCTGTCAGTGGTGCAATCCATGGAGAGCCTTGTTTTGCCATGTATTTCTTCTGTTTGATCGTTTTCCGATGTCTGTATATACTCTAGACATTCCTTTAGTAGCTCATCCTTTGCTAGGAGGCAATATACGCCTTGATAACTACTTCCGCAAGCTATTTTGAGCTGTTTTGATTTTAAGTTAGGGTCTAATTGACTTTGTATGCAGGCAGAAATCCACTAGTATCTAAGCTTTACACAGATTGCAATAATCATAATTTAACTATAATTTTATATAACATGACAAAATAATATAATTAATATAAGAATACAATATAATTTTTTTTTATAATTTTTTCTTCTTCATCAATCAAATAATAAATTTTTTTGTTTTTGTTCATTGAAATTTGGAATCGTCTTCGTGGTAAAAATTAGTGATTGAATGAAATAAATGAATTTTGAAAAAAAACTGAAAGTGAAAGGTGGAAAAGGTGAGCTTATATACAACTATTTATCAATTGCTAAAGCCTTGTATAAATCGCACTATAATCGAGTAATTGTAGTTATCAGATCATTATCATCTGGAGTCGGGGCTTGGAAAGTACCATTTGAATGGAATAAATGGATCTATCAAAAAATATGAGGTAAAAGAGGAGTTACGAGCAAAAATTTGCTAGTGTTTCTATTTCCGAAATTCCTTGGCAATAATTTTCTCAATATACTCATTTCCCATTGTCATTAAAACTCTGAAGAGTTATATTAACTAGAAATTAAATTAATGAGCATTAACCAAATTAGTGATATTTTAAAATTATTCTGTTTAAGACTTCTGTCAGAGTGTATTAAGTATTAATTTTGATATGAAATGGTTTTTAAATTTCGTGAATCAGTCAGTCTTTCTCAGTACTGTTTTTATTTACAGACAATGGTAGCGCAATTAATTTTAATAATAGCAAAATTAATTCAATGAGCTACCACACTGTTCGAATATATTTCCAATTATTATTCTAAAATCATCGGATATTGCTTATATGTAAACTATTTGATGCAAAAATGGTAGCGAACTAAAAATAGTTCTGGAAAAGCTAAATCCACAGGTTACAAATTTTCGCGAAAAAGTTTTTTGGTGACAGAAGTGTAGTGGTCGAAAGCACCCACTCGCATTTCATAATAATAGGTTTCTTCCAAGCTTCGAGAGCAGATTCCTTCCTTCCTGGCATAATAATCCGAATCTTTATCCACATTTTTTCTATCTTGATAACCATCACGGATTAAAGGATTTCATTTCAAAATTCGAGAATTTAGAATCATTGTTCAAAGAAAAATCCGTTTTTGATTTTTTGATATTTAATTTAAAACTTTTACTGATTTCCTTTGTCATTTTTTATTTTATTTTTTTGATGTTCCAATTTTTCAATGAAATTCTACGAAGAATTATTCAAATTTATTTTAAATTTATTTAAAAATAATGGGGAAGTATGGCCCTACTTCAACGAAACATGTACAATAATATCTGAATTATTCTCGGTCATTCACCTAGATTTATAGATTTTATTGAAATACCTGCCTGTCTACTCATCGTTCACTATATATTTAAATATTTCATTTATTTCCGTGTCAGAGGGAGTTCGTTTTGATATTTGCAAAATTGCAAAATTTGGCCATACAGTGGCGTTTTTATTGAAATTATGTCTATCTGAAGGTGAAATCATTAATATTTTTAGCGGAAAAGATTCTGTAAACTATTTTTTGAATAAATTTAAATCTTTTTTCATCAAGAATTTCAAGAAATTTTAATCTTTATGACGAGAATTTCGACAATATTGATATCAAAATTGGGGAAAAAAATATTTTTATTCAT